AAAACGACGATCACAACTCCGACAACGAGGAAAGATGAAAATAACTGGCACTTTGTGACATGTCGCCCTGATCACGCTATACTCACTTCCCCAACCAGAATTGTTGGCTCTATCCTATGGCGCTTCATTTCCTGCATTCACAAAGGTGAAGAAAGTCTTCGTGTTATAGATGTCAACACCATTCAGTCAGTTGTTGGTATGATACCTCACAAGCCCACCCTTCCAAACGGACAAGTAGAAGAGCGGTTCTTCCTTGTGGAGAAGACAGGTTTAGACATTGCACGCTGCGGATTACAAGACGACAACGGTGACATTGATTGATGTAAGTTCCCGTACTAGTATGTTCATCCTCCCGCTCATCCTCCCGTCATCTCACCATCTTCATTCTCATCTTAGTATGCTCCCATTCATATGTTTTCAAAGGACTTAGAATGAAATCTTCCCATTCGGAAGTTTCCAGCGGAGACTGAAATACTCGAGCATCTGGTGGAAGGTCTACTCACTACTGCTCACGATGACCACCACAATGACTGAGTATAATTTCCCCCCCCTACGCTCATTCCTCCCTTCTAATGCTTATGATAATACTTATACTGCGTCCACATCACCTCTTCTTAATGATCATTGTTCTCTGCCACTGGTACCCGATCCAAATAATTTCCATCGTCATTCTCAGGAGAGTCGTGATTCTCACTCCAACTGGTCTCAAGGTGTCTTATTGTCAAAGGTATGTGTATATGATGGAATTAGTGTTCAATTGACATGAAATATGACGCATATATGCAGCAAATGCAAGCCTTGCAGGAAACTATTGTATCGCTTCGTGCAGAGAATGCAGTTCTGCTGGCCTCTCGAGATTCATACCAGTGAGTTTGGTTATCATCGCCGTGAATTACTCAAATATGTACAATTTTCAGAGATGCATATGACAAACTTGTAGCCTCACTTCGGCTGATTCAAGTCGGAACTCCATCAGAGCCTGGCACCACTACCGAGCATCCTGTCATTCTGCAGCCTATGACATTAACGCTCCCTCCTCAGCTCAATAAATCAGACTACCCCAATGTCAGGTTTTGGACGCACAAGAGCTTCAAGGTCTACGACAAGAGTGCGAATGCGCAGTCTACAGACCGCGGTGCATTTCCATTCCTCGAAGATAAGGACGGTCATCCACTATCAGAAGATCATGTTGCTGCCATTGGGCAGGCAATGCGGGCAATCTGGCATGGCTTCAAGTCGCGTCACATTGCACCTGTCACTTGGGGGGGTGCGAGCTCTGCTGTTAAGAATGAGTTCATTGCAGAGATGGTGAAGGCACATCCCGAGGTGGGATTCTGCGAACACTATTGGAAGATTAACGCATTGGCTACAGCACGTTATTCGTCTTGGAAGCAGTCATACTTGACTGACTCTGAGGGGATTCAATCGGAGGCTAAATTGGACAATTTGTCACGCAAGAAACGCAAGTCGTTGAAAGTGAAAATCTCCGATGACGACTGTGAACGTGCCATGAAGAGGCTCAGGGTTGGCGACTCCGACGACTCCGACGGCAGCATTATATTGTCGCCCACTATCAGTGGCAACTTGATAGACTACGAGACATCAACTTCATCCCCCCATGATACCACTGCATCCACGCCCTCTGAATATCCTGCAAGCACAAGCACATCGGACACAGACCCATCCACTACCACGAACACTTCCAGCTCCAACACTTCCATTAGCATGAACGTATCCACTACCACCTGATGGTGGGGGATGGATGTATCCTTTTGGCCTATAGGCCTAAAATAGGGATACATCCCCCAATCTAATTGTCCACTCACCAGTGATACATCCATGTAGTCTGAGAATCCATGTATCTAATATAGCAAGCAGAAATCTTAAACATACATTATGACTGCAATTTTGGCTCCCCAAAGCGAAAATTCATGATATATATTCCATTTTGGTAACCTCCTCATGTCAGGCCTCCCCACATTATTCCCACACATCATATGTTCGCATTTTTCAGCCCCACAGTGTGGGAATTACCCCACAACACCAAAAACATCGCCCATTTTGGGAATCTCCACAATATCAATTATTCCCACACCCTTCCCACCTCACTGCAGCTTCACCACCACCCCACAATAGGTCCCCCTCCATATATAAGTGATAGTTTGGTATATATATGTATATTATAATATAATGGTCCGCTTTTTTTGTTTATTTGTGTACCTGCTCCTCCTCCAGGGCCCTTTCAACATAACCTAGGGTACAGAACACTTTCGCATTTTTGCCCCTATGACAGGGAAGTGTTCTAAGGCATTCAGAACATGTTCAGGAGTATATATGAATGTATTCCCATCTTTATTTTACCCCCTGAAGCGCCCTACATCAATAGTTATAGCATATATACATAGAAATACAAAATATGTTCCCATGTGTGCATTTCCAAGTGAACAGACTTGAAAATTGTATCCCCACAATCCATTAAGCAGTATGAACAATGTGTCAGGAGATCAGGCCCACAGAACAACACCCTGTTGTATGGTATACCCCCCTTCTTCTGGTGGTTTACCCCCTGTGAAAATTTTTCCTGGAAGGCTGGACCTTAGATATGGCAGGGAGTCTATTCCTATACATATTTGGAGTATATCTATCACATAGCTACCACAGGGAGCCTTTAGGGTCCTTCAATAGGAACAAAAACATAAAACATCACATATTTCACTTTTTTGATGTTTTGCACTACCTTACCCTTTCACAAATAATACAACATGCTCATATATCATTAGTAGGGCATATATACATGCTTTATATACCAAAGATCAGTTCAAAATAGGCCATAGTTGTGGAATAGTGTATATACTTTCTAAATCTACTGATTAGGTTCCCATACCTTCAAAACATCGAAATCTTATAATCAGACACCTGGAGTACATTTTACATATATTCAGCATCATAGGCCTAAATGTACAGAAACATCCACCCAAATCTCAGAGCTGGGAAGTGAAATAGATCAAAAATTGAGTGTGGGAAAATTAAAATGCCCAAAACATCGAAAATGGGTAGTTTGAGGTTGAGTGGTTATTGGACTTTAATGCTGAATCAACTCACTTTCACATTACATCCCTTCCACCAACACTCTACCCTCAGGGCAGTGTGTAGTATAGGTTCCTTAGGTAGTCTATCATGTATCCTACACATTTTTAATAAAATCTTCGACCTGTCTCATATATAAATATGACTTTCTGTGAAAAAATGTCAATTGTCACTTTTCACACATATGTCATTTTCCTTGCGATTCATTCAAACCTTGATGGATCTTTCTATAGATTTAGGGCTATCATTAGGGATATATATGAGATATATCCCAGGTGTCTGATCACTGATAAAACCCTTTATTTCCATGTGGCCTTCTAATCAGTGGAAATACCCCCTTTACCTCAGATCTAATGTTTCCACCCTATATCCAGCTGATCCTTAGCATAGGAAACATTTATACATGCCCTACTAATGATATATGAGCATGTTGTATTATTTGTGAAAGGGTAAGGTAGTGCAAAACATCAAAAAAGTGAAATATGTGATGTTTTATGTTTTTGTTCCTATTGAAGGACCCTAAAGGCTCCCTGTGGTAGCTATGTGATAGATATACTCCAAATATGTATAGGAATAGACTCCCTGCCATATCTAAGGTCCAGCCTTCCAGGAAAAATTTTCACAGGGGGTAAACCACCAGAAGAAGGGGGGTATACCATACAACAGGGTGTTGTTCTGTGGGCCTGATCTCCTGACACATTGTTCATACTGCTTAATGGATTGTGGGGATACAATTTTCAAGTCTGTTCACTTGGAAATGCACACATGGGAACATATTTTGTATTTCTATGTATATATGCTATAACTATTGATGTAGGGCGCTTCAGGGGGTAAAATAAAGATGGGAATACATTCATATATACTCCTGAACATGTTCTGAATGCCTTAGAACACTTCCCTGTCATAGGGGCAAAAATGCGAAAGTGTTCTGTACCCTAGGTTATGTTGAAAGGGCCCTGGAGGAGGAGCAGGTACACAAATAAACAAAAAAAGCGGACCATTATATTATAATATACATATATATACCAAACTATCACTTATATATGGAGGGGGACCTATTGTGGGGTGGTGGTGAAGCTGCAGTGAGGTGGGAAGGGTGTGGGAATAATTGATATTGTGGAGATTCCCAAAATGGGCGATGTTTTTGGTGTTGTGGGGTAATTCCCACACTGTGGGGCTGAAAAATGCGAACATATGATGTGTGGGAATAATGTGGGGAGGCCTGACATGAGGAGGTTACCAAAATGGAATATATATCATGAATTTTCGCTTTGGGGAGCCAAAATTGCAGCCTAAAACTGCTTGTTGTGATTCACCATTGAATATATCATTGTGGACAGTGGACAAGTAGACTGGATAATGTATCCCTATTTTAGGGCTATAGTAGTATATTGATGTATCTATATAGCACTATGGGCTGGCTACTAAACTACGAATCTACAGTTTTGCATACCACGAAGCCGCGGCCTAGTGCGGCTCAAGCCACGGCTTTGGCCTGGCTTGGGCTCACGGCCTAGGCTTGAAATATGGCAAGCCTAAGCCCCCCCAGGCCAAGCCTAAGCCGGGGCTTTGAGCCTAAGCCGGGCCGGAACGTCACTAGACACCATCCCTCCTGCTCGCTCTCCAGGACAACGTATCCGAAGATCTCCAACCTACCACTGTTCCGGAATGTGACTCCAAGCACCCTGTTGACCTCTTCGCAATGGTTCTTCCCGCTGCCATTATCGTGCCCGGTGCCTCTGACGAAGGTCCTTGCACTGTGGAATCCACGACCACCGAGAGCATCGATTCACGTGTCTTGCGCAACAACCGGAAAGTGAATGTTGTTCATAACTCTCCTTTCGACTCTCTGCATGTGCACTTCTCCAGGCTATCACCATGACTCTTGTTTGCCACCACTCTGTTGCTATTGTATTTTGTACCTCGCCTCGTGTTTTTTTAGCCTGCTATCGTGGTTTTGTACTGTACTACTGTATGTTTTGCAAAACAATGCTTTTGTTGACCCGCCTCGGTCAACTTCGATCCTATACTATTCTACGTTCGAATGAAATCGAGTGTAATATTTGTGTCTACCAACTTCCTTCGATGAACACAGAAATTGCTCGATTTACATTGCACACAATCTTGATAGCAGTACGGTGAGTCGAATGAGGTCTAACGTGGTCACCGAACTCGGTCTCTCACGATTACCTTCGTTCTGCCTCGAAGGACTTTTCACTGGGGTTGACAGTTCGGAAGCAGACGAATGCTTCTTTGTTGTTTGTACATAGTCACCTTGTGGGCCACAGCCTGAACTTTGCATCGATATCGTCCTCTACTGACGTGTAATTTATGCACGGACCTCTTCTTGATTTGTAGTGAGAAATGTTCAAAAATGAGGGCAGAAAGGCAGTTTGGCTTGCAACAAAAAGAATTGCAGTAAAGTCGCGGTGAGTTATAAGTTCATCGTTCGCGTCCCTCCTTCTGATGTAGTAGTATCTGGAATGATGAATCGCTAGATTCTACAGCAATCGTGCAGCAGCAAACGGAGATATCGTCCAGATTTCACGGTCCAACATCTATCGCTTTGGTGACCCAAACTTCGCGGTGCCGGTTTTCCGCGACGTTGAATGGACTATCGGCGAGGGTGAAAACTGGGCTGTAATAGGGACAGGTTCGAAGCAAAAGACAGCTCTTTTGCAGGTGCGTCATGCCAGCTGTATTTCGAAGTGTCTACATTGACAAATTCGCGCCGCGCGTTAGACGCTCCTTGGTCACCTACGTATAACTCCTCCTCCGCCTTTACCTGGAGGACTATTTCCTTTCCTCTCCGACCCTCCACGCGACCCACACACCTGCGTCTCTCTCGTGTCATTCGCTCATCGATCACGCGCAGCAGGTGGTGCCTTCTATGACTACACTTCTCGGTACGGCGCAGTTAGAGAAGAGGACCGCATAACCCTTCGGGAAAGTATGTTCGGAGAGTACGACTTTCTGAACATTCAGCCAAAAGGCGGCAGGGTGAAAACTCCCATTGAAATTGCACAGGACGAAATCAAGAAGGGCATATTTGAGGACCTAACTTCTAAACTAGGTCTTTCCTCTCTGTTGGATTTGCCTTTGATTGCTTTATCAAACGGGCAGACGCGTCGAGCACGCATTGTGAAGGCTATTTTGTCTGAACCAGAGCTCCTCGTACTCGACGAACCTTTGAGTGAGTGGTTGAACTTATATTCGACCAGCGCGAAGTATAATTGATGTGCGTTATTCAGCTGGCCTCGACGTCAATACCCGCCCAATCTTGTTGAATGTTCTTCGGTCACTTCATGAGTCCCGCAGTCCACGTATCATCATGGGCCTCAGGATGCAAGACCCCGTTCCTGATTGGATTTCACACGTCGCTTTAGTGATGGGCGAAACTATCTTGACAGGCACCAAAGATGAAATGATGTCCAAGCACGCAGATCACCACGCAAAAGAAGCTGAGAGAATGGCAAGCACCACTCAGTCCTATCTGCAGCCTGGCCTTGATCATGGAAAGCCAGTAGTGGACATGCAAAACGTAAACGTGTCATATGGCACACGCAAGGCAACTACGTCGTCCTTCATTTCCTTGATCTCAATGACACTATCTTTAGGTGCTCAAAAATATCAATTGGACGATCCTCGAAGGCCAGCGTTGGCATCTTCAAGGTGCAAATGGTACGTCAACCATACACGAAACTGAAGCTTAAAGATCCTGACACCCTTCAACCAGGTTCTGGAAAAACTACCCTTCTTTCGCTTCTGACAGGCGACCATCCCCAGTCTTACACTCAGCGAGGTAGTTCGAACCTCGAGTTGTTCTCCCGACCTCGACAGCATATCCCTACTCCGCTCTTACGTTCACTCATTGGCGTCGTTTCACCAGAACTTGCGAATGCATACCCAAGGCGCGCCGGTGTCAGTGTATTCGACGTTGTAGGCACAGGCTTTGACGGTGGTTTTGTCCCGGGTGGACCAGACGGCGTCGGGAAAGGTCTAGAGGGCACGCTCAGCGACGAAGTCAGGAAATGGAGAGTGAAACGCGTACGCGAGGTCCTTAACGGCCTCGGTCCGGCTTCCTGGGAGTCAGACGTCAATAGTTTCGCCGCTGGCGACGAGCTGTTGGCACAGAACGAAACATTTTCAAAACGCGATTTCGTGGACCTCTCTGCAGGCGAGCAGAGTGTCGTTTTGCTGATGCGGGCGCTTGTGAGTCACCCCCAACTTGTCTTGCTGGACGAAGTTTGGAGTGGTATGGATGAAAATATGGTGCGCGCTGCGAGGCGCTACCTTTGCGAGGGCGGTGTTGGATCTGACCAAGCGGTTGTGGTTATCAGCCACTGGGAGGAAGAGGTGCCGTGGACGGTACGAGAGGGTCTAAGGAGATTTAAATTAGATGACGGGAAAGGACAAGAATTGTAGAACTCTTCTCCGAAAAAACGACACGAGGAGGAATAAGCAAATTGCCCGTAAATTCACATCTTTCGTAGTAAAATATACCATCCTGCATCAATCTTACATTGCGGGATCTTCTGGCATGCGAATCATGAACTCTGCCCTCCCCTCCACGCCCACAACAGCGGTTTCTACCGTCTCATCTCGGTCGCACAAGAAATAATCTTCCTCCTTAAAGCCCTGGTCATTTTGCGTTACTACGACCAAGTAGAGCTGCGCTCTGCAGAGTGAAATATGAGCAAACGACACCCAACGCAAATATTTGAAGAACTGACACATTGGCATCCAAGCGGAAGCTCTTGCATGCCCCGATGAGAACTTTACCTACTCGTGTGCGGGGCTTCGTACTGAACTGTGCGTGCTGTGCGGAGGGTTTGTGCTGGATGCTAATGACGAGTTTGGTGTGTGCGAGCTCAGGTGCTGGTTCAGCTATGTAGACTCGTGAGCAATCATGACGAAGATGAAGGACGTTGCGAAAACGTACATTCTTGAGTCGCCTCGGGCCGAGATGCTGATCGCCCTGCGGAAACTGGCCCTCGCTTGATAGGTCGGCCTAATTATTGATGTTGTGTAAGACATCACACGGCGAGGAAGGAGATGTACTACCTGCTCTGATGGGGGCTCCGAGTCGGCCCCCTTGGGAGCTTCCAGCGACTGACGACACCCGTACGCGATGCACAAGAGGAATTTCCTTTTCCTTCTTTATCGGTCGCTCTGCGTCTATATATTCTACGCCATCATTACGATACATTGTAGTAGACGGGAATGACTCACCAGGTACATGCGGAATTTCTTGTGCACGAACAGCACTGGTTCGGCTCTTAGCAGTTGGTGGTGAGGGCTGAGGGTCATCAACGACAGGAGAAATATGTTTCTGCTGTAAGTCTTCAGCCAGCATTGAGCTATGGTCAAGTGCCTTTGGGCTATCTTCATCATCAGACACGATGACTCGCCGTCGGCGACCAGAATGTTTAGTCCGCAGAGCACTTTCAACCTCCTCCTCTTCTGTCTGCTCGGTTTCCTCTGTCAGCTCTTTCTCACCTGTCAGATCCTGCTCCTCCCCTTCCTGCTCCGCTTCTTTCTCCTGTTCTTGTTCTGACTGCGCTTCGACATTGTCCCTGTCTTCTGTTACATCACTGTATCTGCATTTTCCCTCTCCCTCTTCTCGTTCTCCAAAATCTCGATCTTGCTTATGGACCTGAGCATCCCCGTGTTCCTCTTCAGGCTGCAACGAATCTTGACCCGACTCTCCGTCTACACCAGCGGACCGAGAAGACGGACCAGGCATAACCTCCTCTGAGTACACCTCCAGACAGCAGACAAGGTCCATCAAGCCCTCTTCCTCCCATGCTTCTTCATCGACCTCGAATGCGGAGTCGTCCTTGAAATACGAGAGCGGTGACAAGCTAAGGTTGCAGGTCGTTCGGAAGCGCAGGGATGAGAATGGACGGTCTTGAATAGAAAATTTACGACGCGCAAAAGATTGGAGGGACTGGAATGAGCACGAAAATGCTCGATTTAAAAGTCATGAGAGAGAGAGTAATATGATGCACGCACTTTGAATTCGCGAACTTTGGATGTTGGACCCTTCCGCGTGACCACCCTTTTGTTCCCATATGATATTGTCAGGAAACGTAGGGGTATGGTGTCCCAGTCAACGCAGTTGTGGATCATCTTATGATACTGGTCTGGATTATAGAAACGTGATTATAAGACAGCGTTGTTATAACTTCAAATAAGGGAAATCTTGAAGGTTTATTTGAAGCGCGTTCAATTTGCACGTCGCGTTCCTCACGTGATCGCAACAATCATGACGTGACGTCTACAACAAACGAAAACGATCAGAAACTTCAAAGCTTCATGCATATGCCGGACAGCTGTTCAGTGCATTTTTGCTAGCAGCAGCGCGGCGGAGAATTCAAGAGGATCGCCTCCACAATATCATTGCGCAAGTCAAAGACATGGCAGCTGTTCACAGCATGATGGACGTCCGAGTCAGGACCCTTGAAATATCGTAGCTGTATGTTTTTCGAAGACTGGAGAGATGTAATTCTATACACTCAGATACCCTACAATCGCCTTCGTCCAACTATTCACTATCCACCATGCTCTACATCATCGATGCCCTTTAGCTTTTCATCTTGCCTCATAACCCGACTCATAATCACATAGTAACAACATATGAGATGCATTGGCACGCAGGTGAACGACAGCTTTGGGCTTAGCCTCCATGCGCGCAGACTGCCCTATATATTCTGTGGTAGTGCGACGCTGCTGTTGAAACATTTAGAAGGAACGCATTAACGCTACCATATAACGATGTAGTGAAGCAAAACATGGCATTGCTACTGCAATACTCTGGCACTGAGTCGACGTCGTGGAGGCCGATGGTAGCAAAACCAGTACGCTTCTCTATCAACAGCAACAACTTATATTCCTAAATGAACTTCAAACGTCAAAACTCTGAGCAATGTGTATTTTTTCTTTCTTTACATCAGTCTCGAGCCAGGCGTTCAACCCGCTGTCTGGCAATTTCCTCATGACTTCATGGCTGCTGTACATCCATCGGAAACCAACGTAGTCAGAGCCTCGACTGCTTGGCATCGATATTCGGGTAAGGGTATATGCGCGAAGCCGGCTTGAACTGTCTGTGGCATGGTGAATGTCCGTCGGCAGCAGGGTGTCCCCGAGACATGGAGTTTTTCCCAAGTTCGCATTGTCTAGCGAATCACATTCAATGATCCATGGGACAGATCTTGGGTGAGTATGGTCAACGCATGCTTGGAGAGCTCGTTGGTAAACGTTAGATGTTCTTGCTCTGGTGTTCTTTTCTGGTGCAACACGAAGCAGAGGTCCGCGCATGAGTCAAGAGAGAATGATAGCACCCACACTTCCTTGAGAAAAGGCAGCGGTGTTGAAATATAACACATACAAAAGGAAAATCCTTCATATAAGTACTATCAGTCAGATTCGATTCGAGAGCTGAGACGTACTGACTGCAATACATTTTGTGGAGATATAAGAACCCCATATCTTCCGCGTGTTATACATCGCAGATGGAGATGAGGAGGCGTGTGGCATGAAAAAGGACAGTTTGAAACGTAGCAGAAAGGCGTATGATCTGGTAGAAGCACTCGAGAAATCATCATAGGGGACGAGGAAATCGTAGATTAATGACGACCGTCCGTGTATTCAGGAGACAGACAACACATGAAGAGCCAGAAGCGAGTCCAGCGTCCAGCATGTCTTATCGTTGCATGAGGGCGCAAGGTTGTTGACGTTGAAGCTGCGGTTGTATCACCGACAGCAGGTGCGGTAGACGAATTGGAGACAGGTGCCTGTGGTTGCGAAGATAGCTGGGTCTGAGTCGCACCATTGGATTGCTGCGTGGCATTGGGCTTAAGAGGCCGTGAATTCGTTTTCCGTTTCTCTCTTGCTGAAGCATTCCTCTGCGCAATGTCAGGTCGAGTGGAACATCTGGGAAGGAGAGAAAACATACACGTTTTCCCTTTGCATATGGGACCTCAACAACTGCTGGGCTGCGCCCGTGCAACTCCATGCCTTCCATGGCACTCTGTCCGCGCCGTTTCAAAAGGTTTTGAGCCCAGTCGAGAGGAGAGGACGGCGAGGTGTCATGTGCATCGGAGCGGCTGCGGTTGAATAAGTGGCCAAGAAATGTGCTTCCTTGCGGTGATGAGGAGGAGTGGAGACGGCTTTGTGGAGAGAACTGAGACCACGGAGTCAGGATAAAACTCGAAGTGGTACTAACAACGTACACGAGGATGATCTGGTGGAACATCAAAAAAGCCTGGGGGTACCCGATGGGCAGGTTGACGTCGTTGGGTCGGATGTCGTGTAGCATTTTCCTAGAGAGCATATGTTTTAACGCGATGAAATCTGTTTAAGACGGTGTCACGTACAGGGAGTGCCGACTTGTTGGCCTGACAGAGCGCGTTCAGTGATGAGAATGTAATGAATGCCTGTCAACTCACCTTTGGATCCAACAGAAGCTCGTCGAGGCCAGCTTCTTTAAGAATGGTAGCAACATCCCATGAGTACGCGTTGGTGTCATCGCAGCCAGTTGTTATTATTTTTCCATCCGCGGAAAATGAGACACAGAAAACCAAATTTGCATGCTGGAGTGGAGAACTGATGGGCTCGCCGTTTTCGAGGTTCCATAATCGCGCTGTCGAGTCGATCGATGCGCTTGCGAGGATGCGGCTATTCGGGGATATTGCAATGCCATAGACAGCAGAAACGTGCGCATGGAGAACTGCGATCTTCTGCTTCCAAGTTTTTGTATTCCATGTCCGAATCGAGTCATCGTTTGACCCAGAAATGAGCGTTTTTCCATTCCCAGTCCAAGCCAGGCACCGCACCGAATCTGTGTGTCCTTTGAGAGTTGCGACAAGCTCGCCTGTCTTCGCATCCCAGATTTTAATTGAGCACTCGTCATCATCTTGCGTATCACGTCCACCAGTCGCAATCATGGTCGTGTCTGGCGAATAGATGGCTGCTAACACATGTAGATTCCCTGTCTTGATTGGCCCGGGTTCCATGATTGTCTCTCCGCTCTCCAAATCCCACTGCCTCACTGTCCCATCATCACATCCGCTCAATACTCGCTGACCATCTCGACTCCAACAGACAGACCACACTGTCTTTGTGTGCCCCGTCCATTTTGCAATGACCTTGCCTGTCTCGATGCTCCACAACCTCACTCCACCGTCGCCACTCCCGCTGACCACCTTCTTCCCATCCGGAGACAACGCTATACTCCTCATTCCACTGTCTCCGTCCCGCCAGTCTTCTCCTATCTGTTTCCCGCTCTCCAAGTTCCATACCCGCAGCGAGCCATCTCCTGAACAAGTAATCATCCGCTGTCCGTCAAGTAAGCGTATGACGCCCCAGACCTCATCGGTGTGTCCTTCAAATTTCTGGCAAGGCGATCTTGCTGATATCTCTTTCTTTTTAGTGGCGGGTGAAGACATATTCCAGACTTTCAACTGCCAAGTGAAGCGCCGTCTCAGCTTTCACCCACCAAATTCCAAATTCATTACTTACCGAGGACAACACTGACGGGCGGATAGTAGGGGATAATGGGCGTTTCAGTCAAGTCAGAGTTGAGTTCACTACTTCCTGGTACGTTTGTCATGCTGTATCTTGTTGTTCGCTTCACAGCTTATATACAGCATGTGTTGTGCAGTTGATGCGCCCAAGAATGCATCTGCCACTCCGGTCCCCATGGCGCAGAGAGTGATATTGTATAGCTTCAACAAGACTTCAATGTTTATTGTCGCTGGACTGTTAGACACATATCATGCCTCAAAGACGTTAGACTGTCAGTACCTAATAAGCGTAAGCGGTATCAGCTTGCCGATTGGCGTATTCGGTATGTCGAAATCATCTTTGCCTTCTCTTCTTTCCTTTCCCCTCCAAATCACAGGACAGATCGTACATGGGGCGATGCCCTTAGATTAGATGCCTACGTGTTCCTATTAGGATCGATTGAAATTATTTCAGCCAGTCTTCCTATCACATTACCTCAGATGATAGTATTTCACACCACCTAAGAGAACAAAAAGGCAGATACATAATTTTGTCGCTGTTACAGTTTACTGACAGACTACAAGTACACATTCCATTCTAGGATGATACAAAGACCGATCTCGATTGATTCCAACCCTCACTGCAAGTCCGTCCCCTCCCCAAACCGCCACTTCAAGGCAACGACAAAACAGTCTGCATAAACTGATCATAATTAATCTGCACCCATCCATCATTATCCGTATCAAGACCCTGGAAGGCCCCGCTCAGCTGCTTGATCACCACACAAGCGCGAACGAAGCGATCAAAGGTGATACCAGGAGGAGGGCCATAAGCGCTAGCGACATTGGAAGCTTTGATGTCTTGGATTAGCATAGTTTTAGCAGAGTGAGTTGTGAAGCGGAGGCACGACTCGACTCGAGGGGTGGGGATGGGGGAAACATACCGTATTTGGCTTGGACGAGCTCGATTAGGGGTGGGCTGAGGTTGTACCCGAATTGACGGAGAGCATCTCGGAGTTCGTTGCGGTCGATGGAGCCCGAGCGATCTCTGTCAAAGTGACGGAACACATTCTGCCAGTCCTGTTGATTGTGCCTTTGTTTAGCTGTGTGCTTGAAGCTGGGTGTGTATACGTACCTTGATGTATTTCCAGAGTCCAGAAAACTAAGTTCGGTCAGATGGATGGAAATGAGGAGGTAAGGGTAGGGAAATAGTACCTCGTTGAACCCGATCGTGCCGCTGCGGTCGACATCCTATTGCAAAGATGAACGACCGATTAAAGACAGAAAAGGTCAGGGCGACTCACAAACATGCTCATCAGAAGTTTCACAGTGTCCAAATCAAATGCTAAGCCACCATCAGCTTCCCAATCTTCCCAAACTCAAAAACTCAAAACCAAAACTTACGAGTCCAATCTCCATTAATCAACGCTCTCTCTAATCACCACCAACGATCACGATAAGCACAAAATCTCAGGATCTCACTCAAAAACAAACGCACCAAGCTCCACAGCAGTAATCGCGCCAGATCGGTCCGTATCAACAGCAGCGAACCAAGACCATAGCCTTTCGTGTGCTCGTCAGTTACGACACACACCAACGATAACAACGCCGATGGATGATGCGTATAAACGACACTTACTGGGGATCAGCACCAGGCGGGGGACCTCCAGGAGCCACACCTCGACTAAACCCCCCTGGCCCTCCACCATGCCCTCCATGCGCACCCGGGCCTCCATACCCTCCATACTAAGATAAGATAAAGCAAGCACGCATATCATCAACGTGCGATTCTTCAAGATCGTAACAAAAGAACGCACACCACCTGCGTATGCCATATTTTGATGTTAGTGGTGTGAGTGCTTCAAAGGGTGTTGATAAGAAGCGTTTTTGGTGGTGGTGTGTTGATGAGTAAGAAGCGTCTCTTATGAAAGGAGCTGCGAGTGGCTGTGTACCAGTGCCACAACTGAAACGGAGCAGCACCACGCCTTATCTTAGCGCCCGTTGCGGAGCAAAGTCTTTGCCGGTACCGCCTCACCTAACATTAATGTGCGCCGAGCATGGTGATCACAAGATCCCCATCATTCATGACTCGGAGTTAACTTTGTAACCTAGTCAGCTGAACCATTTCACATCGCTGAACAATTGCGTCGTTCATCGTAATCGATGCATGATAAATCTCCAAAGCCGTACAAAGCAAATAAATCTAGGACAAAAAAAAGAAAAAGAGACGATGACATGCCCATAAGTATAGCTGAAAAATGACGAAACGAAAAAGCAAACAGATAGCCCTACAAGAAGCATTTGGACGCTAACAAATCAAAAGCGGTTGAGTATGCGTGATTCATAGAAATAAGGGATGGGACTTACAAGACAAAGGTCATGACAGAAGGACATGAGTTCACAAAGACGAAAAGACGAGATAGGAGCGAGAAAAACAGAAATTGGAAAAACGACATACGAACAAAGGGCATATGGATGTGATGATGTGAGCTTGGCATGTGCACTGAGCTCGGCATGTAGCGTGTATATGCACTGAGCAAGTCAAGTAGGTCGGCTGTGTGCCAGCAAAGTAGATGAGTTATGTTGCTGGGTTGTTGAAATAGATGGGATTGTGTTCTTGATTTGGTTTGGGTGAGTGAGTGATACAGTGGTGTGGTTGGTGGTCATATGCCATGATGTGGTGCGTGAATGTTAGCTTGCGGATATAGTGTATAGATGAGAGCGTGATGTCGAGAATGCAGCGTCCGTATCAATCGCCGGGTGAGACGTCTACGCCAATCACCGAGGGACGTCGGGCCATGCTAACCGCCGAGTTCCCAGGATGCGTAGTTCGGCAAAACGTCAATCGCCTTGTGCGAGATTCCCAATTACCATCACCTGATAAGCCTCCCATAGTCCAACCTCGTCTCCCTCTTCTCCCCACCCTCTTTCTTCGGAAACGCATTCCAAAACCGAAGGGTCTCATCCCCAGCACCCGTCACGATCGTCTCACCTAGGAACGTATATCAGCGTCTCATCACAGCCCATTCGACGTCACAACCCCAGTACCCGAGCGTCTCATCGTAATGAAAATTGGACACCCGTAACACAAATGGGCCACCAAACCAAAACCAAAAACTCACCATCAGGACTCATAGCAAGATACAAAACCCGATGAGTATGCCCCGTCAACGACGCCACCATATTCAGCGTTGGGTATTTCCAGATACAGATTTGGTTTTGGGCTGTGGTGCTACTGAAGCCGTGGGTGCTGACGAGTTCGTGCGAGGTTAGGGACCAGATTAGGTTGCAGACCTGTGTCGATTAATTTTAGTTGTAGAATGGGAGGGTGGGGGAATGGGAATAAGAATAAGATGGTGGGAAAAGGGGAAAAGGGGAAAAGGGGAAAAGGAAAAGACGCAACGCACCTGACTCCCAGTATCAAGCTCACTAAGCATAGTCCCATTAAACGTATTCCAAAACCGGATATGTTTGTCCTGCGTTCCTCCCCCTGTCGCTAATACCCCACTTACGTGTGGATCCCAGGCGAGGGCTTTGACCGCTGCTGTGTGTTCATGGAATTTCCAGAGTGGTGTGTCTCCTCCACTTCCTCCTCCTGAGTCTTCTACTCCACCTGATCCTGAACTTCCTGCAACAGAAGCGCGTTTTGATCCTCGCAAGTCCCATATACACACTTTGTTGTCATTTCCCCCACTTGCTAATGGCCCGCCGTCCCGAGCCCATTTCAACCCACACACTTCTTGTCTGTGTCCTGCACACCGCTTGAACGGACGCAAGGAGGGTTCTCGGACGTCCCGATGGTGCACCATACGGTCCCGCGACCCCGACGAAAGCACATGCGAATTCCAAGCAAGAGCGCCGATGCGTTGAGTATGAGCATTGTTGTACGAGCGTTGTACTTGCAGTGTATTAGCGTCGTAGATGTGCATTCTACCCGAGAGGGTTCCGATAGCGAGCATCGTGCCCTATTGAATAGTCGCATCGAAAATAAATAATGAAAAAGTGAAGACATGTACGAACCTTTTGGACCCACGAGACGGAACTGACTGTATCGTTCGAACCTGCAAGATCGCATAGTTTGGAAACTGCTGCATTGTGTGCTGTCCATAGGTACACGCAGCTGCCTAGTCCGACACCGAGTACGTTCGTACTGCTCCAATCTACGAGATTGAGGTAAAAATCGTCTGCGAGGTCTGGGGCGTCGAGCACGCGATAGGGCGTTTTGCAAACGCTGCGTAGTTGTCTGCGGGGGGATTCGAGGAGTTGACGGGATTCTGCGCGGACGGGGCTCATGGAGTAGGCTTCGTCTGTTGGGGTGTCGAGTCTGCGGGTTGGTGTGCTGGGGTTTGCGGATGTGGCGGGTGATGTGTAGTGAAAGATGCGTTTGCGGGTGGGTGTGCTGGGTGGGAGGGTTGTTGTTGCGCTTGAGGACGTTGTGGGTCGTTGTGGGGAGGCGGCTCGGCGTGGGGAAGGGGGCGTTACTTCTGTGTGGAGAATGGAAGTGAATATTGCGTTTGCTTGTTCTGTGGGTGAATTAGGTGTTGAACGTAATCGAGACCAGTAAGACTGACCCTTCAGTGCATCTGATTCTGTTGGTATAATTCTAGATTTTGAAGGAGTAGAAGGGCCGCTTTCATCCATCAAGTGATAGGTTGTTCGCATATCGCCAGCATCGCGAGAAGGTACAAATCTGTCGCCGTACATGTCGCGGCTTGTAACGGGTGACTCTGGTGTCGCGTCCTTTGTGGTTGACGGTGTGGCGGTATAGAAAATTGGGTTAACACGCTGTCGATTTCTTCGTGGACCGTCTTCTTCGTTCTCTTGGTGTGTCCCCCGTAGTCGCTTCCCAAAGGGCGAGTTTTTGAGTCCGGACATAGGTCACGATCGTCAACGACCAGCGGCGAGCATCTAGAAGGCACAATCATTTCACCTAAATTATGTAATCAATTCAACATGGCGGAGTTTGAAATTGACTCAGGAGGGGAAGCGTCCATTTGAGAGCCAGCGGAGCTGGAGAAGACGGGAAGTCATCCTGATTCCTGACCATAATTAACTCGTGTGGTCACGAACTCCGTGTATCATATATATTTCTCAAAGTCCCATTGCACCCATCTTCAACAACCCGAGAGCCTCAGAATCTTCTACGTGTCGTACAAAGAATCCCACTTGGATACAGGATGCCTCGGCTTGCGATCAACAAATGAACTATGTTTGAAACACGACTGTCCCGCTCTTAGGATCCTTCATGTCGACAGCGTCGTGACTTGCAACTTGACACATGTTGAGTTCGTGACTATGATTTTCATTCGATCTATGGCTCGGACGCAGCATTACTTTGTCGAGCGTTGAACGCAGTGCCGCGGCGAATACTCGGCCTTGCCTTATGAGTCTCACTTTCGACAACCCGAAACTCAGCCTTCGCCTCCATGAGTAATTCTTGCGTCAAAATCGGGGCACAGAAAGTGATACTCGGCACTACCGACAGCCACGTCGCCCTAATAACACATACTAAGACAGGCCGGGCGCTGGACTCGGCTCTTGCTATGCTAACATCGAGTATCTCCTGCTACGGAAGGAAAAGAAAACTCAGCGAGTCGCTTCAAATTTTGGAACACTCTCTTGTCGCTATGATGAAGTGTAATAACCATGTACTCACTGACAACTGACGAAGGCAACCGTGACGAGTCCTGGTCAAGTGGCATACCCTGGTCCACATCCACCGTTACAAGAGAAACGACCTGAATATTAACCGAGCCAACCCACGAGTCACTGCATTCATCACAACAACACCTACCCATAATAAAATAATTCCGCCATCGTGTTCAAAGAAAACCTGCCAACGCGTCGAAGAATCAGTAATAGTGTGAGGATGATTCGTGATCCATACCGTTCTCTATCGAAGCATTACTGAACTGGCCGAGAGGATTTGGTGAATTAAGGTCGTGAATATTTTCTAAACAAGCAATGATTCCCTTATCGAAGTCCCAAATATGCACGTAGAAGCAACCCTTGATGGTGAGTCCTCCAGGCCTTTACCCAGGTTCTGGGGTATGATTCTGAGCCAGTTCATAGCCACACTGATTCGATGGCCTTGGGTCCCCAGTCCAACCAGGGAATCTCAACAGGTGTTTCTGATAGTTGGACGTAAGGTCTAGGTTCGCTGCTGCGCTGTGGAACGATGTGGTGGCATGAACAACATAGAACAGCATGTCGCACGGTGTTTCTGGAGGGTTAAAGGAATCAGGCCCGAATTTCAGACTCGGAAGGGAGATACACGATTCAGCAATGAGGTGAGCCATCAAGCTCTTGTAACGTGTACAAGGTCTCATAGCATTCTATATCGATGTCAACAATCGTTTGTTCGTCAACTGGATGTAAATTTACCTTCCCGCCTGGTTCACACACAGGATACTGCCGATACTGAGCTGCAGGGTTTTCAAGATTGATAAGTTGAGTGGACTTACACTCTTCGCATGTCCTAAATTGACGCTTTTGTGAGGGGACCGGTTGGCATATAGCTCGTATGGAGACGCTGGAAGCACCAGGCTTAAACAACGCAGTTTGAGCGTGTGGTGGCTACATGGGAATAGGAATATTAACATTACCTAGCCAGAGCCGGTCCCGATAGTCAGACCTTGATGGAATGAAGATAGCGACGAGACATTACAGGGGGGAAAAGAATTGAAACCACTAATCTCGAAACTGTCCGCCAATCGATCGATCCACTTACCAGCAACGGGTTGTCAAAGGTCCAATTCCACATTTATATTCGCCATCCATCCCATGGCAGCTCACCCCTTACCCCTGAGCGCAGTCCGCCCCGTAACTTACACACATGCTTCAAAGTTCATACGCCGCGATCCGTCCTCTCTCGTTGACGGAAACTCGGGAAATGACGAAGAGGATGAGGGAATCTGAGATTGAGGGAGTCTGAGGATGAGGGAGAGCGACTTGGGTATCTCAAGTCGAAGCCTCTATATATATGCAAGTCTAGACCTAGGAAGAGCACGATGATAGGCGCGAGTCTCGACTCGAATCTGTCACGGTTGTATGTAGTAAGAAGGCCACTTAATATGAATGACAACGAAATCGCGACGCGCCGGACACGGGCCGGCAGGGGCCGGCTTCGAACAAATAGCCCATATATTGGATGCTTAGCCGAAGCTGATCACCCCCATTTTCCATAACTTCGGACTAAATGGCTGGCCCAGATCTGGTCACCGAGTGCGACATACGCCAGCATACGCCGAGTAATTGAGCATATGATCAACTGGAGCCCATCTGATTCGAACAATTTGGCGTGAGTTCTGAACGACTCGTCTGGCAGGATTAATGTGACAATCGGATGCATTCCTCGCGGGTCGCACTGACACCTTCATATTGATTAATTTGCATATCTGCCCACCTATTAGCAACGTTGACAGCTGGGGTACCTTAAATGTCACCCCTCGAACTTGGCACCATTCCTCCTCAGTGTTGTTTCTGGTCTCTGTTAAAAGCGGGGCCTCGTCCGGGTCATACATAGCGTCCCTATTCGCAGAAGCCTTCGTCATCAGATTGCTCGGTCACTGCCTTTGCTGCATCTCAAAGTTTGCCTCAGATCCCTCGCCTCAATCTACCAAGAACAGATCTGCCAGGCACAGAGCCAACCGGCGCGCCTTTCTTCTATTAAATGGAGCGGCGTTTAGTTGTAGACAGTGTAACCTCGGAGAAGTATTTGCGAATAGCATCTGTCTCCATTGCGATTTACGAGTAAGTCTTTTCTTTATAGTTGCCCCGTATTCGTCTTGGTATCCTGACTGACTGCGTTTAGTTATATTCTGACACTGCCTGCAGAATGGCGCTTTTACCGAAACCAATCATCATTTTTTCATATGAGGTATGTATACGCGGACATGAACGTACCACTGTTGACAAGCTCGCTTTCCATCAGTCTTGCCTGCGCCTTATTCATTCTCATACGGTACGTTTTGTTCTCATTTGGTTATGTGATTTTTTTTCGCTCAAATTTCATGCAGCTATGGTAGTATCTTGGTTATATTGTTCAGCAATTACGGATATTTCTCTGCCGCCTTTACCCTACAAACATGTCAACAATACTATCTTTTGGCGCCTGTCTTCAAAGGTATGTTCTATTGGTGTTCACCCACCAAAACTCTATTGACCACACTGTAGCCATACAAACTATGATATCACAGGTCATCCTAGGTGTCAGGTTTGTCCTGCCTTTTTTGTGTCTGGATTGCAGCTGCACAGACTCAAAAATACCGTGTAGGACATTCAATATTGCAAGAAGAGATAGGCGGATAGGAATTGCACTATTGCTGCTATACCTCTTCTCAACTGCGGTAGGAGGCTCTCACAACACAGACATGATATCGTTTCTCTTATTCGTTTTAGGCGGAGTGGTTCGCCGATCTATTTCATGGGTCCCGTGAGCTCTGACTTATAATTTAATCTTGGGTTCGCATTGACCTTTAGAACCAACAGCTGCTACTGTTAATGTACGTCAGTGTTTCTTACAACAATATCTCATACAAACAACGTCCATTTGTAGGGAAAGTAAGTGATTCCCTTACCACCCGTGTGGGCTGTTCAGATCTTCATGAACTGTAGCTGCACCTCAGCAAATTCTGGCAGGGTATTGTCAACCTGGTTCTACTACCTCGCTGTGATACTGTATGATATTGTGATGGTGACAATATCTACCATGCATCTTATGCGTTATAATCCTCTCAGTAGCAGGTGTGCATTTTCTCTCCCGTCTTTAGGGTTGCTAAACCGTCGCTATTAGAATACAACAACTGATACGGGTGTAAGTTCCTCACCACTGGCAAAGTCGATGCGCGTCGCTCATCACACTTAGCCTGATCTATGACGGCATTGGATATTTCATTGTGTTGTCTGGCAAGTTATGTTCTGCTTGTGATGAGCATCCTCCTAATATTCCCTCAGCGTCGAACGTATTGAACCTCATCCTTTATCATACGACCAACATTGAGACTCAGGTATGTAGGCTTGATTACGAATACACCATGGAAACTCAGCTCAATAATATCGACTGGCTCCTATTATTAGTCGGCAGGGTAAGTTTCGCATCCATTTGTGTCAAGGAAATCAGACCACTCAGAATACATCATCAGGGCATCAATAGGTTATGTTGTAACGTGGATCATGAGCCAACGGATCCTCATCAATATACGAGGTGCGCACCACTTCCAAGCTTGACAGCTATTCCGCTAACGCTCGCGACATTCATTCGTTCCGTTTCTTTCGCTCCACTCACCTGCACCCGCAAACGACTGTCAGAGCCAAATACCCAACACGTGGAAAACGTGATCATCGCGCGTCCCACACTCACTGCGCAGAAAAAAGTGATGTCCGGTCTTCGCTCACAGTTCGACTCTAAGAGCCACTCCAAAGACTCTAAAACCCCCATCGATGGAGAGTTCAGGCACACATCTTCGCACAGTGGGGACGCTGATGACATGGAACTCGGTGTACGCGTACGCGTCGATCGCTCGGTGGTGGTAGATTACACGGAGTGATCATCACGAACAGCTACTCTTCCCGTAGAAAGATCAGATCATTTTGCATCTCCTCGGCGCACCTTTCGATGACCATAGTTTTTCTGTGTAGCCTCGTGTCATCACGCTCAAGCTCGTAGCCAAGGGGGGGAAGCTGCGAGCCAGGAGAACCTGGACGACGAGGAACTTGGTAATAACTTGGAATCCAAGGGCGTGCATCCGCCGTTTATAGTGCTTCATGTGCATGGGGAACCACCTGTCACTCAAGCAAAGAGCGTGGTTCGAGGACCGGGTGAGGGACTTCGTGTGTGATTACAAGAAGAGGTGAAGCAGAGACGACTTTGTGTCTTGAGGAACAACCTCAATCTATCGAGGCCTACCAAGACACAATGTCGGCGCAGAATCCCTCATGACCATGCACTGACGTAAGTTGTGTCTTTAGGAACTGCGAATGATGTATCGTGGTGATTCATCCTGAACTACCGTCCTAGTTGAGCCTCAGGGCGAAAGGACTCTTCTCGACCAACACGAGTGCGTGTTGAATTTGACTACCGGAATTGCTGAGATGAGTGATTTCCATCACTCGCAACCACTTAGTAAAATCAATACTTCTGGTCATCGATGTAAATGAACATATCCGAGTCCTTGGCAGCTGTGGGGATGTCAGATAATGTCCCAAAGGCTCCAGGCAGTGCCAGTTCGAGAGCATATAGTCTATTATCACTAGCCTCCAATATGTAGACTGTTTGCTGATCGCCATCAACAAGGCACTAGCAGTCATCTATCAACAATCTCAGTAGTACCACACAGTTGCTTTTGTCCTTCGTACCTACCCGCCGCTTCTCTATAACTCCGACTCGTATAACAGCAACGCCACCGCCGATCCAGCAAACCCGAAAGCAACGCTATGAAATTGTAACTCTAAGGAAAAGCTTAGGATTGCGCGAAGTAAGGAGAACGTTGTCCATCGCGCGCACGTCCACTATAGCATACAAACCGCTACATTACATGATCATACAACCGTTTCATACAGTTCCACCTCCTTAAACCACCTCCACACATGCCACCAGGCAGTCAAGAAACTGCAATTCACTAAGCCTAACCCTCCTGATATCGCCGTATTGCCTAGACTTCAGGTCTGGCTGAAGACGAACAGATCAGCTGGACCGCTACAATTGCAACAGATATCACATACACAGGCGATACTGCATAGTAACCTCAATAATTGTCTTGATTAACTCCGCCTTGTTCTGGGAGCGTTTTGTTGATCCCTCCATCCACCGAGAGGAGTTTGCTTGATATGTGCGGACCGCAGAGCTAAGAGCGTCCCTGACAGCAGCGGCATTGGGAGACGCGATATACTGCTCGAGAGCAATGCGAACACGGGGAAAATATAACAGCGTTTTATAGGTTTGCTCCCAAAAAAAGTAAGCGCGCTCGAAGATGATAACAGCAGCTTATGGTCAATCATCAGCAGACTCATTGCGACGCAGCCTAAATCTCACCAGAACCAAGTTGAACTGTTTTCTCCAATGTCGATGAGCCAGAGTGCTAGCAAGCCTTGGAGATGAGAATCGTGGACGAGCTGTGAGCAATGGGACATACCAAATGTTGTAACGTTAACCACAACTCCTCATCTTCAGGGCGGTACAGCTGGTGAATCGTGAGAAAAGACAGAAATGGTTGAAGGTCAAATTACTTACTTGCTGTCATTATCAACACATCAGTGCACAAGCTCGAGAGAGAATCAAGACACTCACAATCTGTCAACGAGTCAGCGATATGTTCGGACAGAAATGCTCGAGCTCGGCATATGATCAAGATACTCACAAGCTATCAAGGAATGCAAAATATCGACAATACTCGACTTCGGCAGATGGTAAAGACACTCACAGGCTGTCAATGGGTCAGTGATGTGTTCGGTCAGCAATGCTTGACTTCGAAAGATGATCAGGACATTCACAAGCTGTCAAGGGATCAGCGAGGCTCGAGCTCAACAGATTATGAACACACTCACATGCTGTCAACGAGTCAGAAATGTATTCAGTCAGCGAGGCTCGACTTTGACAGATGGTCAAGACTCACAGTCTGTCAAGGGATTAGCAGTGTGTTCAGTCAGCGAGGCTCGAGCTTAACAAAGGATCAAGACACTCACATCCTGTCAAGGAATCCGAAATGTAATCGGTGAGCAATGCTAGAGCTCAACAGAGGATCAAGACACTCACACGCTGTCAAGGGATCAGCAATGTCCGACTTCGACAAATGACCAACACACTCACAATCTGTCAAGGGATCAGGAGATCAGCATTGTGTTCGGATAGTAATGCTTGAGTTCGACAGTGGATCGACACTCACAATCTGTTAAGAGATCAGCAATGTCAGCGAGACTCGAGCTCGACAGATGATCAACACACTCACATTCTGTCAAGGGATCAGCGATGTGTTCAGTCAGCGACGCCCGACTTCGACAGATGATCAGCACACTCACGTCCTGTCAACAGATCAGCAATGTGTTCTGTCAGCAAGGCTCCAGCTCAACACACTCACTAACTGACAATAGATTGGCGATGTCTTCGGTCAGCAAGACTGGAGCTCGACGGAGGATCAACTAACTCACATGCTGCCAACGGATCAACGATGTCTTAGGTCAGCATGCTGGCAGGGGCGGATTACAGACATACCCCCTGCAAGTGACCGTCAAATATAAATGAGCAGAGTTTTCGAACATTCCTACAATTGTCGATGGAAACCATGCACCCAAATCATCTACAATCTGTCGATCATTGAATTTTCCAAACATGCGAGATGAGATTGTCTGAGTAGAGTCAAGATGCAGCGCAATTGTGCTCAAGACGTCGAGACAATGATTTCAGTTGTTATTCCTCGCTAGAGATATATGAGATTTGAGGAGTCACCTTTCAACTGCACACCTGATGCACACCTCCAAAGTGGTTTGCTGAGTCGAGGTGAACAACTGTTTAAGCACCTTATCATCGAGACTTCCAGCCGTGCATTTGATGAGTGGCGTGCAATCTGCATCATTTTTGTCCATATCTAAATGTCCGAGAGGGAATAAATGTGACTACACAATTAAATAGACTAATTGGCTTACCAGGAAGACATATATGACATTTTGGAGGACGTTGGTTGCCCTTGCGGCTGTACAAAAGCTTTAGTTGTGGCCCGTTGGCAAATGACTCTCTGGCGTGCTGCGGGGCCAGTCCGTCAGCATCTTTCCTCGATACTCCCTTGCTCATTAGCTCTGCATGTACATCGTCGTAGAGGGCGTCAAATTTAGTAAACAACACAATTACTGGAACTGAGGATTGTGCATGGTCAATGATATATAATGGCAGACACAAACACTTACTTCTTCCAGTGTCACACTGAGAGAAAAACTTGACTTCCGCTTCCGTGAAAGACCTGCTATCCTCATCCATCGGAATGCAGTACCTATGCGAAAGACATGAGATAGTGCACACCAGCAACTAATGGCCAATTACCATATCACATGGATTCGATCATGTAACCATTGTTTCTTAGAACGGCTTATGATGAAAGCCTTCACCTTGTTGAATTCGGAGTGTCCTCCTGCCTCAAACCCACGTGAATCGTGAAAGACGAATCCTGGGTTGTTCCGAAACACCATTTCATTCTCGATATTGTGCAATCCACGCTGAGAACTCGTCAAGGAATGTTGCTAACCACTACAAGCACGCCCTACCTCTCTGGATGCCGCCAAAACGGAGGCATCGATCTGATCTCGTCGAATCAATCAAGATTCATCACTATGGACCAGCCTCCTATTGGGATCATAGTACTGCGCACCTTGTTCCCGGCGCTATCATATATTTCTGGGTTGTCCTTTGTTTTGCAAACCCTCTGGAGGATGGTGGTTTTTCCTGCATTCGCTCTTCCTATAATGAGGATTCGGAAGCGCTTGAATCTCTTTCTTATCTCTGAAGGATCCATGATGGAGGAACACGGTAAGGGTATGTGAACTCTTTGAGCTCCAAACCACCACTAGTACTTCAAGGCAACACGACAAAACAGTACTAGCCTTAAATGCACATTGCGGAGTTTGGACGCGCACTCACTGGCATCTTTGTCTCTTCAGCTGCAACATGTGTGTTTACGCGTCTGTGGCTAGGCTACCTCTTGTTATGACACCACCGCTGATCGATGTAACCATTATGTTGTATTCAGGTGCCGAGAACATCATGATTTCTTGTTCAATTGTAGCAATGATTCTAAATACCTATGCCACTCACTTGGGAAGGCAATTCTTGAACTTCACTACTAGTACAATTTCGCAGTCGCTAGCTGTGATCAATACTAAATGGCGCAAAAAAGGAACATGTCGTGGTGCTCCTTTCCCTTGTTCACTGACAGCGTGTACACTGGCACTTCTGTCGATCTCGCACAAAACACAACAGTCAGTCGCTAGGAAAGGCATCCATAGCTTTCACGTGCGTGTTTACGTCTATGGTAAGTAGGAGACTATTACTGACACATTTTTTTTGCAGAAACACCACGCCAATCCATGCAACCCGTAAGCGGTGGTATGAAATTACATCCCAGTGCTTTCTTTGAGCAAAAATTGACTTGGGTAAGGAGGATGCGGTGCTCAAACAGAGGTGACTCAGTCTCGCTGGTGATTGCCGTCTTGTGTATATGAAGGCAATCTATAGAGAGACTGACTCACCTGAGGCCTATGAGGTTTGAAGTTTGAAGTTTGAACCATGACTCATGGTGTCCTTCTCATTTTCCCGGCACTAGTTCTCGAAGATAAGCATTGACTTTCAACTTTAACCCTAGTTGTGCGTTGACTGCTGCATCAGAACCAGTCAGAGAGCCACGGACGACGCTTCAGTCCACTCTACTTTCTTTCGAGTTGACGACGTGGCATGACCGCCTATTTGTGGAAGTGGCAGTCCTATCATGTGCGTGTCATTTCGCATTTGACTTATGTTTATCATGGGACCTGTATACTATGTGGCTCGCGCGATGATACAGTGACCACCACGAACAGCCACCCCCCTCGTGTATAAAAATCATTTTTAACCTCCTCGGCGCACCTTTCGACGACCATAGTTGTTCTCTGTTGTCTCGTGTCACCATGCTCAACCTCGTAGCCAAGGAGGATTTCGGCATTGATTGGTCGTTTCGTTGTGTTTACTGAAGGCGATGATCAGCGGTAGGTGGGAATCTGCGGGACAGGAGAACCTGTCAGGGAAGGACGACGAGGAACTTCATAAATTGGGATCCAAAGGTGTGCATCCGCCGCTTATGGTGCTTCATGTGCATGGGGAACCACCTGTCGAGCGTGATTCAGAGAACAGGTAAGGGAGTTTGTGTGGGACTACAAAACATGGATGTAAGACCTGCTTAAGACCCCGCCTCAAGTATCTTCGCGACCTCGATGTTGTAAACCCAATATATTTGACGAACAAGAGAACTGAGTGGTATTGATTCAAACTACTTGTGATAACGCAGCCTTGGATTGGGCTCACGATATGGCTATGCCCAGGGGTCCTTGTCTATGCTCGTGGACCGAGTGTAGGCAAATTTATGGATAGGAAAATGATGGTTAGTGATGATCGATAACTCAAGATAACAGCCATGGGTCTTCCAGGAGATCACGCGCGGTAGCTCGATTCTTGGGATCAAGACGCAAGCACCGATGCATGAAGGCCGCAGCTTGCTCGATCTCCTCGTCAGAAAAGGGATATCCACAGCCACGGATGCAGTCCTGGAAAGGTTTGCGCAAGAATCGGTCGAACCCTTTCAGCGAGCCTGTAAAATAGTATATATGGAGAAGGATGACAATGACAATGAGAATGAAAATGACGCACAGTTGATGTTGAAGTAATCGTGACTTCGAGAGCACCTCGTGAGGAGATCTTTGTGGAAGAATTCCCCGCAAAACATGATCATTTGATATAATAGCATGGCTTCCTCGCTGACGCCTTTCTCTTCGTAGTCTATAGGCTTGAACAACGGGCATCTAGTGAGGGCGTTGAAGACCTTGGTATGCAAATAGAGGAATCAGCCACTGTGACCTGGCTCCAAGTGATATTAACAACGTACGATACAACCGAAAGTCCAGATATCCACGGATTCATCCCACTCGCCTCCAAGGACGATTTCTGGAGGGCGTAAACCGAGAGGCGTAATGTGGTCTGTGGTCTGACTATTGACAAGTTGCGCTGCGATATCATCAAGAACGAGAGCAGAGAAAGGAATGCAGGACTTACCACTGCCCCAATCAGCTAGCGTATATTTGCCGACGGCTAGCTCGCTAAACGTCGGAGGAGGGAGCGACTGAGAGACGAAAGCTGAAATCATTTTAGTCACACTTTGTTCTGGCGGATGAGTGCGCGGAGGGTTAGCTTTCAACCACTCTGCGATAGCCTCCGTGGTCCACTTGTCGCTCAGGGCAATCATAATATTGTCCGGTTTGATATCTGACAGGTCCGCAAAAACTCGAATATCAGCATTAATAGTGGGACTAGGACAAACGACAAACCGGTATGCGCGACGCCACGAGAATGGGCATATGCGATGCCTGTTAGGACATCTCTCAACATGCGCTTCACGATGGGTAACGGTAAGTATCCAAAATTAGGCAAACCGTCTCGTATGCCATGCATGCTGGGGCCTAGTAGATCCATAACGAGACACAAATGTTCGCCGTCATCTTCGATGCCCTGATGGTAAAAATGGGTGAGTAGTCGAGAAAAAGTGCCCGACGGATCAACTGGGAGTGGCGAGGATGTGTCAGACGACAGATGCTGAAGGACTTTGAGTTCCTGCAGTTTGTCCTCCTTATTTAGCTGGCTGGCGAATCCGCTCAATATCTTGAGAGCGACATAGCGATCTTTTCTAAAGATGATGAGTGACGTGTAACTATCTGGTTAGCGTTGAAGTGTTCGTCAACGTACCGAAAATCACGAGCAAGCCACAAGCTGGATGTAGTGCCCCAACCTAGTTTTGCTTCAACCTTGAAGCACGAGTCAGGTCCAAGGAGGCTGCCTGGGCCACCTTGAAACCAACCACAACCTTCCTCGGCCGAAATCCCAAGGGGTTCCTCAAAAAAAATGAAATGGGGACGATCATCTTCTTGAGGCTGAGGTGTTGCAGTATAAAGCCGTGATGACACAGGGCGGCAAATATATGGATACACCGGTGGAGTCGCTGGCCGTCGAATAAATCTGGAAGAGCACACACTGTTGAGGAAGCGGCGCATCGCAGAGGTCGGCACTACAGCTAGAATTATAAGTATTTTCACAATAGAGACTGGGACAGATCTTTCAAAACCGATCAATTGAGCGTTACGTGAACGTCAACCGTCATCAAAAATCTTATATGCTAGCGATTCATGGTTGCTGATTGGTGGATTTCAAATACATGTTTAATTAATTACAGATGCTCCCGCTACCCTGCCGCGCGTAAACAATTGTGCTGCTACTTGATACGTGTCCAATCACCTTCGAAAGAATAGGCTGACGTCAACATCAACCTACGCTCAAGAAAGACGACCCTCTTCTCGAGCCACCCCCGAGCGATATGCCAAAATTCAAAGGCGCGGCAGAAACGGAGGTCAGGGTTGCGAACCAAAGGCTCCGTGGACCTACACCAAACCTCAACGACGATGAACGACGCCCCCAGCTTCCCAACATCAACGGCAGAAATGGAGGCCAGGCGAAGGCTGCGAATGATCTTCCTGCGGTGTACCACCCTCCATATCAATGGTTCTCTATGTACCAACACGTAACCTCAATCCCGATTTATGGCATGCTGGAGGATGATAACGATTATGACTATGGTTTGCTTGCTCAAAGAGACGACAATATGGATGAATAAGTCGAATTTGATCCATACGGTGTTGTATACACTGCTTGGTTGGAAAGCTCACCGCCTTGTATGTAGAGATTTCGCCACCACCCGAAGCATGCACTCGGACAGCGCATCTGATGGGGTCTCCGTTCTGTCAGGGACTGCCTCAGTGTTGTCTGGGTCCAATATTTGCACGCTCGGAACATCATGCTGCGAACGAAGTTCACAAGGGTCTCTTCCAACCATTCACTCCAAGCCTATCGAGACTTACTTCGAGATGATCAGTCCAATTTCCGAAGCCAGCTCAGCGGGGCGATGTGTGGGGAATATGATTAGATCCAAGTAGCAGATGATTTACGATAGCTAGGTAGGATGTTGCGAGACTTCTTGGGAGGAATTGGACACAGCTTGAAAAACTAAGCCATTCACCTTGCATCTTTGAACACTCTGCGTGAACGCGAGCAGACATACCTGCAATGCTAGCTTGTCCTCCATCCAACAGCAATAGGGATTACAGAGCGACAGATAATTCTTGGGCGCTTCAACTGCACAGCTGTATACAAGCTGTGAAGCGAACACGAGGATACAGCATGTCAAACGTACCAAGAAGCGGTGAACTCAACTCTGACTTGACCGAAACGCCCATTGTCCCCCACTATCCACCCGTCGCTGTTGTCCTCAGTAAGTGATGAATTCTGAATTTGATGGGTGGAAGCTGAGAGTCTGAGACGGTGTTGCACTCGGTAGTTGAAATTGTGGAATGTCTTCACCCACCACTAAAAAGAAAGAGATATCAGCAATAACGCCTCGCCAGAAATTTGAAGGGCACACCGATTTCATCCAAGGAGCCATACACCTACTTGACGGACAGCGGATCATTACTTGTTCATCTGATGGCTCGCTGCGGGTATGGAACTTGGAGAGCGGGAAACAGATAGGAGAAGATTGGCGGGACGGAGACAGTGGAGTGATGAGTATAGCGTTGTCTCCGGATGGGAAGAACGTGGTTAGCGGGAGTACTGACGGTGGAGTGAGGTTGTGGGACATCGAGACAGGCAAGGTCATCGCGAAATGGACAGGGCACACCAAGGAAGTGTATTCTGTCTGTTGGAGTAGAGATGGTCAGCGAGTACTGAGTGGATCTGAAGATGGGACAGCGAGGCAGTGGGATGTGGAGAGCGGAGAGACAATCCTGGAACCCGGGCCAATCAAGACAGGGCATCTAGAAGTGTACGCAGCCGTCTATTCGCCAGATACGAACATGATTGCAACTGCTGGATCTGATATGCCTTGGAATACTGAAGATAACTACGAGTCCTCAATTAAAATCTGGGATGCCAAGACAGGCGAACTTGTCGCAACTCTCAAAGGACACACACATTTCCATTTCGTGTGGTGCCTGGCTTGGACCCTGGATGGAAAAACGCTCATCTCCGGGTCAGACCATCACTCGATTCGGACATGGAGTACAAAAACTTGGAAGCAGAACGCAGTTCTCGATGCGCACACTGACTCTGTCTATGGCATTGCAATATCTCCAAATGGCCGCGTCCTCGCAAGCGCATCAGCTGACTCGAAAGCGCGATTGTGGGACCTTGACAACGGCCAGCCTATTGGTAGTTCTCCACTCCAGCATCCAAGTGATGTCAACTGTGTATCGTTTTCCGCGGATGGAAAACTACTAACAACTGGCGGCAATGACAAGAACGCGTACTCATGGGATGTTGCTACCATTCTTAGAGAAGCTGGCCTCAACGAGCTTCTGTTGGATCCAAAGGTGAGTCGACAGGCATTCATTACATTCTCGTCACTGAACGCGCTCTGCCAGGCAAACAAGTCGGCACTCCCTGTACGTAACACCTTCGTAAAAGATCTCATCGCGTTAAAACATATGCTCTCTAGGAAAATGCTACACGACATCCTGCCCAACGACGTCAACTTGCCCATAGGGTACCCCCGGGCTTTTTTGATGTTCCACCAGATCATTCTCGTGTACGTTGTTAGTATCACTTCGAGTTTGATCCTGACCTTCGTAATCTCAGTTCTCTCCACGAAGCCGCCTCCACGCCTCAGCACCGCAAGGAAGCACACTTCTTAGCCGCTTATTCCACCGCAGCCCCTCCGATACACATGAAACGTCGCCGTCCTCTCCTCTCGACTGGGCTCAAAACCTTTTGAAACGACGCGTACAGAGTGGGGAAGGCATGGAGTTGCATGGGCACAGCCCAGCAGTTGTTGAGGTTCCGTATGCACGGGGAAAACGTGTATGTTTTCTCTCCTTCCCGGATGTTCCACTCGACCTGACATTGTGCAGAGGAATGCTTCAGCGAGAGAAAAACGGTAAACGGGCTCACGGCCTCTCAAGCCCAATGCCACGCAGCAGTCCAATGGTGCGACTCAGACCCAGCCATCTTCGCAACCACAGGCACCTGTCTCCAATTCGTCTACCTCACCTGCCATTGGTGATACAACCACAGCTTCTACGTCAACAAACTTGGGCCCTCATGCAACGATAAGACACGCTGGACGCTGGACTCGCTTCCGGCTCTTCATTTGTTGCCTATCTCCTGAATACACGGATGGCCGTCATTAATCTATAATTTCCTCATCCGTACATTTCCCGCGTGCCTCTACAAGATTTACGCCTTTCTGCCATGTATGTTTAGAACTGTCCTTTTTCATGCCATACGCCTCCTCATCTCCGTCTGCGATATGATATGTAAGACGCTGAAACTATGTGTTTCGTCTTTCTGGGCTCGTCGATCCGACTCACTTTGTACTATTTATACACCAAGTATCAGTTGCATCAATAAAACAAACCACTCTGATAAAGACTCCCTGACGTATCTGCCATGCTGACGGAGGGGGCCACAATGGCATGGGCTCGAGTAATCGCTACAATGGTAACCTCCTGCCTTTCATATTTACTTCTCCCCAGACCCACAACGTACAGTTTCACACTTGAAGCCGGTCACACGAATGAAATCTCTTTCGGCTTTTGAGCGAAATAGACAGCTCGTTAAATGAAATCGTTCCCGGATAACACGATCTGCTGATATGCGCCGGGGAAATGCGATCTCATATTCTAAGTGTAGGACACAGCTAGTCGAAAATAAGGATGTGGCGTTGCAGGACGTTGAAAATGAAAGAAAGAGGTGTCAACGGCCACCCGGATTGGACGGGCATGAGAATTGCTCAATGACTCCGAGTCAAAATCTGTTTGTTCAGTGCTGCAGTCCCACACATGCGCTTCAAATCAAAACCATTCAATAGGCAAAGACATGCGACAAACAATTTAGATTTTTAGCTCCTAACGCAGACACCATTGTAGCCAATGACACAATGCACAAAATTATGGTCTATGGGCGATACAGCGTTAACCTGGTCAGTTGAGAGCATCATGTTTTAAAAGAACTTGTTTGGCACGACTCCATTGACGGGGTCGTCGTTAACTGTAACATGTTCCATATTGATTGTGTCTTTGGTGTCAGGTGACGGCTTGACATCAGAGTTTCGGGGTAGGGAATTGGGTTTGGACACAGAAGTCGCTTTTGCAATGGTTAGAGTATTCATGAGTTGCGCATGAAAAAGATGAAGCACAGGAAGTTTTAATCCTCCGACGCAAGACGTTTTGATTCATATACAGTCAAAGGGGTCACTCACGAGGTAATCTTGCGCTCTCCCAAGGAAATATCACAATGTTGGTCACCGTGACGAGATGGCCACCGAAAAATGCACCGTGTACGTGTACACACCTTGGCGTGAAAGTAACCATAGCCTGGCTGTCCACAGCCAGGAATTGTTGCTATTGCTATGGAACGAACAGGTTTTCTACTTGTCCAACTGGTTCAGTCAGGCGCTTCTGCCGAAGCCACAGTAGAGACAGGCGCTGGTAGTTGTGTTGAGACAGAGCCCAAGGAGACGCTGGATTGGAAGATTGTGTGAGAACAGATTTTCATAATCAAAATAATGAGATGGAGATAAGAAATGTGCGAATGCAAGGACTGGCTTGCCTGTGGTTGGTCGGTGCAATGACGAGGGTCCGATGTATTCGTGTCACGAGGTCATGAAATGTCTTCCTCTTGGCCGATATAGTTGGTGCAAGCGCTGAACGTTGAACTCTGGAAAGGATGATGGCATCGTAAATGTATGCAGGTGAAGCATGGTGCGAGAATTTATTAGGCGCCGAATAATGAACTTCGCGAAGACGCAAATGTGACAATGTGACAGGAATAGACTGGCTGACATAGTTTCAATCGATCCTAATAGGAACACGTAGGCATCAAATCTAAGGGCGTCGCCCCATGTACGATCTGTCCTGTGATTTAAAGGGGAAAGGAAAGAAGAGAAGGCAAAGATGATTTTGACATACCAAAAGCGTCAATCGGCAAGCTGATACCGCTTCCATGGAAGACCGGAGTGGCAGATGCCATTCTTGGGCGCTTCAACTGCACAGCCTTATGCTGCATATAAGCTGTGAAGCGAACACGAGGATACAGCATGTCAAACGTACCAAGAAGCGGTGGACTCAACTCTGACGTGAGCGAAACGCCCATTATCCCTACTATCCGCCCGTGGCTGTTGTCCTCGGTAAGTGATGAATGTGGAATTTGGTGGGTGAAAGCTGAGACAGCGCTGCACTCGGTAGTTGGAATATGTCTTCACTCACCACTAAAAAGAAAGAGATATCAGCATATATAACGCCTCGCCAGAAATTTGAAGGACACACCGATTGGGTCAATGGAGCCATACACTTACTTGACGGACAGCGGATCATTACTTGTTCAGATGATGGCTCGCTGCGGGTATGGAACTTGAAGAGCGGGAAACAGATAGGAGAAGACTGGCGGGACGGAGACAGTAAAGTGTACAGTATAGCGTTGTCTCCGGATGGGAAGAAAGTGGTTAGCGGGAGTAGTGACGGTGGAGTGAGGTTGTGGAGCATCGAGACAGGCAAGGTCATCGCAAAATGGACGGGACACACAAAGACAGTGTGGTCTGTCTGTTGGAGTCGAGATGGTCAGCGACTAGTGAGCGGATCTGAAGATGGGACAGCGAGGCAGCGGGATGTGGAGAGCGGAGAGACAATCCTGGAACCCAGGCCAATCAACACAGGGCATCTAGAAGTGTTGGCAACCATCTATTCGCCAGACAGGACCATGATTGCAACTGGTGGATACGATAGGTCTTGGACCGAAGATAACCGCGAGTCCTCCATTCAAATTTGGGATGCGAAGACAGGCGAGCTTGTCGCAACTCTCAAAGGACACACACATTCGGTGTTGTGCCTGGCTTGGACCGCGGATGGGAAAACGCTCATCTCCGGGTCAGACGATTACTCGATTCGGACATGGAATACAAAATCATGGACGCAGATCGCATTTCTCGATGCACACACTTCTTCTGTCTATGGTATTACAATATCTCCGAATAGCCGCATCCTCGCAAGCGCATCATGGGACAAGACAGCGCGATTGTGGGACCTCGACAACGGCCAGCCCATCAGTCCTCCACTCCAGCATCCAAATGATGTTAACTGCGTATCGTTTTCCGCGGATGGAAAACTTATAACAACTGGCTGCGATGACAAGAACGCGTACTCATGGGATGTTGCTACCATTCTTAGAGAAGCTGGCCTCAACGAGCTTCTTTTGGATCCAAAGGTGAGTCGACAGGCATTTATTACATTCTCATAACTGAGCGCGCTCTGTCAGGCCAACAAGTTGGCACTCTCTGTACGTGACACTATCGTAAAAGATCTCATTGCGTTCAAACATATAAACTCTAGGAAAATGCTACACGACATCCGACCCAACGACGTCAACCTGCCCATCGGCTTCCCCCGGGCTTTTTTGATGTCCCACCAGATCATTCTCATGTACGTTCTTAGTATCACGTAGAGTTTCATCCTGACCTTCGTGATCTCAGTTCTCTCCACGAAGCCGCCTCCACGCCTCAGCACCGCAAGGAAGCACACTTTTTGGCCGCTTATTCCACCGCAGCCGCTCCGATGCACATGATATCTCACCGTCCTCTCCTCTCGACTGGGCTCAACAACTTTTGAAACGGCGCGGACAGAGTGGTGAAGGCATAGAGTTGCAGGGGCGCAGCCCAGCAGTTGTTGAGGTCCCGTATGCAAAGGGAAAACGTGTATGTTTTCTCTCCAGATGTTCCACTCGACCTGACATTGTGCAGAGGAATGCTTCAGCGAGAGAGAAACGGAAAACGAGCTCACGGCCTCCCAAGCCCAATGTCACGCAGCAATCCAATGGTGCGACTCAGACCCAGTTATCTTCGCAACCTCAGCCAGCTGTTTCCGACTCGTCTACCACACATGCTGTCGGTGATACAACTGCAGCTTCAACATCAACAAACTTGCGCCCTCATGCAACGATAAGACACGCTGGACGCTGGACTCGCTTCCGGCTCTTCATTTGTTGTCTGTCTCCCGAATACACGGATGGCCGTCATTAATCTAGCGTGCTGGTTTTACTACCATCGGTCTTCACGACGTCAACTCAGTGCTACGCCATGCTTTGCTTCACTACATCGTTATATGGTAGCATTGGTGTGTTGCTTCCAAATGTTTCAACAGCAGCGTCGCACTACCACGGAATGTATAGGGCAGTCTGCGCGCATGGAGGCTAAGCCCAAAGCTGTCGTTCACCTGCGTGCCAGTGCATCTCATGTGTTGTTATATGATTATGAGTAGGGTTATGAGGCAAGATGAAAAGCTAAAGGGCATCGATGATGTAGAGCATGGTGGATAGTGAATAGTTGAACGAAGGCGATTGTAGGGTATCTGAGTATATAGAATTTTATCATTGAAGGCACAAACGACGACCGCTCAGAGATCTCCAGTCTTAAAAAAACATACAACTATGATATTTCTAGGGTCCGAACAGGTGCCATGATTTTTACTTACGCAATGATGTTGTAATCCGAGCTCTTTCTCCGCTGCGGTGCTGCTAGCAAAAATGCACTGAACAGCTGTCCTGCATATGCATGAAGCTTTGAAGTTTCTGGTCATTTTCGTTTCTTGCAAGTTGTAGACTTCTCTGACGTCACGCCATGAGTTTTTCAATCACGTGAGGAACGCGCTTCAAATAAACCTTGAAGACGTTGTTATTATTAATACTTGTTATACACTTATTTCTATAATCCAGACCAGTATATATGATGATCCACAACGTTAACTGCGTTGACCGGGACACCATACCCCTACGTTTCCTGACAATATCATATGGGAACAAAAAGGTGGTCACGCGGAAAAGTCATTCAAAGTTCGCGAGTTCAAAGTGCGTGCATCATATCCCACTCTCTCGTGATTTTTAAATCGAGCGTTTCTTATTCCAGTCCCTCCAATCTTTTGCGCGTCGTAATTTTTTTTATCCAAGACCGTCCACTCTCATCCCTGCGTTTCCGAACGACCTACAACCTTAGCTTGTCACCACTTTCGTATTTCAAGGACGACTCCGCATTCTAGGTCGACGAAGAAGCATGGGAGGAAGAGGGCTTGGTGGACCTTGTCTGCTGTCTGGAGGTGTACTCAGAAGAGGTTATCCCTGGTCCGTCTTCTCGACCCTCTGGTGTAAATGGAGAGTCGGTTCAAGATTCGTTGCAGCCTGAAGAGGAACGTGGGGATGCTCAGGTTCATAAGCAAGATCGAGATTTTGATGAACGAGAAGAGGGAGAGGGAGAATGCAGATGCAGTGATGCAACAGAAGACAAGGACAATGTCGAAGCGGAGGCAGAGCAGGAACAGGATAAAGAAGCGGAGCAGGAGGGGAGGAGCAGGAGCTGACAGGTGAGAAGGAGCTGACAGAGGAACCCGGGCAGACGTAAGAGGAGGTTGAAAGTGCTCTGCGGACTAAGCATTCTGGTCGCCGACGACATGTCATCGTGTCTGATGACGGAGATAGCCCAAAGGTACTTGACCATAGCTCAATGCTTGCTGAAGACTTACAGCTGAAACATATTTCTCCAGTCGTTGATGACCCTCAACCCTCACCACCAACTGCTAAGAGCCGAGCTAGTGCTGTTCGTGCACAAGACATGCTGCATCATGTACCTGGTAAGTCATTCCCGTCTGCTACGATGTATCTTGACGATAGCGTAGAATATATAGACACAGAACGACCGATAAAGAAGGAAAAGGAAATTCCTCTTGTGCATCGCGTACGGATGTCGTCAGTCGCTGGAAGCTCCCAAGAAGGCCGAGCCCCAATCAGAGCACCTAACTCACGAGGTAGTAGCATCTCCTTCCTCGCCGTCTAATATCTTACACAACATCATTAATAGGCTAACCTGTAAAGCAGGAGCCAGTTTCCGCAGGGCGATCATACTGAGTATGGGAACTCAGGTAAGCCAGCGTGCTTACACAGAATCTGTTATAGCTAGCGATTCATGCCTGCTAATTGCAATTGGTGGATAACCTCAAACACAGTATTAATCAATGACAGATACTCCCGCTGCCCTGCCGTGCGTAAACAATTGTGCTGCTACTTGATACGTGTCTGATTACTTTCGAAAGAACAGGGTGACGTCAACATCAATCTGCGCTCAAGAAAGACGACCCCCCTCTCGAGCCATCCCCGAGGGATATGCCAAAATTCAAAGGCGCGGCACAAATGGAGGTCAGGGCTGCGAATGATGGCGCCCGTGTACTAGCCTCTATGCCAACGCTCCTTGGACCTACACCAAGTGCACCCCATAAGGACCCCGGACCCGAGGAACGACGCCCACAGGCGCCAACATAACCCTTGTTATCTCTCACCCGCTAACTCTTCCCAATATAAACGGCAGAAATGGAGGCCAGGCGAAGGCTGCGAATGATCTTCCTGCGGTGTACCACCCTCCATGCCAAAGGTTCTCTCTGTACCAACACATAGCCCGATTTATTTTCACCTGATGACGAGGATGGCACCAGGAGACGACAATATGGATGAAGTAGACGAATTCTATCCGTACGGTGTTGTATAGACTGCTTGATTGGAAAGCTCACCGCCTTGTATATAGAGATTTCGCCGCCACCCGAGGCAAGCACTCGGACAGCGCATCTGATGGGGTCTCCGTTCTATCAGGACTGCATCAGTGTTGTCTAGGTCCTATTTTTGCACGCTGGAACATCGTGCTGCGAAGGAAGTTCACGATGGTCTCTTCCAACCATTCACTCCAAGCCTATCGAGACTTACTTCAAGATGATCAACCCAGTTCCAAAGCCAGCTCAGCGATCTGAACCACCGCCTCAAAAACCATAATCGCGAAGAAGAGGCGTTTCAATTTCACTACCTGTTATTGACGCTCCGTCCGATGTGACATTCCAACGCAAGCCTGTCGTACCAGCGCACCAGCATGCATCTGCTCTCACTGCTATCCTTACTTCGTCAGGTGGTCCCGCCAGCCCATCCAGTGATATATATGGTGCCACATCTGAACAGGGAGAGACAGCCTCAGTGCCGTCAAGGTATACTTTCCGCATGTGAAAGAACCTCGTGATCTGACTCTGAATGTGCGCGACAAACAGCACTCAGACTATATCAAATGAAATGCTATAGCGGACTTTGAACGTTTGGGAGGGCAACTCTTGAACTCGTTAGCGCATATAAACACTCGCCCTGGACGACGTAGGCTCATCGTCTCTTTGATGATTGTGTATGTCCTCCGAGTACTCACTATGATTTCGCGGTCGACACTGATCGATACTAATAGCGCAAAAAAGGAACATGTCGCGGTGTTCCTTCTCCTTGTTCCCTGGCAGCTCTATCGGTCTCACACTCAAAACACCAGTCAGTCGTCTAGCAAAGGCGTCTCTACACCTTTCACGTGCGTGTTTACGTGTCTATGGTGGGTAGGCTATTACTGATACTTTTTTGCAGCAACGCCACGCCACGCCAATCCATGCAACCCGTAAGCGATCGTGTGAGATTGTATCCCGGTGCTTTCTTTGAGCAAAAAGTGACTTGGGTTGCATGGAGTAAGGGAGGATACGGTGCCTTAACAGGGGTGACTCAGTCTCTCTGTTGATCGCCGCTTCTGTATATGGAGGCAATCTGCAGAGAGATCGACTCACCTGAGGTCCATGAGGTTTGAACCATAGTTGTGCTTTGCAATCGCCTAGCGCTGGTTCTCGAAGGCAAGTGTTGGCTTTCAATTTTATCCCTAGTTGTGCGCTAAATGCTCCATCAGAGGCGGTCAGAGAACCACGGACGACGCTTCAATGAACACCGAGAGTGTACTTTATATGAATTTCTTTTGCGTCGGCGACGTGGAATGACTGCCTATTTGTGGAGGTGGCAGTCCTCTCATGTGCGTGTCACTTCGCATTTGACACATCTGTATCATGCCACCCTGGAGTATTGATGTTGGTATTGAGACGATCTTGCCAGATAGAGTGGTCATGGAAAGCAGGACATGAAGACAAATTCCCGGCGATGAAGTCTTCACTCAAAATGCGGAAGAGAGAATGCTTATGATCAAACTTGTCACTTGGAGCAGGGCGCTAGTAACCCATCCACAGAGACGGAAAATTCACGCGAAATCTATAGAGGCATACTGTTTGCTGAGCGACGGGTGTTTGCAGCTGTTGGTTGAAGGATTAGATCGATCATAGGTAGAAGTATGCAATTGCAAAGCATGCAAACAAGTATTGCAGGGCCGAGTGAAATCGTAGTTCATTATTTCGGAGGGGCTGATACTAACCTGGGGCGCAATATTTCCCCTAAACACTCAGAGTCCCCTCGGTGACAATACATACAAGCCTTGCGTCACTTCAGAAGAGGTAGGCCCTTCACAGTGCACCTTTCAATCCTGCAGAGATGGGGTGCAGCATTCTCATGGCCGTTCTTGATCATGTCATGTTATCAAAAACAGTGACGAGCATGTTGCATTGACGCCGCCAACCATGATATGATGAAAACTCTCGAAGCCAAGTACTGGGTGCTGGCAGGGGGCCTGCTGTTCCCTCACATCATGACGTTGGTGCTCCTGGGTGCTACTACCCGACGAGGAAGGCCAGTGCGACATAAACTCCCAGCTGGAGAAGACTGGAAGTAGGAACAACGATAATTCACCACAACGTCCTGAACCGTTATCATTTCTTCCTATGACCACTGCGAATGCAGCAGGAAAGCCACAGATCGTATCATAATCAGCAAAGTATATACAGCACGAGCCGCGCCCTGAAAAATCTAGTCCATCTCACTCGGATAGGTGCGTGTTCCCCACTTCTCCTCAGTGGGAATATAGTATGACTCGGTGATAGTCTCCGGATCGGATGGGGACTGATACCCAACCCTGAGCTCAGCCAGATCGGTCCCGGTTGCGCGCACTTGCGCATACAGACTGATGCCGTTCGTTATTGTATCGCCCAGATTCATTCCAACACTCCACCCGCCGCTAATAGACCACACCAGCTCTTGCACCGTGGACTCGTTTGTAAAATAGTACACGCGTATCTGCAATTTTTATTAAGAATCCCGCTCATAGTATACACATTGACACACTTGCATCAGAGAGGTCGCCCCATCCAACAGCTGCGACAGGGGAGGTGTGGCAAGGGGTCGGTCCGAAAGACAAAATGTTGTCCGTGTAGTTGAGCGAGTTTACGTTTGGCAAGATGAGTTCGTGAATGCTGTTGTCGTGATGATAGTGCACGTAAGTGCGCCATTGAGCATTGTTTTCGCCGACGATTGAGGCCATATAGGCAGCTCCGAGAGCAAAAATTGGTTTGGACATCGTGAGGCTCTGTACCAAATGAGTTTAGCACGGAGGCAGTATGATTATGGTCCTGACCTTAGCCGTATGATATTTGCAGTGGAAGCTCTGGGAAGCAATTGCGCTGAGGTGGAATCTGACGAGGGCTGGATATTTAAGTACTAAAGTATCAAGACGAGAAGCACAGCTGGGAGTGACACCGGTGACTACGACGCCGGTAGAGCCATGTTGTGTGGAAGGTGCGTTGATTAGGAAACATAAAAGGAAAAGAAGCTCGTCAGTTTATCCTCCAGCTGAGTTGATAGCGGCCAATGCTTCTTCCAATAGTGAGTCAGTGCTGGAAGCGGTATTGTTATGTTCTAAATCAGCGCTCCTCTCGAGAACCAGCTGGACAGTGGCACATATATGATATCACCGTCCGTTGACAGCCGCTATCAGCGCGATATTCAGGAACAACGGATGACGGCGGCGATAGTATAAGCTTGCGAGGTAGGATCTGATGCCAGAGAATGTACGGGTGTCATTAGCAGTGGGGAAACGAGTCAAGAAAAACAAAACCTAAAGTTGGTCAAAGTGACAGCAGTACTAACATAAGCACGTGACGAACGCGCGCGACGACACTGTCCGTAAGATCGCGTGTGGGCCGACCAAGCCGAGCACTGAGTACTGGAAGATGCAGCCGTAAAGCTAGTACTACATAGTACTTGCGTCCTATCCAGATTGCAATGGAAAGAAGATCATCGTTATGATAAACTTATAAAAAAAATTCGGGCTTGTCTCGGGCGCTCGAAGAGTTCACACACTCTTACCTTCCTCCATCATGGTTCCTTCAAGGTTGAGACAGAAGTTCGAGCGCTTCCGAATCCTCATCATAGGAAGAGCGAATGCAGGGAAGACCACCATTCTCCAGAGGGTTTGCCAGACAAGGGACAACCCAGTAATATATGACAGTGCCGGGAAACAGGTGCGCAGCTTGAGTATTATGATCCCAGATAGTGATAAATCTTGATGGATCGGACGAGATCAGATCGATGCATCCGTTTTGGCGGCATCCAGAGAGGTAAGGCGTGCTCGTAGTGGTCAACAACGTCCTTTGATTAGTCCTCAGCGCGGAGTGCACGATATCGAAAATGAAATGGTGTTTCGAACCAACCCGGGATTCGTCTTTCACGATTCACGCGGATTTGAAGCGGGAGGACAATCTGAATTCAACAGGGTGGAGGCTTTTATCGCAAGCCGTTCTAAGAAACGAGCTTTAAACGATCGAATCCATCTCATATGGTAGTCCTAGTAAAGTTGCCGTCATAGGCTATCTCACGTCTTCAACATAGGTACTGCATTCCAATGGATGAGGATGGCAGGTCTTTCACGGAAGCGGAAGCCAAGTTTTTCTCTCAGTGTGACACTGGAAGCGGTAAGCTTGGTGTTTACTGTCGTGTATCATCGACTAATTGGCAATCCTCAGCTCCAGTAATAGTGTTGTTTACTAAATTCGACGCCCTCTATGATGATATACATGCAGAGCTAATGAGTAAAGGAGTATCGAGGAAAGATGCTGACGGACTGGCCCCGAAGCACGCCAGAGAGTCATTTGCCAACGGGCCACAACTAAAGCTTTTGTACAGCCGCAAGGGCAACCAACGTCCTCCAAAATGTCACATATGTCTACCTGGTAAGCCAATTAGTCTATTTAATCGGGGACTCACATTTATTCCCTCTCGCACATTTAGATATGGACAAGGATGATGCAGACTGCACGCCGCTCATTAAACACACGGCTGAAACTTTGGACAATGATATGCTCAGACAGCTGTTTGTCTCCACTCAGCGGACCAACTTGGAGGTGTGCATCAGAGACGCAGTCGAAAGGTGACCACTCAAACCTCACTTATCTGTGGCGAGAAATGACTCATCTGAAATTGTCTCAATGTCTTGAGGACACTTGCGCGGCATACATTCTCATCTATATTTGGGAAAATTGAGGATAGTGAGATTGTAGATGAATTGGGTGCCTGGTTTCCACAGATTTATGTGAGTTGTAGGAATGTTCGAAAATTCCTCTCATTGATGTTCGGCGGTCGCTTACAGGCAGTACGTCTGTTGACCATCCCTGCTGGTATGATGACATAAGGTATCATTGATCTGTTGACAGTTTGTGAGTGAGCTGATCCTATGTCGAGCTCGAGCATCGCTGACCCAACCCATTGGTGATCCCCTTGACAGTTCGTGAGTGTCTTGATCATCTGTCGAGCTCGAACCTCGCTGACCCCCCATTTGTGATCTGTTGACAGGACGTGAGTGTCTTGATCCTATGTCGAGCACGAGCCTCGCTGACCCAACCCATGGGTGATCCCTTGACAAGACTGTGAGTGTCTTGATCCTCTGTCGAGCTCGAACTTCGCTGACTCCCCATTTGTGATCCCTTGATAGGACGTGAGTGTCTTGATCCTATGTCGAGCACGAGCCTCGCTGACCCAACCCATTTGTGATCCCTTGACAGGATGTGAGTGTCCTGACCCTATGTCGAGCTCGAGCCTCGCTGACCCAACCCATTGGTGATCCCTTGACAGTTCGTGAGTGTCTTGATCCTCTGTCGAGCTCGAACCTCGCTGACCCCCCATTTGTGATTCCTTGACAGGACGTGAGTGTCTTGATCCTATGTCGAGCGTGAGCCTCACTGACCCAACCCATTGGTGATCCCTTGACAAGACTGTGAGTGTCTTGATCCTCTGTCGAGCTCGAGCCTTGCTGACTCAACCCATTGGTGATCCCTTGACAGTTCGTGAGTGTTTTGATCCTTTGTCGAGCTCGAGCCTCGCTGACCCAACCCATTTGTGATCCCTTGACAGGATGTGAGTGTCTTGATCCTATGTCAAGCTCGAGCCTCGCTGACCCAGCCCATTGGTGATCCCTTGATAAGACTGTGGGTGTCTTGATCCTCCGTCGAGCTCGAGCCTCGCTGACCCAACCCATTGGTGATCCCTTGACAGCGCGTGAGTGTCTTGATCCTTTGTCGAGCTCGAGCCTTGCTGACCCAACCCATTTGTGATCCCTTGACAGGACGTGAGTGTCTTGATCCTATGTCGAGCACGAGCATCGCTGACCCAACCCATTGGTGATCCCTTGACAAGACTGTGAGTGTCTTGATCCTCTGTCGAGCTCGAGCCTCGCTGACCCAACCCATTGGTGAAGTTCGTGAGTGTTTTGATCCTTTGTCGAGCTCGAGCCTCGCTGACCCAACCCATTCATGACCCCTTGACAGCGCGTGAGTGCCTTGATCCTCTGTCGAGCTCGAGCCTCGCTGACCGAATCCATTGGTGATCCCTTGACAGTTCGTGAGTGTCTTGATTCTCTGTCGAGCTCGAACCTCGCTGACCGAACCCAATTGTGACCCTTGACAGCGCGTGAGTGTCTTGATCCTCTGTCGAGCTCGAGCCTCGCTGACCCAACACATCGCTAATGTGTTGACACTGCCAGCAAGTAAGTACTAGATTGATCCTAAACCATTTCTGCTTTTCTATCACGATTCATCAGTCTTACCGAGATGAAGATAAGGAGATGTGGTCCACATTACGCTCTCTGGTACGTCTCATTCCTCGCAGCCTGTCCACATAGTTCTCTTGCTGAACGTTTGCTAGGACTCTGGCTCACCCACATTGGAGAACATTGTCCAGTTTGGTTCTGGTGAGATCCAGGCCACATTTCAATGAGTCTACTCATTATTCATAACCAGCTGCTGTTATTATCTTGGAACACACATTCTATATTTGGGACCAGCAATCCAATGCTCACAAGGAGTCTGCGCACGCTATTGGTGTTGCTCTCCAGCAGTACATGGTGTCTCCAAATGCAGCTGCTGTCAGGGAAGCTCTGAGCTCTGTCATCCACACGTATCAAGCCTACTCTCGGTCCATAGCGGGGTTGATACACCGCTCTCAGAAGAAGGAGGAATTCATCAACGCAATTATTGATGTTATTTTACAACATCGCCTACGTATGTTTTAACTCTCTTGATTGTTGAATTCATGCTGATCTATTGGTCACCAGCAAGACCCTGATTCTAGGAAATCCATCACGAAGTTGGGAGTTGAGCTTAGTGTCACGGCCGTGACTGCAGTTTTCTTGACTGGTGGCATATCTGTGGATGTGGTTTGAGGAGGTGGAGCTGTATGACACAGATTGATATGGCTGGGCAATAGTGTCCAGCGAATCTTGTGAATGTTTAAACCGTTTGAATCATTATGTCCTTCGCAACCCCCCGGCGCTCAAAAACACGCTGGTTATCTTTTAGTGTGTAACTTCAACCATGTTTATTTTTGTGCTAATTTCAGTGTCAGAGTTAGTCAGAGAACTACTGATAGCGCTTCAGTTCACGCTTCAAGGAACATTCTTTCAATGGGTTGTGTTTTTATGTTTGTGATGTGCGCGTATACTCACATGTGCAACGTGGCATGACTCCCTCAGGCTGGTAGTGGAAGTGACGGCCCTGTCATGTACGTGTAATCTCGCATTCGACCTCCCGTTACGTTCAGCATGTCACCCTGGAGCATTGTTTGTGCGGAGAACCTGATATAGTAGTCATGGAAAGGGGACATGAAGGTGTAGGACTTTGTGTGGGACCACAAGAAGAGGTGATGGATTATTTGACATGCGTGGCTTGGTCCAGAGAAATGTATGTAGTGAGGTTGTTGATGTTCAAGCTGACGACCGCCAGGGCTGCAATACTTCGTTCATCCAGGACCACATCTCACACATTCAAGCCAGAATATTAGCGAGTGGTCGACGACTCCAGGGTCCCCATTGCTCAGGCAGAACTATCGAGAAGGAAATCAACTACGCAATCAACTATGTAAGGGTTGTCTCATGACAGAACCTGGACAAGTTAGTGCGCGTGCTTCGCGAGGCAGATTCTAGAATATATGGTACGTACCACATCATGATTCCTCTGATAATCTCTGCAGGTGATTATACTAATCAGTTATTTGCAGGATCCACAAAGTCAGAGCACATTATACGACCTAAAGGTCACAGCTTGTGGTCCCACACACAATACGCCACCACTGCTGGACCCTGGTGTGGATGATGCCGAAATTTATGAGGCAAGTATGAAAGGCAGGGCTCCTTCAAATTTTACTTGCCAGTCATGGAACCTCGTACCCCATTTCGATTTGCCGACCTTCCAACCGAGCTAGCCCTCCTCGTCTTCGTCTTTGCCGCACAACCAACTTTTACTGAAACTGACACTTATAATGCTAGAAATCCATACTCGCCCGCCCTTCTACTATGCAGTGTCTCCAGAATTGTCAGGCGCACAGTGCTGCCTTCAATTCTGCACACAGTATTACTGTCAGAATCTCGCCATGTGATGGCTTTCGTGGATGCTCTATATATGCAGAAAGCATATGCTGAACAACAACATCATCTTTGTCTTGACTACGCATCCAGCGTGCACAGGATTTGGATGGGCGAGTTCTTGGGGCCTCCCCGAGTCCCAAATGCTCCTTTCATCAGCAGCTTTACCCCCTATGGATCTGAGCCTGAGTTAGATGTCAGCCTTCTGGCTCCGGTACTACTCGCTGCACCATCCCTCGCGCTCGACTTTGCGAGTCTGGATGTTCTTTTATGTTGCATCAAATATACGTTGGACTCCGATGTCGACCTTAAAGTCGACCACGAACGTTCCCCGTCCCCTTGGAGCACAAAAAATCTGACGCTATCGGGCTGCGTCTCTCGTCGATGGCGGCCATTCACGGAAACTGTCCATGGATATGCATTCCTCTCTTCCATCTCTCACCTCACCTCCCTCTCACACGCATCAACCGAAAAATTTCGGCATTCCAGGGGTCTCTGCGCTAGCGGAATTGGATCTCAAGATTACACGGTGCCTTTGTGGATGATGGGGGCTCCTTTCAAGAGACTTCAGACCTTCTCGCTGGCCATTCCACATATCGAACTCCTGGACATAGAGGTGGATCTGTTCACGTTCCCAGCTTCCCTACTGCCGGACCCTTGGACACCCCAGGAAATCAGGACGTATATCGAGACTGGAGCGGGATTTATTCCATCGGATGAAGTTCCTCTGCCGGTGTCCTGTTCTCGCAAGTCGTGTGCGCTTTGTGTAGATTGGGAGAAGGTTTGGGCGTGTGGATTGGAGTGATTATTATGTGCTCGTTTGCAATCGTTTGTTTTACTATTCTGTACACTTGCACCTACTGGCACATGATCAAAGCTTTTGTTATTTTTATGACTAGGGGCTGGTCTTACCGAATTATACCTTGTTTTGCCAATGTTTCGCGGTTGTTCCTTGTGTATTTATTGTTGCGCCCAAATCAAGGAATCAGCTTCATATTTCATGGTGGGCGTATCTGAAACTGACATATTCTCGGCGAGACTATATGGGCTGCCGGTAAGAGTTCGAATTCATTGTTGTTGTTGTCGATTTCGCAACTGATCTCCCTTTTAGTCCAATCGATCGGTGTTTGTTACTCTCTGGCTCACTGGTCGTACTTATTATAGAGGTCTCATGATGAGTGTTTCTGTCTGGTCCCCGTATTTTTATTTGTATTCCAACTGCCGCATGAGGTCGACTGAGTCCCCTAGTGCACTTGTATTTCTCGGTAGGCTAGAAACTGTTCTGCAAGTGTTCGGTTTGATCACTTGTCTTTTGCGTCGCCGCACGTACGCTGGAAGTGCAAATTGCTTGCTTCCACAAAGAATAAGCAACACTAGCTTGCTGCTGCCCGAGGCAATACTTCATCGATTCCATAATGAATTTCCATTAGAGCGCTTATTGTCCTCGGAAACTTCCATACACATTTAAACTCCGACTGAACAAGGCAGTTGTCCCGCTAGTCCGTTGGGCCGTTAACGCCAGCCGGCGCGACCAGAGGATGAATGTAAGCTTTGTCAACCCATCCGCGCACAGACCACTCACAGCATGCAGAATCTCCTCAGGACTCTCACAGAGAGCCAGGTTAAGCCCTCGCCTGACCTTAGGCTACTTCTGAGTGCTGTCAAGGACGCACGCGTGAGTCTCCTTGTTCCGTGCTGTACCCAAACCAGAAATAATCTATATAATTTGTTCTAGCGCCAAAGCTACGATGCCAAGGTATCCGAACCGTTTTATGACTCCCTTGAGGGACTTCTTCATGATCTGCGTACAGTCACTATGGTGTGTGTGCATGCGGATCAACGCTATCTTACCCCGCTGACATCATACACAGGATAATCACGACGCAGAGGCATTCCTTAAGCCAGTTGCAAAATCCGATGTTCCCGACTACTACGATGGTTCGTCCACACATCCCATCTCACCATGTCTCGTCTCACACTATCCAGTGATCGTAAACCCCATGGACCTTCAAACAATGCTCAAGAAAGTCAAATCAAAGCAGTACAAGTCCAAGCGCGAGTTTGCAGATGATCTAGATCTGATATGGTCAAACTGTTTCACCTACAATGCGACTGAGGTATGTATCACCGTCGTGAAAACGCGTGGTGAGGCCCACTGTGCCGCGCAGGACCACCCCCTCCGCCAATGCGCAATGCGCCTCAAGAAGAAAGCCGATAGACTACTCAAGAACATCACTGACCGCAAGGAACGAATAGACCCTCCCTTACCTGCTGCCCTGTCCCAGCCATCACATTCTGCTTCTCCCGTCCCAATGAGACCTAACGCGGTGGCACGGCCCAAGATTAATGGCACGGCATACGCACACACACGATCTCCGTCATTTCCTGCAACACAAGTCCCCATAACCCCAAAGCAGCGCATGGATCTCCCGTTCGCCGAATCTCCTGCACTTGAGCGTACGCCACATGGTATGGCCGCGTTCCGTGCACTTGAGTCAGAAGCTGGACCATCAAGCATCCCGAATGGATACAGTTCATCTGTGTCTACCAACGATTACGACAGCGAAGCAGACGAAGCGTTAATGTCAATAGATAATGACTCGGGGGAGAAACGCAAGTTGTGAGCCTCACCTTTACCAATACATCCTCTCTATATCGATCGGCAAACACTGACTGCGGTACCTCTTCGCTTATTCGATGTAGGAATGGTTCATCTTATCGTCCTCGTAAACGCGTACGTCTAACACCTACTCCCTTTGTGCCCATTCCCACGGCGGACGACCCGAACTCGACCTGGTGGTCCTCTGTTCAGTCTGACTCATTTCTCGCCAATGGACTTCCAGCCCTTCCTCAGCCTTTCGCTGCATCGACCCTCTATCCGCAACCCCAGCCCATACCCTCCTCATCATCACAATTCGCAAGGCCCCGCAAGCGACGGAAACTCCGCCCTCAGTTCATTGCGAAATACAAGGACAGAGATACTGCCGCGCCCAACACCCTCCTCAGTCTCATGAACACAAACATAAAAACTCTCAAGCGGGTCCGACGCACACACGCAAAGTTCGCCGCGCTCAACCTGAATACAGAAGAGGGTGGAATGGGGGATGAGCCGCCAGATATGGGGGAAGAAGGCATGGTCGATGAGGTTATAGATGAGCGGCCGTGGCGAGCGAGATATGCTGGCCTTAGACAGGTGAAGGGACCGATGGAACTAGAAGTGGGCGAGAAGAATGCGGACGAATGTCTCAAATGGATGAATCAAAAGGTGTTAGAACATGAAGGATTTCAAGGTACGTTCTATACTCCTTTCGACGTCATCATGTTGTTTGGCGTGATAGGCGGTTAGAGATTCGCGTGCTTACTTTCACCGTATGTCCAGGGACATCAAGCTCTGCACTGGATGTGATGGTGGGCGTAACGTCTGAGTATCTCCTCAATGTTGGTCGAACGCTACGATTTATGTGCGACAAGTATACGAAGAGCATGACGCCAGAGGTGCATCTCACCCCTTTCCTGCTCTTTTTGACCTGGTGCTCACCTAGTGGTGTGGTATAGGAAATCATCCTGCATACACTCTTCGAGAGTGGAGTCACGAGGATTCAGGATCTTGAGCGGTACATCAAGGACGATGTCGTCCGGCACGGTTCGCGCCTTGTTGACCTCGAAAAGAAGCTTGTTGGCGCGTATCGCGAAGCTGTTGGTCCTTTACTATTAACCATCTTCTCATGTACTCACCTTATGTACAGACACAAGTGGAAGTTCTCGATGACGATGCGCTCTTTGGTGAGGACGACGAAGAGGACGAGAGTGCATTTGTCATGGGTGGCTTTTCTGACTCACTCGGTGACGACTTTCTCGGCTTACGGGAGCTCGGCATTGCTGCGGAATTGGGGCTATCGAGTCTCACTATCCCAAAGAAGCTACTCAAAGGGAAGTCACGGGGAACAGCAGGGGCTGCAATCGAGTACGTCTTGTTCATCCAATCTCCCGATTTGACGCCTAATTATATCTCGCTCTCAGAGCAAAACCCACGGAACCACCACCACCATATCCACCACCGCCTTCACTACTTCCTATCACAAGCAAGAACGTGGGAGATCAGATCGGGTTGCTGCGACCCTACTTTCAGGAGCGGCTTGCAGCACTCGCACCTCCCGGCTCTCTCCCAGCATTCCCTTATCTCCTGCCTGGCCCTCAATTTGGCATGCTTCCTCATGCTGGCGTTCTGCCATTACCCTATGCACCAAGTTCGTCGGGCGAGTTCACACGCCTCATCACGATCCCAGACGATGCACCCGCGCCTGCACAGGCGAAGCTCGGGCCCTTGGGTCAGGTACTCAAGACAGGCGCTGCTGCAGGGGCTATCAAGAAGAAGAACAAAGCGAAGGAGCCAGTGCCGATGTCTGTGCCCGATATGTCGGATGCCGTTCCAGTGGAGCCGATGCGTGCGTTCAATGGGCTTGGGATGGATGGAAGGGATGTTGGTGGGGCTGGAGGTGGTGGCGGCGTCGTTAATGGAGTGGGTGGGTCAGGCGGTGGGGGCGCTCTAGGTATAGCGGGAGGAGGTAAGAAGAAACCGGGTCCGCAAGGGCAAGGAAGGGCAATGGAGCTTCCGCCTGTGATTGCTGCGAGCGCGTGAGGTGTGCGCGTGAGGGTCGTGCTATTACATACATACTTACACTTTATATTCGCATGGTCATTAGCATTGCTTTCCGTACTATGCATCTGTGGATCATACACTATACCTGTAGCATTATTCTATGTATTGCTCTGCATTGGATCATGTTGGGTGGGTTGTGTGGTCTTCAAGTGGTCTTAGAACTTTTACCCGGTGACGCTTCGTGAATTTAAATCGTTCATGGATTTGGAGCTGATGAATCTTTTCGCAGAGGTTGTACATATGATACGCTAAGATCAATACGCCACTAGTAGTGTGCACCCGGCCGTATCACAATTATCCCATTCCCATTCTATGTCAGATTTCCAAAATGTCCGTCATAATGGACCGTTGTCTTTCGTTGTCGAGTCCTGGTACGCCAATTAAAAGCTTACAGGCAAGCCTACAAATCCACGGACGCTGAGCATACTCCGAAATGATACGACTGCGAACCGACAAATATTTTAACAGAATGATCGAACGACTGTTCGCCGCGAGCCGACAAGTATTTTACCGGAATGGTTCTTGCACACAAAAGAGCGACAACAGAACCTTCAATACTCATGTTGAGCCTCGCAGCGAGCACCTTGCACAGGGCGTTGCACCACTTCAAGACTGCTTGGCTTTTCACGAGATCTGATTTCAAGACATTCATTTTCCCAGTGGTATAGTGACAAATTCCTGTAATAATTATTAGTGCGCGGCGCTGGTTTTTCTGTTGCAGATGGTAACTGCAATCATAGCATCTCCTCGTCATACCCCGCTAGCCGTGTGTCGCACTCTGTGCTGGCTCTGGTTCCATCTCTTGCAGTTCAACGTCTCTAACCAATCCTACTCCGCTCAGGAAGATGTCGTGAATAAACCATGGCGTCCTTTGCCGTCTGGTCGCATTAGCGTCGAGGATGCTCGTTCCTTGCGCTGGGGACTCCTATTTTTATGCTTGGGTCTTTCATCCCTTTTCAGTTTCAACGCGTTGATAAGTAGTGCGGCGTCTATTGTGGTCATGATCTTGTACGACGATCTTCGACTCAGCCACCATCCCATTTTCAGAAATTTACGCAATGTAGCGGCTTTTGTGACTGGTGGAGTCGGTTGTTCGTTGACTCTGTGTAAGTAGACTCTGCCTCTCAGGATAATATTTCGTTGACCACACTTATATTTTAGCGGGGGGATCTTCGCTTGACGGAACGAGCGTAAAAGCAATTTCCTGCACCGCGCTTGTCATACTTCTGACAGTCCATGCACACGATTTGGCGAATACCGACGGTGATCGCAAGTCAGGAAGACGAACTCTGCCGATTATAGCGCCCGAAGGGTCTCGTATCTATATGCTTTGTGCACTTCCGCTGCTTTCCTTTGGACTTGCCTCACTGTGGAGCCTCTCTGTAGCATTTTCTTTGTTTCTATCGGTTCTGCCAGGGTTGGACTTCGCTTCTTTTTCTTCCGCGACGAGATCCGTGATCGGTCAAAACGTTCGTATCCTTGATTACTTTGTTCATGTCCTAACGTTTGTTATTTATCGTAGATATGACTCATCGGTGTTCATCTCCTGTCAGCTAATGCACATCTATGTGTTCTGACTAACTTTTGTGGTCAGAGAAGAATATATCAGATTGATTCGTAATAAATACAATCTGAACTACGAATACGAAATGAATGTTGCATGTAGGTATTTGGGCAAAGCCCCGTAGGGGCTTTCGGCCAGAAACATCGCCCCGGACCTAATAAATCGAGATGAGCCGTGAGGGCGGGCTGGGCAAAAGCAGCAAGCGCTCGGGGTCATGATAGATATATTATGTTCGTGAGGGATGCGTCGAGCAAAATTGAAATATTAGTTATAATGGTGTGTGGTTGTCTTAAATTGTAAACTTTTAAGAGAATTTGCGTTTTATAGAGTGGATTCTTGCGAGACGCATGCTGCTAAAAGGGTGCGGTGGGCGGGGGCGAAAGTTCGAGTAATACGACTAAGAGTCAGAGAGTCTGCAAGTAGTAGTAGTACGAAGCAAAGAAGAGATGTCCCAAAAAGGACATCTGCCACATAGACAACATTCTACGCTCGTCCTCGTGCCTCGGACTCGCTTAGAAGACAATCTATGTGTTCTGACTAACTTTTGTGGTCAGAGAAGAATATATCAGATTGATTCGTAATAAATACAATCTGAACTACGAATACGAAATGAATGTTGCATGTAGGTATTTGGGCAAAGCCCCGTAGGGGCTTTCGGCCAGAAACATCGCCCCGGACCTAATAAATCGAGATGAGCCGTGATTCCCGAAAATTCTAAGGAGCCCAGCGACGCGTCAGGCGCAGCTTGGACTCCCTATTTATAAGGAGCGGGGTGAGACATACCATTGATTTAGCGCATCACTGGCATGGTGTATCGCGTGAAGGGTTCAATGATGGGAGTATCTTGCAGGTATGGGGCCATGATGAGGGCGTGATCACGCAGGTAGATGGTGAAAGCTTCACTCGACCACCTTCCCATAGACTTGACGACGTCGAATGGAATTCCGCGGAGCAAGTACTCTAACGTCCCCCCAATGCGAATACCGTGTCCTTTGAGGTCAGGACATCCTCCTTGTTTCGCGATGCTAGCGATCCTTTTTAAGAACGCGCCTCGCGTTAAGGGACGCGGGCCTTTGGGGTGTCTCCACGTGAAGAGGTGATCATTGGGTAAGGGCTCATTGATTGTGAAGTGTTGGATTAGAGCTGCTTCTGGATCTGTGCTGTCTGACTGTCGTGCCCAATAGATATCTTCACCTGTAGTTGACGTCTTCGTACGTGGTACGTGGATCTTCGAGACCCGTAACCCATTTCGATCTTCGCAATCCATTCTAACGTCTGCTCGTTTCACGTGCTCCTGAGGCGTGAAAATCTTGATGGATTTGACAGTTAGTTCTCCGAGCCGAGCGAGAGAGTAAAAGGCGCTAGTTAGGCATGCGAATACCGCTGTATCAAGAGGTGCGTGGAGGTCTAGATGCGCTCTGATTTGGATAATGGAATTGATTGTAAAGGGTTCTCTCTTAGCGCGCTTGGAGTCTGGGGGGGCCTGAATTGCTGCACCGTCCAATGCGGACTTTAATTGGTGTTGTTGAATGGCCCACGTATGTCCATGAAGGACATGCCATGCGCGGATAGCAAACACATAATTCGCCAAGGTTCGTCCTGCGTAAGCTCCGGCACAGCTCGCAACGAAAGCGAGGATTGTGAGTGTGTCTGCAGGACACCTTTGAAGTTCTGGGACGCTTCTCGTGTCACAGAAGACGTGATAAACCAATAACCCGGCACCATACGATTCTCTCGTGCTCTGCGTCCACGCTGAATTCATCACTGTGAGGACGCGTTGTAAGTCTTCGTCCGTTATTGCGAGAATCTTCCCGTCAGCGTTTCTTAATGATCTGCTTTCAACTGGGCGCCACAGTTTGAGCCGATCCCTGGCTAGGCAATGAGGACGCAGTACCGATGTAGCGGGGACTAAGCCTTCCTTGTACGGCGCTGGTTTTGATAGCGAGGGTGTGACGGTGAGTGGAGCTGTGAAACGGTGTTTGGTTCTATGGTCTGATGCCCGTTGAGCTGTGTTTTCGTTAGCTGGAGGAGGACTTGCTATCTGCGCACTGGTTGGGATGGTGGAAAGCAGGTAGGAGGGAGCTAACGCTGGCTGCACTTCGTCACGCTGACTCGAAGGGGTCATAAATGAAGGAGCGCAATGGGAGGGGGATAGGGATGGGTGCGAGGAGGAGCTTAGGGTCTCCATAGATTCCCCGGGAGGGAGGGTCGGCTGGATTGAAGTCGCTGGCGATATATGTTGGGTGGAAAGAGTATGTAGATGGTAGGTCTTGTAGGACTCCGAATATCCGCCGGAAAACCTCGTTGACGGCGGTATTGCAACTGCGTCCGTTCTTCCAACCCTCAATGACTCCCTGGTTGTCACCATATAGGCTGTAGTGTCGTTCTGGTCGATCCAAGGCGATAACGTATCGAACGAGAAGCTCGAAACCGACGGCTTCTGCCCATCCGATATCTCTCTGGCCGTCAAGGGTCGTCCAACCTGGGTACAGCTTCCATGCTCTCCACCTTTCACCAATGATGATCGCGATACCAACTCCGGAACTTGCATCGGAATACGCCTTTGGGTTGAATAGGGTAACTGGTGCTGGGATACGGCGTCCGACGAAGGCATTCTGCAAGACGTCGGTCCACCATTTAAGGTCCTCCGCGAGACCTTTAGCCGGACGATGTGGTAAGAAGGGGTGCGTGTGACAAATCCGCAGCATAACCTCAAGTTTCGTGAGGTATGCTCGTCCTCGTGGTAGTACCAATGACACATGCAGAAGCTTGCCGTGCAGCTTCTGTACATCAGTAAGCACATGCGTAGCGCGTTGCCGCCATTCTTCCACTGCGCGTAGATACTTAGTCTTCTTCTCGTGTTCAAGATATACCATACCGTTCGCGAGATCCCAAGCGAGTCCAATGTATGGATTGCAGTACGCAAAAGGAGAATCCTTTTGAAGCTCCCAAGGAGTTCGCGTGACGCGAGATATACGATCGATGTCATCAAAATTGAATGTAAAAAGGGAATCTTCGTGCGAACGTGGTGAAGCGCTCGAAAAGTCGACCAGCGGGAATCTACAGTCTTCATCAAACTCTTCTGTGGTGCCATCGTCAAAAATGTGCCCTCCAAACCATATCCTACCCCCATCCTGATGCTCGCCCTCCTCGATAATACTCTTGTGCCACTGTTGACGGCGTTTGTTGTACTCTTCGAGATGTTCCTTTCGTATCCGGAAAAAGAGGTGGTCGTCGACCCAGCGTGACGTGGGTCCAATGCCGACCGATCTAAAAATATCGAGCCCTGCATCTGCGAGGGAACCATATGCCCCCGCGGAAGGGGACACCCCGAAACAAGTACACGTGTCGATGCAGAAGCGATCGTCGGCAATACGTACCACTGCACCTGGCCATTGTGAGTGATGTAAGGGGATTGTTCGGTAAGCTTCTGAAACGTCCCTCGTGGCGATCTGTGATCCGGGAGGTAAACGACTGATGAGAAGCGCGATGGTGTGGAATGTTCCCCAAGTACTGGGGAACTCATCCGCATTGATTTGTGAATTAATGGAATCGTTTGGGAACTTAATGGTGCGCGAGTGAGGAAAGGAATAGTCTTGGATAACGCGAAAGCGTCCTGGTCGTCCTGGTTTCGGGATGATGGATAAAGGGGAAGATTGAAACGGGCCGATGAGGCTTTCGATACCAGCGGCTGTACAGGGACCAATATATCTTTCTTTTTGAATTTCTGATTTGACAATGGATTGGAATTCATTTGTATAGACAACAATTGAGTCTTTGTTTGGGGGCGTTTGCGTGACTGTAATAACGGGAAAATTAAGATTAAAACCCTCGCGAAGACCTGGGGGTATGTGCGCATATCTCTCAACGAGTCCTGCTTGTGTAAGATACGTCTCCCAAGCGTCAGCGTCGTACGGCGTGAGAGCTTTAAGCTTTCTGCGCTCGAGCGCACGTCTGCACTCCGTGAGAGGAGGCAGCACATCCAGAACAGAAGTGTCGTTTGTCGTGCGTGGTGTCGCTGCACCCGGCGACTCTTTGCCAGTCGCTGCATATTGGGCGACCATCCCGCATGGTGAGGACCTTGCTGACTCGGGTGCAGATAGTATCGGCTGCATTGTCCCAAGTCTTGGTCGCTTTGCATTCGACGATTCGGTGGGGATGCCTTCCCAAACACACTGCGCAAGCGGATAGGGAGCTTCCACTTGCGCTGCTTCGAAAATCCTGCCGCGAACGCTTGTTCGGGTCGGGAGATGAGGGACGGCGTGCATTCCTGCCTGTTCTTGGGGACGTTGAGTGTTGGCGAGCGTCCCTCCCTGTTCTAGGTGATGCGGATCGTCTACGCGAGTCTCGTGATGAGCGCCAGTTCTCCTTGTTCCTGTGACTCTGATTGGAGGATTGGCTCCCAGTCATGAGGGCATTGATCTGCTGATCTAGCTGGTGACGTGATTGTCATGTGTAGCGGTGTGGCATGGTGTGGCATGTGGCATGATGTAGCGTGTGGCGTGTATCGTGAGGCAACGTTGAAAAACGAATGCGTTCGATGTTGGTGTTTATAGAAAAGGGAAGTAAACACATCGTTAGTGTATGCTCGGTAATTCGAGTATGATGATTGGAAACTAACCTTGTAGTCCCGTTGATTGTCCTGTCTCTTACGCTCTTCGAGGTAGACGTTAGTCCGCGTACGTTCTAACAAAGTCTCATTGATGCGTGATAGATCGTAGGCCCCTGCTGCTGACTTGACTGCTATATGCCATAGTTTCCGTTGCTCTGCTTGATAAACAAGCAGCGCTGTTTGGGCTAAGGGATCTCTCATCGAGCGGTACTCATGCACTTGTAAGTTCCGCCAGAATATGGCCATCATCTTGATCCGGTCGGCTGGCCAAGCTGCCTGTTCCATGGCTGTGATGATGCGGGGGCAGGCTTGGCAGAAGTCCTCGAAGGGAAGATTCTGGTCGTCGACGACAGTACTGGCGTTTCGCATTGACGCTGCTGCTACCCAAGCTGTCTCACCACCTGCCAACGTTGCCATGATCATGGCGTCGTCATTGACCGAGGTCTTGAGTTTTGCGTCGTCCAGACCTGCGTTGGTGAAGTACCATAATTCGACATAGTCGCCTTTGTCGAGTTTGCGGGTAGCATAAGAAGATGGGATGATGACGGGCTCTGTGGGTACGTCACGTTGTGGGATAGAAGTATACTTGAACTTGTTCTTCTTCTTATCTTCTTTCTGTGTGGCTTCGTCTTCTTCCATGCGATCGTGTTCTCGCCTTTCACGTTCCTCGTCGTTGAGCCTTTCCATGTGCTCATCTCGCTCTCTATCTTCGTCTACTTGTCTCTCCCATTGAGCTTTAGCGATGTTGTTGTCGGCTTGCCATATGTTCCTAAGAATTGCGATGGCTTGCTGTTCGTTTATGTTCTCATTGGTGAGTTGTAGCCTCGTGTCGGCGAAAGCTTCGTCTGCGTAGTCTGGGCAGATACTTAAGTTCGGATCACTTTGTAGACGAGGCATTTTGTTAATTGCGTTGTCGTCTGATAGAGGCGAAAGTTCGAGTAATACGACTAAGAGTCAGAGAGTCTGCAAGTAGTAGTAGTACGAAGCAAAGAAGAGATGTCCCAAAAAGGACATCTGCCACATAGACAACATTCTACGCTCGTCCTCGTGCCTCGGACTCGCTTAGAAGACAACATTCCTGTATTTGCATGGTAGTATTGCCTTGTTACGTCATGGCCACGGACTCTGGCAGTCATTTTTGACTTTGCACAAGCGATACAAGCAATTAATTGATTTGGATGTTGATGCTTTCAGTGTCGCTTGTTGTCTTATAGGCCACTAACATTTTCCTACCAGCTATAGCTCAATCCCTTATAATTTATTGAATGCGTTTTCAAGGTTCGACAAACCCTCCTGCTCCCGGACGTCTCATCCCTTAATCCATCTGATTCTGACTTGCCGCTGCCTTGTGGACGTGCTTATCAACCAGTTGAGAATGCGCTGCACTTCGGAATCGTTTCTGGGTTGAGTCTGTATGGCGACTAGCAACAGGACAAGTACGAAAAAGCGAACTTGAACATGACTTACAATGCACTGTGTCATTCCATGGTTAGTCACTTCGTCAACTCGTGTCCAAGCGCCTGGAGTTTTAGAGTCATCTGCCGACGTACGTATATTTCAGAGGGCTTGTGAGAGGGTTTCCGGAGGAAAAAATCGTTATGGAATTTACCCCTCTCTCTCTTCTGTGCTTTGATCCTTTCAGATAGTAATCAAATTGTTCCCCCATTGCATCCGGGGTACTATAGATCGTGATACCAAGTATCCTAGATCTCGTCAATGAGTTGATGACTAGCTAAGGTCTGTGGAAGATCAACGTGCTGAAATTTGCGAGGACAATATGGTAATTTAAGAATCCGTACAGCGCACACGAAGATAAATTCATTCAAGTATACACAATCCATTGGTGCCATCAGTGGACTTACACCTCCTAGTAGCCTACGCAATCTGTGGTATATTCGTTGTACATGAGTTCGCTGTGTCGCGAGGGTTGTTTAGGTATTTTACATAGAAGGAATAATTCGACTAGAGGAGACTAAGTACATCATTGCTCGAATGTGCCAGCAATATAAATAATGTAATTTCGTATGGCGTGCCGTAGATGCTTGAGCAACTCGTAAAAGAAATATATGTGTACAACGGCAGGACAGCGTGACATGTCGCATCTTGAGATCGACAATTTCAGACTCGTGACTGAGATGCCCCTGGAGCCTGGAGAAGATGTTCCTACGTGTACGGTCAGGTTGTGGTCTACCAAACATTGGACGCGTGTACACACCATCGCAAGTTTCTGGCCTTCGGATAAAATAGCAAGGCAAGACTGCAGATCCTTCAAACACCACTGTCTTTCGAGCCAGGAGGGGAGATGATGGTTCCAGAAAGACTTAAACAAATGGGCGAGCGTCTTGTCCCATGAATTCGGAGCTCGCGAGAGATGGATGGCCCAGTGTTGACATGCATAATTGAGGGCGCCGGAAGCTGTTCGACTGCGAGCGCGTGCTTCGTATGCGAAGCTCGAAAAAGCCTTCATAGCATGTATGATCTCCATGTTTAGTGAAAAACGACTTTGCGGTAGTGCAGAGGTAGAATGATCTTGGTGCCTTAACGCCAGGAATGCCGGAAACATCAGGAAATCAGGCAGGGACTTGAACTGCTGGATTACTTGGAAGGCTGGCTGCAGAGACAATTCTGGGGCGATTGTGTACTCCCTGATTGCTTCCAATGTGCTCGAAAATTCTTCCACTATCACCCAGACAGTTGTCAAACGCCATGCTTGACCATGTGGCGTTTGCAGCCAGTCCTGACCACCCTGGGTCTGCAGCCAATCTCGACCGTGGGTCTGTAGCCAGTTTTGCCCACCCTGGGTCTGCAACCAGTCTTGCCCGCCAGAGGTCTGCAGCCAGTCTTGACCGCCTGTGTCCTGCAGCCAATTTCTCCCACTGCGGGTCTGCAGCCAGTCCCACCCTCCACGATACTGCATCCATTCTCGCCCATCAACGGTCTGCAGCCAGCGTAGGCTACCTGGGACCTTCAGCCAGGCTCCTTCGTCTGAGGTCTGTAGCTGGTCTTCCTTGTTTGGGCGTGGTTGTGGGGATGGCTGTGGGGTCAACACAAACGGTACGGGGGATAGCAGAAGGCGGGGGGATAGGGGTGAGTATGGCAGGGTGCGCAACCAATGCCGCCCGCCCGGGGTCTGCAGCCACTCTTGCACACCTGGAGTTTGCAGCCAACCTCGTCCACCCGGGGACCGCATCCAGGCGTACCCGCCAGCGGTATGCAGCCACTCTCGCCCGCCCGAGGTCTGTAGCCAGGCACGCCCGTCCGAAGATGTCATCCAGGCACGCCCATTTAGGGTCTGCAGCCAGTCTCTCCCGCCCACAGTCTGCAACCAATCTCGCCCGTCCTGGGTCTGCAGCCACTCTTCCCCGTTCGTGGTCTGCAGCCAATTACTCCCGCCCGGCGTCTGCAGCCAGTCTAGTCCGTCCTGGGTCCGCAGCCAGTCGCTCCCGCTCGGGTTCAGCGACTCTTGGCTATCCATGCTCTGTAGGAGGAATTTTATGTCCTGCAGCGAGCCGAACTTAACTGTGGTCTTCAGAATATCTGACTCCATATTGAATAGTCTCTGCCAGTCTCGCCCACCCGGGGTGTTCAGCCAGTCTCGTCCGCCCTGGGTCTGCAGCCAGGCTTCCCCGTCAGGTCTGCACAACCAGGCTCGCCCACCCCAGGTTCCCAGCCAGACTCGCCCACCTGGGGTCTGCGGCCAGTTCATACGTAGGGTCTGCGCCCAGTTCACATGTGGGGTCTGTCGGGGCACACCTAGGGGCCGTGGCCCGACTTGGATGGTTGAGCTCCGCAGCCAGGCTTGCCCATCCGGGATCTGCAGCCAGGCTTGCCCATCCGGGGTCTGCAGCCAATCGTGCCCGCTAGCAGTCTGTAACCAGTCCGCGGTTAGTAGCCAGGTTCGCCCAGCCATGGTCTTCAGCCAGTCTCTACCGTTCCCGAGCCAGCTTTGCCCGTCCGAGGTCTCCAGCCAATCTCGCCCGCCCGGGGTCCCCAACCACTCCCACGAGTCCCGCATCTCTAGCCAAAGTTCCCCGCGCCTGGTTAGCAGCCACTCCCGCACGTCCAGCGTCTGTAGCCACTCCAGTCCACCCAGAGTATTCAGCCAGTGTAACACGTTCGTGGTCTGCAGCCACTCTCGCCCGCACTTGGTCTGCAGCCATTCTCGTCCACCCTGAGTCCGTAGCCAGTCTAGCCCACCCTGAGTCCGCAGCCAGGCTTCCATGGCTGGGGACTGCAGCCATTCTAGCCCACCCGGGGTCTGCAACCAATCCTTCCCCCCCTGGGTCTGTAGCCAGTCCCTCCCTCCTTCTGTCAGCATCCAATTTTTCCCTCCTTGAGTCTGCAGCCAGGCGTGCCCATCCAGGGTCTCTAGCCAGAATCGCAACTCTGAACCGCGATGTCCCCGAAGCCACAACAGACCTGTAAGAACTTGCAGTGGCTCCGGTGGCTGGACGATGAAGGATAGTGAGTGTTTCAAATTCTGGGGGTCCCGCGGTTGCGTAGCTTGGTTCTGCTTCTTCAATTCTGACAGCGCATCCAGGAGGGTCGTGCGATCTGGAAGGTCTCGCATCATCAAGCGGAAAGAGGAGAGAGCGAGTAGGGAGTGTGGTGATGTGATATGGTTGACTTGACGGAGGCTGCAGTTTGAGCGGTGGGAAAAATAGTCACGAACGGATGAGTGATAGATATTGACGGGGAGGCTGTTGTCGGTAGGGACATCTATGATAGATCGTAGTTGCACCAGTACTATCTCGACGTCCCTGCCCTGACCAGGGCCAAGAAGTTTCGAGATTTGCGACATTGGTAGAGGGTCCGCAAGGGCAGCAACGACAGACAAGTGTAGATATGCCAGACTCGGGTCGGCACATGTGGAGAGGATACGGTCGTACAACTTGTACACCTCTGTGCCTGGTAGCATTTCGCTCGTTAGCTCGAGCATGAGCTGAAGTCGATCACGGGGATCATGGTTTCGATCATCAATGAACTTCATCATCGTAGCCGCAACAATGAAACGTCTCCCCGCTCGGCTCGCCAGCCGCGCAAGTTGATCTGTTGATGGCTGTGGGAAATCGGAATGGCGACTGCCCAGCTCTCTGAATGAATGCTGCAAGAAAACATATATATCATTGTCAACGTCTGCGCCATCTAATGAGATGGTGGCAGCAACACCCTTCCCAGAAGTCTTCACTGGTATCTCGTACACCAACGAGCGCATCTCTTCGGTTTGCATAGCTTTACGGATATGCTCTTCCGAGCGACTCGTGAGCAGAATGTGGATGACAGGCAGATCAGGTTCACTAAGAGCTTCGCCAAGCAGGGAGATGAGATCAGCGAGCTCGCTTTCGGAGGTGGGTTCATCGAGGGATTCAGGATCGAGTGATTCGGGTGTGCATTCGTCAAGGGCATCGATAACAAACACCAAAGGCAAAGACTCGCTCAGTCTGAATCGAAGCCTCCGAAGAGGTCGGAGAAACAATGCCTCCATCTGATCCTGAAGAGACTTGTCAGGATCTAGAAGGGCGGGATTCTCGAGGATGGCTCTGTTCACATCCTCCCTGATGCTGGGGAAATTGCTGGCAAGTTGGTAGGCAAGCGACGCAAAGAAATATCCAGTCGTGCGGCGTTTCGTGTGCTTGCGCGAGAAAAAGAATGTTCCCGCGAGTCGCTTTTCGACATTCGTCCGCTCTGTCACTTTCAGACCTCTCATCCTTTCAGCTACGGTGAACGCAACAGCGGACTTTCCGACTCCCGCCGTGCCGTGCAGCCAAATGAGTCGACTCTTATCTGTTTTGTCCAATAATCCATAGATGTAGTCGAGAAGGTCCACCCGGGTCTCTTTAAGGCATTTTGGATGGGGCTGGCGCTCACGGGAGTTGTATTCAGCACCCTTGACAGTGACCTGGGAAAGTTTCTCCCATGTTCCTTCAGATGATCGAAGATCACCACGAACTGTCAATGATGTTAGAGAGCGAAATAGGGTATAAGAGATGGAAGTATTGACATTGATCCTGGTAACTCATTGACAAAGGTTGAGCGTCGATTGATATTAATCTTGACTGAAAGTGTTCAACAGTGCTGGTGTCTGGACCAGGTTAGACATCATATGGGCAATGTTATCTCGAGGGAAGACGTACGAAACAGCTGCGGCAGCTTGGATCTTTTGAGGGTGGGTTGAGTAAGTCCTGAAACGATGTCTAGCAACTAGCAAGTCTGTCCAACGATGACGAGCCGCCGAGCAACAATACGACCAAGCTGTGGAGGAAATTTCAAGGTAGCGTCTGCGTGAGATCGAATGATTTCAGTTGGTTCCAGTAGTACTTGCTGACTTGCTGTGTATTTGACATCATGATTGTGGTATTCATAGCAAGCGCCATCCGGATTCCGATTCCGAACAGCTAAACACAGGTTGGCGCGGAGACATTTAATAGTATAGGCTGTTCAAAATTTCAAATCAGCTCGGGGTCGAGCTGTAGATTACAGGCTCGTGGTTCCTTCATGGCAATTGTGCGTAGCCGCATGATGATGTATCCTCAATCACATTCCTACCTTCACCTCTGCTCCGAAGTTCAAGTTGACTTTGACCTAGAGTCTGACCTTCCCCTGCGACAAAATATTGCCGCCGTCTTAGAATCGAAATGACTTTCCGTGGGACAAGGTTTTGCCCAAGGTCATCGTACTTCGTTTGAGGCATTCTGCGACGAACGGACAAACATCTTCCACTGAGTCAGGGATATCTCTTGCCTGCGAAAGTATCCAACCTGGCTCGACTATCTTTACCCGTGGTACAGGCTGCTGCAGGGGCAATTCCACTTGTCGGGGTGCCAATGGCAACTGCTATCGGTGGATTATTGGCAGTTCTTCAAACAATAAATGTGAGAATGTATCTGATTTCCGAGGACCTTTGATGTAAAATCATCGCAGACAAGTATTCAGAATAAGGCCGACCGTAAAGGCCTGACATCACGACTCCATCGGCTATCTGTCATTTATGCAACGCGTCGACTACCCTGGATCCTCGTGAAGAATCCCGGAGAGGTTTTTTGATCAGATACTACTACGCCTTATAATTGAATTTGCTTGAATTTGCAATTGATTCACACTGATCAGCGTACTGCAAGCGACTTCAGATCAACTGACAAACGACGCGTCCTTGCACGTACATCCGTCACACAAACTATCGCTGGATGCTCCAGTGAAATAGACCATTATCTGTTAGAGTATTCGGTTGCGTTATTCTCTTTAGGGATTATTTTCATTCACTCACTTCTCCACTTGGTTAGTTTTCGGCCCAAATGCAAATGCAAAATGATTTGTACGAAGTTTGGGCGCAGCTTGTGGCAATGCAGAGCCGACAGGCCTTTGTAGCACCAATTACTGCACAGTTGCCCCAAACTGTCATGCAGCTAGGCGTGACACTGGTAGATGCAACAGGGTACGAACATCAGATATCGGAGCACTTCTGCACCACATTTCAGGTCCGCATCGCAAGTGTAAATTTAGTCTCGAGAAAAGCTCATTAGTTTTTTTTCTAGCAATTTAAAAAGATGCTCGAAGCTCTGTTTGAACGCGAGTCAATTGAAGCTCGAATCCAGAGACGGTATATGGAGGAGGGACAATACGATTTGTGTATTGACGAGGGCACGCAAGTAACCCAATTGAGACACTATGGATGGCCAACAATCGAACCGGGTACGAAGATTGTCATGAGGGTTGTTATTGAACAGGAGAGGAAATCACTCCAACTTGAAGCAAAATACCAATGTCATTTTTGTGAAACGTGGAATCACTTTGGCGTTGAGGTTGTCAGTAAACCATTTCAACGTGGGAATTGCTCGATAGATTGGTGAGTACCTTTATTTTTCTTCTGGGTTATAATGATGCCTAACTACTTGAACTCTGGAAGTCGAGTATGCAAACGGCGCTTTCAGATCACCCGTGATCTGCGCAAGGCGATGGAGAGTACTGGCTCCAATCATGCCAAGGACGCAGAGATGCACCTTATTCGCAAATTCCATGTCAAGCAAGTTGTATGTGCATAATGAAACCCCGCTAGTCACCTTTAACTTTTGCTGCCCTCAGGGCCAGCACGTGCGTAGTCTCAGTCAAGTCTCCACTATTTATCTCCAACCCCCGGCTATTTATCGGTACCCTCGCTCACACTCGGACTCCACCATGACTCGTCCTGTTGCGAGTCCAGGGATGCTTGAAGCCAATCAACGACGTCGACGCCACGACGCCACCCATAGGTGCGAGGAGTGTGGGCAGACCTTCACAGCTGTATTTAGCTTGGAGCGCAAGTTCTATCACCTGAATCAACTTCTATGCAGTGTCGCTAAAATGAATGTAACAGGTCATATGCAAGCTCACACTAGTATACGACCATTCGTCTGCAATATTCCCGGCTGTAATCAGGCTTTCATCAATCAGAGTGACTGCAAACGCCACGAGAAGAGCAGGAAGCGTCACCAGGGTCTTCCCTTTATCTTTTCTGACTCGCCTTAATCTTGTCATTATGTCACGGCCCCTTCACTCGAATCTGTAAACCGACCCATTCGTCCTGAATGTCGGCCCGGAACTGGCCATTCCCACATGTGCCTCCTTCCTCTATCTTGACAATCCTACATACAGGCACAATGTGACCGCACGCTTCATCTTGTCCCTACCTCGCTCCACCACTCATGCCAATCGCACAACTTGACACACTCTAATTTTTGGCCACAGATGTCATTCGCCCTGTATACCCAAGGTTCCCCGCTTCATCTGCATTATCTTATCAAACGATGTCGTAGAACTATTGCATGTATCGGGTGGGACTTCATGAGTTATCACTGGATCCGGAGTTGTATGACTACCGGTCTACGAGGGATGAAATGAAGTATTCATCACCGAAGGGGCGGTGCCTGCTTCGTCTGATTCTGCCGCCCGAGATGTCACTGAGATTTCATGCATGCAGCATCCCTCAATACGTAGAAGGTATAAGTGTGATGGCAGAAGATTGTTTATTTTACTAGGGGAAGCGCTGAGGGAACTGGAATTCAACTTTGAGCTTGGTAACGAGGTCCTGCTGAGCGCCACCATGTCACGGCCTTGTGCAAGTTCAGTTGACTTGTACTTCCTTGGGGTGAAATTTCCGAATGCAACACACGCTGAACCTACACATGCTGAATCTTGTTCTGGTTGAGTACTGAGTTGTTCCTGAACGTACATCGCTGTGTCGTAAACAACTATTGTCTCGAGCACAGTGGAACATCGGCGGTAAATCATTCACAGTAAGGCCGCAACACTGTGCCACTATATCAAAAGCCAGCCACCTAACCACAAGAACGGCTTACAAAACTTGAACGCAAAAAGAGCTCCATGGAAACCTCTATGTAGATTGGATGTGCGTAACGCTTGACAAATCAGTGGTTGAGGCGTCGGTGTTTGCACTGTTTTCGAATTAGATATGATGATGCGAATGTACGAATGAAAGAATATGACATTCGCCAGCAAGATAAAAGGGCTTGAGGCTCATTTGTCTGAGCACCCAAGCACCCGAAGCAAAAAGATTGAGTGGGAATCAAAGGGCTTTGACATACCAAAGATTCTGCAACACTTTGACGTCTCGGAGCCGTTTCTGAAAACCTATTTTGAGTAATCGATGCGTAGACAGACCAATTTACAGTGAATGCAATCCTTGTCATCGTCATATGAAGGCTCGCTGCCTTTGGACCTGGAATCAGCCAGAGCGTCGTCAATAAACGATTTACAGGGGAACCTATCATCCCATTTCGAATCCGTTAGTAGCCTGCTCATGAGCTGATGGATTGAAACCAGGGTGCTGTACCAAGGTAAGAAGTCTAGAACTCCGGCACACAGCCAAGTATTTGTGCGGCACGACGCGCCCAAACGATTACAGCCAAATTTCAATCGACGTAATATCACACGCACCACCTCCGACCGGGTCTCGCGGCCACGCTGGCGGACATGAGGTACTAAGTAATACAGTTAGGTCGACAGGGTGTGCTTCAGGTTGTTTCAGAGGGCTTGTAAAACGCCTTCACTGGTGGATACGTACAAAGGGAAAGCCTTATTGAGTCACGGCGGTTAACCGAAAGTTCGATTGGGCTGGTAACTGTCGGAAATTCCTAATTTGGATTTCAGCGCCTTGCAAGGCATTTCAAGGTTTAAAGGCAAAATGGCCTTTGAAATGGGTTTAAATAATAGAGTCGGTCTTTAAATTGCCATAGAAATGCGGTTGCAATTGCATTGCAATCGATTGCAATGGACCTACAATGGTACGGCAATGGTTCGGCACGTTGCAACTTTCTTGCCATATTGTTGCAATATATTGAAATGTCGCAAGATACCTACCAAATTCATTTAAAGAATACCTTATTGCAACCACTTTCACAAATTTCCGACAACGGAAGCAATTTTCATTCTTCGCTTGCTTCCTATTTCGGCCACAACTTTGTATCCACCAAGCGGCCAGGCCCAAGTGAACTTTCTCGTGGACAATAGTAAGTAAATTCCACGGAATCACAGCCTGCCACAGCGTATTGCAGAACAATCACTACGCGTCAACCGCAGCGGTCCATATTCCCTCAGATGCGCTGGCAGATCTCCGCTGTGGACTCGGAAAATGTGCGCCGCAGTGACTGTGGACCCTTGCCATTCAGCACCCTTTTTATCCCAGACCACAATCCGCATATGGATCATGAGCATTTGGTTTATAAGGCGCGTCTCAACGAAAATTTATGCACCATCTAAACTGCTTCACACCCTTCTACCTCATCATGCAAGACACCTCTCCAGAAGATACTCCTCCATTCATATTTGCCAATCTTTCGACGGAGCTCGTCCTTCTCGTCTTTTCACACGCTGCAAGACCTACTTTCGTCAAAATTGACGACAATGTGCCGAAGAATCCATATGCATCTGCCCTCTCGCTATGCAGCGTCTCCAAAATCGTCAGACGCACCGCCCTTCCTCAACTTCTGCGCACAGTATTGCTCTCGGAATACAAAAACGTCACGACTTTCGTGCGCGCTCTGCGCATGCAGCACGCATACGCTCAACAAGGAAGCGACCTCCATGTCGACTACGCAGGTTACATAGACAGGATTTGGTTTGGACAAATCTGCGAACCTCCCCCACAAGCTCCCGTGCACCGCAGCTTTTCCTCATCTATCACGCCTGAGCTTAACATTGACTTCAGCCTACTGGCTCCAGTGCTACTATCCGCACCCTCCCTCGCGCTTGACTTTGAAAGTCTGTGGCTTCTTTACGGCTGTCTTGAGTCCACGTGGAATTCCCATATCTGCATGAATAATAACAACGAATGTTCCGCCCCTCCCTGGAACACCAAAACATTGACGCTAGTCGGGGAATTCAATCGATGGCGCCCTCTCACAAGCACTGCCGAAGGATCCGCTTTGCTCGCCTCCATCTCACGCCTCACTTTCCTCTCCCCCACAAAAGCAGAAGCCTTTCTACTCCCTACCTATGATCCCTGCTTTGACGACTTGGAACATCGGAAATACCCGCTCCCCGAGTGGATGACGAGCGTCCCATGGGCTTCTTTCAAAAGCCTTCAATCCGTCTCGCTGACCCTCCCCCGTATTGTGCTCACGGTCGCTGTGGAGACGAGTTATCGTGAGGGGAATGTGGACGTCGAGCTGTTGACGTTGTTCGATCCCCCGCAGTCAGCCCACTGGGCACCCAAGGATATAAGCGCTTACACTGAGAGTGGGGAAGGGTGTGTTGTGTCGATTGATGTTCGCGCGAAGTCGGAGGATTCTCCCACCCAGTTTAGTTTTTCCTTTGATTGGGAGGAGGCTTGGGCGCGTGGATTACCTAGGATTTCGTAGCGCTCGAAGAAGTTTTTTTGTCTATCGCTCTTATTATCCGTCTTTGTTAATTTTCTATTCTTCGTTAGCACGTAGCCTCTTTCCATTCTTATGGCTTGTGGGTTCAATATTTTTCTTTTGTTAATTCCTAGCCACTCTACTTGTTTACACTCAGTGCTGTACTTGTGCTTGTTTATTGCATGTTTGTAATAAGTTTGTAATCATGAATTCGACTCTTGGTTACTAGAGCTCGAGAGTCGAGGCGCTCAATATATTTATATTCCAAGAAGTTGATCAGTACAAGCTTCAAATTGATAGAAGATCATCTATGTCACGCGTACTAAATCACACAAAGAACGACGATCGTCTGAACCATGACACCCAGCGCTACAGTGACTATGTCCAAAATGCGCGCCATATTAATCAAAGGCGGGCACGGTCCCATTGAAAACCTCTACATTGGAGAGGCAGATAAGCCAGTCCTAACAAAGGGACAGGTTTTAGTTAAGGTCCGTGCCTTTCTTCATCTTATCGATCTACGTGAATCGATGTAGTCCGGCATGGATTCCTCGTGGTAGATTGTCGCATTTGGCCTTAGTCGCATGGACCAACACCAGCGTGAGGGTAACTATCCTCCTCCCCCTGGTGCATCCTCCATTCTTGGTGTGGAGTTCTCTGGACGTGTGACTGAGCTCGGCGAAGGAGTGACTCTATGGGCTGTTGGGGATGAAGTATTTGGTCTTGTGGGCGGCGTTAGTCGATTGACCAAGTCAAAGCGTATGTTCTTTACTGACCAACACTGACACGGGTATCTCAGGGAGCTTATGCGGAGTTCATAAACTGTGACGAAGGACTCTTGTTGAAGAAGCCCAGTCACTTATCTTGGGTGGAGGCAGCAAGCCTACCAGAAAACTATCTTACTGGTGAGCACGGCAGATCCGAGTCAGCCAAGTAAGCGGGTCATCTTTGGTTCTGATCACTCTGGGACTATTTCCTAGCCTATCAAGCTCTTGTGAAGTACGGGGAAGTCAAGAAGGGCGATCATGTACTGGTCCACGCAGGCGCTTCTGGTGTAGGAATTGCGGCTATCCAAATAGCAAAGGTATTAGGAGCGTGAGTGTTCCGGTGTTCAGTATTCCGGCCTTCGCTGCCTTCAATGTTGTTCTGCACGTTCTTGCTGAATGCGTATAACACGGTGTTCACAGGGCAACGGTTACTGCTACGGCATCTACCACAGAAAAACTTGATTGGCTGCGGTCCATTCCTAACGGGGCGACACATACAGTCAATTACAGAACCGAAGACTTTGCAGCGGAGGTCAAGAAAACGACCAACGGCAAAGGTGTCGACATTGTCATAGATTTCGTTGGACAAAGTCATTGGGCTAAGAATATCGAATCCCTCGCTATCGATGGAAGGATGACGATGTTGGCTACTTTGAGTGGTAGGCTTTTATTATGTCTTACAGTCCGAAACCTGGTAACTAAAAGGTCTGCTAGGGAGCGAGGTCCCCTCAGTCAACCTCAGTGCGATTATATTCAAGCGTCTCCGCATTCAAGGTTCCACGCTACGTTCCCGTAGTCTACAGTACCAAACCGAGCTCATCGCAAGGTATTGTCATAATATTGCCTGATGTGATGTTCTTCCAGACTAACTCATCATATAAGCTCAAGTTTCCGCGAGATAATCGATAAGGTAACTGGCGCCAACGGAGGTGGCCCGATACGGACTTACATCCACAAAGTGAGTTTGTTCTTCTGCTCTTCTCATCCCGTTGGACACGGACATACAATTCCACAGGTGTATCCTTGGACAGAGATCCAAAGTGCTCATCATGAGATGGTCGACAATAAGAATAGGTGAGCACTCTGTCTCCATTGGAAGAAACGGTGATCGAGACTTGATTGTTAGCGGGAAGATCGTCGTCGAAGTCCAGTAAGAACGCAAACGGTGTACTAGCCAAGATTGGAGTCCATCAAGGATTCCTTAACTCTTCTGTTGATTTGACCGTGTATTTTTATGGATATCATTTGATTGATATGCAACGAGCCCCAGATCAAGCCGATGATAGGAACAACGAGGCCTCCCGGAATCAAACAAATTTCAAGCTTCAAGGGTCAAGCCCAGTATGTGGCAGTATAGAATGTGTGCCGTTTCATGTAACATTGTTCGCTGGCTTTTCGTTGCTATTGTCGTTACAAGACGGTGATTCCTCGGGACCTCTGTGTCGAGCTATATGCTTTGTGCACTTCCATTACTATCCTTCGCACTTGCCTCATTGTGGAGCCTGGGGCCTCTTTGCGGCATTTTCTTTGTTTCTATCGGTTCTTGTGTTGGACTTCGCTTCTTTCTCTTCCGCAACGAAATTCGTGACCAGTCAAATAACCGCCTGTGTAATGTTCGTATCCTTGATTCTTATTACCATGTCTATGACGTAGCTAACATGTGTCCTTCCCTGTAGATATGGCTCATGGGCGTTCATCTCTTGCCAGAAAATGTGCGTTTTCCTGTATTGACATGGCAGTATTACCTTGTTGCGTCATTATCACAGACTCCGGAAGTCACTGGGTATGTCTGTATCCTGTCAGTCGAAAGGAGCAGCATTATTGACTGTGCACAAGCAATACGCGCGATCGTCTTGGGTCTCAGTGTTTCCCGCTAGTGTGTTACTATTCCCCTTTTACCTTACAGGCCACCAAAAGTTTCCTATTAACTATAGTTATTTCATTATAATGCGTTCCCAAAGTTCGGCAAACCCTGCTTCTCCCAGACACACGTACTTAAGAGTAATTCATTTTTTTAAATTTTAACTTACCTAGTAATATCAACCACTTGAGAATACACTGCCATTTCATTTCTGGGTCTATGTATAGCCCCTGGCAATACGACAAGCACAAAGAAAGTGAGTGTACCCAGGGCATAAGCGCTTATACTGAGAGCGGGGAAGGGCATATTGCGTGGGTTGGTATTCATGCTAAGTTGGTGAATTCTCCCATCCAGTTTAATGTTTCCAGGAGGAAGGTTGGGCACGCGACCTACTTATGTGGCGCTCGAAAAATAGCAACATTAATATTGTGTGACTGTCAGTATTCGACTTACAAGCCCGCGTCGATCTGTGGATCAGTTATTTCGTGATCTCAGTATAGTCTATTCTTCATTCAGATGATGATCTGCATGACTTGACGACTGTTGCCTCAGTTGCAAACACCCGTACGACAAGAGAAGTCAATAATGAATTAATCGATACACCCCAAAGACCCCCAGATCCAGATTGACTCGAATACATGTTGTGTACATTAGACTTCTCGATCATTACCCAGAACAACAACATTCTGCGGTACAAGTACCAAACGATGATAGTACGAAGCGATGATGGTATACGGTAAGTGGCACAGACAACAGCCAAGCTCGAAAATAATGTATAGGATTCGCTATCGGAGTGTTTCACCCCGCGGGCGTCCAATGAGGGGTAGGGCAGCCGGAGCTGGAGGCAACCCACGTGTCGGAATTTCAATTGAAGTAAGTTCTTTGCCAGCAAGAAGGCACGCTAACCGAAGCTCCTAAAGTACACAAAACAGAGATGAGAGCATCCGCACGGAATACGTCAGAAATAGGAACATATACCTCGAATGAATGTTTGTCGAATTTGAGAGACGTCGTGATGCTCATGTAGGCATCGGGAGCGTCAGGGCTGGTGGTGGCGCGCGCGAATGCGGTTGCTGCTGAATCACTGGAGTAAAACGGATGCACGACCTGTGCGGGCGCGTTGTTCAAAGAGAGTGTATCTGATGGAAGTGGGGTCGGAGGCATGATGTTTCCCGAAAGATATGCATAAAGCCGCAATTCCTGGATTCGATAGGCGGTCGTCAACATTCCTGAGTCGGTAGCTGGAGCAATGAAGAAAAATAGGCCGCGGGTGCGCGATATTATGGCTACATACCTCATATGAGAACAAACTGAAAGTAGTCTGTGCTGTGATGCTTTGGAATTGCCCGTCGATTGGTGTTTTAGTCGACTGAAATACTTGGATGGTGGGCAGATCATTTGGACTTATTATGGCCTTCTCGGCCGGAATGCCTGTAGGGCTCATGCTCGGAGTCGATTCTATTTGAATGGGAGCAAATAGTTGTGGCAAGCCGAGTGCATGTCTAGCATTTGGGGTGCTTGGTAGATCTGGGATTGGTGCTGGTGATCGACCGGTCGTTGTGTATGCTTTGATGTACTCCTTCACGCGTAGCTCCTGAGGGTGTAGAATATTGAGTCGAAGCGATGGTTGATCAGTGTAATATTGGCGCACCTCAAAGCTTTGCTCTGGTTCGGGCGGCTTCTGGACCGTGCACATGAATATCTCGTAGTCTTTCATGGGTGATGATAAAGCCATAATTTTAGAGGAACAGAATTGTGCAACTAGCAGATCAAATCACTTGCGAGTGTCCCACTGTCGTGCTGTGGAACTACAAGTTCTAGTGTTAATATTATGCGACACCTGAATATGTGGCTATGGGACCTGAGTGAAGTTAGGGTGGTCATTATTTTATTTTTATTATGTAAGTCAAACATCAACTTGCGTTAGTCAGCCACAGATCGTTTGTCCCCCACCATGGCTGACATCTTTCGACGCGATGGAGTGCACCCCGGATCTGAATAAGTAACATAGTTCCAAACGACGAAGACTGAACGGTAAGAATCCTACGCAAATCGCAGAACGGAATGGTACGCAACATACCACCTTAACTATACTCGCAATCGGACCACGGATGCTCGAGAGGTACATCAAGCCGCTGATGAAAACAGACAGAAGGTTTTTCCCCTGTCCAAGCCAAAGGTGATCTGTCCTCGATGCATCAACCCGAAGGCCGGTTTGTCCGACCTCATCATCGGAAGTTGGAACGGTCTCGGAGCAAGCGGCACTTCGTTTTGGTTCACTTGACCTCGCGGCGAAACTAACACTAGTATACTGGTATCGACGATACGAGCCTCTTTCTTCCAGATTCACAGTATATCACAGTACGTCTTCCAACCGTGAAGCAGCCCTTTGTGTGGTCTGATCAATAGGTCACTGTTGCCACATTTGCTTTGATGTGTGGAATGTTTGTGGAATGTGGACTAAGTGCCACAACTTCCACACCTTCAAAGGATAAAATGAGCGTTGCTTTATATTCTTCTTTGTAAATCTGCCCATCATCGCACTCATACCATTAACTATCATTTCTTACACCTCACCTCGTTCTAATTCTCACCATGCCGTCAACAAATGATTTAACACCCGTATATGTCCATCCCCCTGTCAAAACTCAAAGACCACTCCGAGAGCGCTGCTCCGTCCAACTCACAGTTCAAACTACATTAAAACGTTTCTCCCATGGCCCTGTAACGTGTAACATGCCCGCCACCAAAGTGGCACCACGCACCGCGCATCCCGAGTGGCATAATTTTGTCCACTACGACGCACCTTTGGAATGTTTTTCTAGGAGTTACCACCTGGAAAAAATACTGGAGGGCCTATACGTCGCATTCGCCGACGCACATGAAGTCGATACGCTTTGTGCGGAAGCTGGGGTGCCGTTCAGCCACGTCCTGCGAATAGAGCCTGTCGAAGATATTGCAGCATCAGGCTCTAGGAGCGAGGAAACGATGGAAGGTTATTTTAGGACACAGAAGCTGACGCTCAAGTGCCCGGGGCAGGGGAGAAGCGCGGGTTACACAGCGCTCAACGCCTCTCAGCTTTGTGCAGCACGGGACTACCTTTCCCTGGTCATGCCGTATTCGAGCCGCATCATTCCAAAGCCTCACCCTCCGCGCTTCAACGTCCAGTTACTTGTTGTCGCACCAGCAGATCGTGCAGTTGATGTGATGTCGGTGGTGGTGTGCTATCTCGCATTCTCTTCTGGATATCATGCGGAGACCGTGATGCAGTGTATCGGAGAGGAGGAGTATGATGAAGTATGGAAGGGGGTCATTTCGCCAGAGGGTCTGGATTTTGTGGAACGTATTGCGAGGGTTATATAGGGCTAACTACCTGATTGCGCAGGGAGGGCTATGGCTAGCAGGACGTGGTATTGCTTTGCGTATTATTGCACACACCCGTAGGATATTTCTGTAAGATATTGTCAAAGGGGCTCAAGGAACTCACACACATTGATATAATGGACTCAAACCAGATCGCAAATCAATCTCCCTCAATGACGTCCCCGATATTGCGCTTGTGGACGGGTACCATTAATGGATGCGAAATTTAGAGTGAGTCAGCTCACGAGAGATAGATTCTGATGCGACACGTATAAACACGACCCTATGACACCAAGCGATCAGGAATCCATCCGGACGCTGCCAACGGGGTCGCAAGTCAATTCCTAAGGTCCGGATTTGACGAGGATGATATCTGAGAGTTCATCATCTTGCACAACAACATCGAGTGGTTCGTTCAATGGCACGACGTGCAAGTGGAACTGCGATACAGCTGGGCTTCTTGTGAGAAATCATGAAAAGACGAGTTGAAACGTCCAGGCGGCTGGCACGTTCACCAGCCGGTAAAGCTTGTACTGATCGACTTCTTGGAATATAAATATATTGACCGCCTATTTTAGCTTTATCTTCATCGTCATAATTAAAATGCCATGACAGTTTACATATACAGAGTGGCTAAAGCAACACAGACCAAGTCAGTTCAAGGATACTCACAACACATGCCAATCGATACGATGGAAGAAGACTTACTCATCCATCAGCCATTCACCTAACCGCTGCCAAATTACGGTGATCTTCTCGCAGAATTCATCGTTCGTGTAGAGCCAAGGTGATCTGCGTGATAACCAGCAGGGGAGCACCAGATAGTCGCATAGGAATAAGAAACTTCAGTATACATTAGCTTCAAATGAGTGGGAATAGTAGACCTACCCCTTAGGTACAAGCAAGTCCGACGGAAACTGCAGGTCCAGGACGAGAGGTTTGGGGACCACACAGTCGGGCGACTTCCTGTGGGCCTCTATCTGAAGTGAAACGTCTGGATGCAATGGCAAGCTATGCTCTGAAAGTCGGTACTCAACCTGCCACACCCCTTCCTGTCCCAAAAAAAAGCGCAGCACCCATATACGTCCTGCAGGGAATAGTGCATTCCTATCAATGCAAAGAAGAGAAATGACATGGACTACATACTCCCAGCAACGAATTCTGCGCTCAATTCCTGCGCAGTGCGAAGACGTTTCTGGAACATCCTGAAGCGGAAAGAAGCAATGAAGCAGTTATCCCCCAGTGCTTTCACCTCGATGTCATCTGGCGGACATCCCAAAAAGCGTCTTAAAGATTCTTCCTTGGCTGATATTGCATGGTGAATTAATCATCGCTCCTCGGGTCATTTATGACGATGTACTCACGACTCATTGAGCTGCTCAAATTCAGCTGCGTGAACAACACATGGTCGTTAACTGCCATGCATGCAAGACGCAATTCGGAAGAGCAAGCAGGCGAGAATTTGGAAATGAATTTAATAAACGCCCAAAGGGCTTCTCGCCGGTTGTTGACAATCGCCCAATACAGCGCCGTGTGATCTTCGATATTGGGTCGTTGCAGGAGCTTGGAGAACTCTGCTGCTGAGAGATTAGCAGCGCAGGAGTTGACAATTGACCCAGCAGAGGAAGGGTCGAAATTAGGAGAGGAGACAATTTCACGGATGCGAGACAGAACTGTGGCACGACGTTTTTGCCTGGATTGTAGAGAAAAAATACTGATCGTTTGGACAGGACGGAATCTGCTGGCGCGGATGCGGAGGTTGCATCATACGAGGGAGGTGGGTTGGAAACAGTGGATGCGCTGTCATCGAAGGCTTCAAACTTGGTGGCCATGGATATCGTAGAAGAGCAAATAGGAGACGAAAGGAGCAATTTGAATAGGAGCCAGCCCGTGGAAACAAGCAACAACAACGCAGTTTGATATGCATTGTCAACAGGGACCTCCACGTGCGCAGACTGCCTATACATTCTGCGGTAGTACGACGCTGCCGTTGAACACATTTTAGAACCAAACGCTACCAGATAACGGTGTAGTGAAGCAAAGCGTGGCATTGCTACTGCAACAGATATGGTTCATGGGCGTTCAAATTTTGCCAACTAATGCGTGTTTTAGTACATCGGGATAGTAGTACCTCGTTGGCGTCGTCGCGTCATAACCGTGGCGAGGGAGACATTCTAGATGCCTTCACAAAACTGTCATTTGACCGTATCAAGTCACAAGAGGAGATATCATACCTAGCTCGGCGATACGTCACTTGACAATATTAATGGGTGGATGCTAGTAGCATCCACCCATTGGACTCGGTGTTAGAACATTACTGGTAGTACCAGTCTTTTCGTCGAAACTGAATTGTAAGTTTGGGCAGAGATTCGGAACCCGAGTCTGTCACTTTTTTGACGCACGTTCCCAGGATGCGCCGGATCCAATTGGCAGAATAACTTGAAGCAGTGTGATATTCGCGGTCTTGTGATCTCTGGTTCGTTTGTCCGGTGTTACTACTGAATCTTTCAATTTCTTGTCCAAGTCAAGATGCATAACGTGGTCATACCACATCCATCTTATCTATTATTTAAATTCTGCAGATTCGGACTCTAGAACCTTGGATGATTGCGTTATCGCGCGAGCGCTACGACTGAAGTGAGATATCATGATTACTTCATTCCTGTGTTGACATTTACCTGTGCTCTTGTTACTTTTATAGGTCTAAGTTCTTGGACGCCACAGCAGTTGCGCGTCTTTCATACCTTGCCCTCTGCCACGATGTTGCACGCAAGCCTGAAATACGTAGACATCATACGCCAGCGCACTTCCAAGTGGGCAAATTGGAGCCCCGAAAAAGATGACATTCGGGTCAGTTCAACGCCATTCTGTGTGAGAAATCATCTTACCGACGATCTGTATGATCTAGGTTGGATCGTACGGTCGATTCAATGCCGAGACAGGCAGATTGGATGTTCTAGGAAACGTGTACGATCCTGAGTTTCAGAAGTTGATCGATGCTACCGATGGGAAGTTGAAGCTCTCCGATTATCCGCCGGTACTCGACGATGAGGAGAAAGACTTTGCTGTTGGGACTATGGGCGTCAGGCCCAAGGATTTCAGTCCTGGGCCAAACGAGTGAGCTTTTGACACAGTCAACCCTTGGAGAACTTCCCTGATTTCCGCTACCGTAGCGTCGAGCACCTTGACAAAGCAAAATATAAACAAGACTGGCAGTTTCTGCCAGACAAACGGGGCGCGATCCTCGTGATGCACAAGCCCCGTCAAGAGCACTTCCCTAAAGGACGAGTGTTTGAAGCGCTCTACAAGGTCCCGGAGCTCAAGGACTTGTGCATCGTCCCAACAGTGTACAAATGTCGTGCTTATGCTGTGTACTTGTCTAACAAGAGTACGTCTATTCCTATCGTCAGATGTACGTGTCTGATTCAAGTGTGAATGATAAGCCGGCGAGAAGGTTTCACTGGCGCTCCTCCCGAAATCTGGCGAAGAGAACGAGACAGGGCTCAACTGGTGGACTAACACACAGGAAGAACACCTTCAACTTAAAACGGATGAAGACTACGTATTCTCGCCACTTTTTACTTGCAAGCGCAAGATCCCCTTGATTCGTCCCCTAATGCGCGATTCACCTACTCCAGACCCTGAGGATGCAGGCTTGTAGGTCTCTTCGTCTTATCTTTCAATTGCATTGCTGATCGAACAAAAGCTGGATGGATTCTTACCCAACTTGGGAGCCACTCGATGAGGATGGCGAGATTGATCCGGTGTATGATGATGATGTGTGTACTTTGAAAGTTTCTCGCAACAGACATTGGAGACTGACGCTGTACCAAGTACGATGACCCAAATGTCTACAACCCGCGAAGAGACGCTCCATATGTGCCATACAGTCCGAGTCCTGAGCCGGAGGAGGAGGAGGATGACTGATGACTGGTCAGGTTGTTTTTTTCTCGCTGTTATATCAGGTCGACGCTGTTGTATGAAATGTACAATAACTTGTTAATGGCTGTTCGAGTACGTATGTAATAGAAATGTGATGTGATACCTTTGTTTGCGTTGTAATCTTATGCGCACGCTAGCACCGCCTGCCCAGGCTGTCCATGTCAGGTCCTGAGGTTCAAATTTAAATCCCATCATTTCTTCATTTCTTCATATGATAAGTCTATATCTGACTGTCGCCTCATAGCGGTTCTCGTAGTCGGCGCTCTTTCTTTAGTACTCAACTACTCGCTGCAACATATTAATGGGAAACGCAGGCCGCAAATTCATTGATCTCATCAGACAGTCCACAGCGAAGTGGGCCAACTGGGACCCACCTATACCCGTACAAGTACGCGACTCGTCTCTCGTGGGTCCTGTCGCTGCGATTTATGACTTCGCCCACAGGTCGGCGCATATGGTAGGCTGAATACTGAGACGGGAGAATTAGACATCGAAGGCAACATCTATGATCCGGAGTTCCAGGAGTTGCTGGATAAGGTGGACGGGAAACTAAAGCTAGCAGATTTCCCTGCTGAGACCGGTGCTGTGGAGGACGACTTCATAGTATGCACGATGGGTGTGCGGCGGAACGACCTCAGGGTTGACGGAGAAATGTGTGTGTTCTGCGTACGGTCTGTGCAGACGAGGACATGAGCTGATCGATGGTTTGATAGGAATGTCGCTGGTCTCGCCCAAGCATCTATCAAAGGAGAGTGGCAGTTCCAGCGCGGCAAGCGCGGGGCCCTCTTGATCATGCATCATCCGAGACAGGAATATGTTCCGCGCGGCAGGATTTTAGAGACGCTCTACAAGGTCCCAGAGCTCAAGGACATGCACATCGTCAATACCATCTTTAAATGTCCCGCCTACACCATCTACCTTTCTGACAAAAGTATGTTTCCATACTCTGTTCTCGTACTCCTGCTCATTATAGTGGTCAGGTGGAGAGAAGATTTCCTTGGCGCTTACTCCCAGCGAGAATGGAACTGAGCCCGAACAGTGGTGGTCGGACACGAATGCAAGTCTGCTGCGGAAGGGGCAGCACAAGGATTATATGTTCACGCCACTGTACGGGCTCAAGCGCAAGTTACCATTGATACGGCGTCTCATGCGAGAGTCTCCTGTACCTGACCCCAAGGGGGATGACTTGTCAGTATCATCAGTTTCGTTTCTCCCTATGCGCTCCATCTGACATGTTGTTCTCGGTAGTTGGGTGGACGTGCATGCGCCATGGGACCCCCTGGATGAAGACGGCGATGAGGACTATTCACTTGAGGTATATCGTGGCTTTTTGATCTTGTTCGTCTGGCAGATTGATGAAACCGATACAGGACGAAGACGACGGATGGACGGTAAACACAGAGGGACAGGGGAACGTTTTGGAAACCGACAACCCATGACCCATTCCTGCATGCTCGTGATGAATTTTCTAGTAGTCATTCCCCATTATGATTTCATCTCCCCAATTATGTTGTAGCATCGTCGCAATGTTTTGTATTAGCATGATTCCCTTAATCCCATTTTTATCTAGGCACGTGTTGATATGCTGTATGGAGTAGGAGTCCAGTGAGATCACTTTCCGTAGCCTTTGTCTTTCCTTTTTCCATCTCCTTCACGTCTAGGTAATTATCCTCTTCCCGCGAAGATGCACTCACTATATGACTGGTGGAATCGTACTTTCAGGGGCAGCATGGCCAAGCCCGGCTACACCACAGATGCACACCCAAGAATCTTAGAGGGCAATGATCTCAAGGCGCTTGCGAAATATATGAAGTCGGATAGCTGTCGGAATGTTTTCCTTATGGTGAGTTCCCTTATCGCTTCAAGTTGTGAATCATCTTGACGCGGCGAAACAAGCTTGGGGCTGGTGAGGCTACTAGTAGTGCCATATTACAGTCTTCTCATGTGTGTTATCAGGTGTGAGTACATCTGCCGGTATACCAGACTTCAGATCGCCCGGTACAGGTAAGTCACTCCTGTACGTCTGGTGCTGAAATGCAGATCAAAGCGCATGTTCTATTAGGATTATACGTAAGTGTTCTTTATGCAGTGCGGCACCGCAAGTGAGAATCATTAACATGGCACAGGCCAACCTCGCCCGGCTGAAACTGCCATTCCCTGAGGCAGTATTCGAGATAGGGTTCTTTAAGAAAAACCCCATACCCTGTGCGTTCTGTCCGTACTTAGTCCAAAGAAAGACATTGACCCGCGTTTATTAGTCTATACACTAGCCAAGGAACTTTACCCAGGGCGCTTCCGACCCACGCCCACGCACAGCTTCATAACACTCCTCCACTCGCATTCCTTATTGCACACATGTTTCACTCAGAACATAGACACACTTGAGCGGCGCGCAGGAGTGCCGGCGCAAAAGATCGTCGAGGCACATGGAAGCTTCGCCACACAGCGGTGCATTGAGTGCAAAACGCCCTTTGATGCAGAGAAGATAAAGAAGGCGGTGTTGAGTGATGAGATAGAGATCCCGAGGTGCGAACAGAAGAGGTGCCGGGGCCTGGTGAAACCAGATATTGTCTTTTTCGGTGAAGGGGTATGTTTAAGCTTCTCGATATCATACGGCGTGACTGATGGTTCGAGCAGCTTCCCGATCAGTTCCACCAGTCTATCCGCAATTTGCGAGATGCGGATTTATTGATTGTGTTGGGAACATCGCTGACTGTGCATCCATTTGCCTCTCTTGTGGACCGTGTGCCGAAGGACTGCCCTCGGGTGCTGATTAATCTCGACGAGGTGGGCCACTTTAACAAGCCAAACGATATGTTGTTTCTAGGGAAATGTGATGATGTTGTGCGTGAGCTATGCAAAGAGCTTGGATGGGAGGAGGAGCTTGGTGCCGCTTGGGAAAAGACGAAGTACAGCTTGGAGGCTGGCGAAGAAGAGCCGGAACCGGAACCGGAAGAAACGGTAGAGGATGAGGTGGAGAAGATTACAAAGGATTTAGAGCAGACGCTCAATGTCAGTGACAAGAAGGATGAAGAAGGGCCGTCGGCTAAGAGCAAGGCGAGTGATTTAGTAGAACTGGGATCAGATGAAGAGGGCAAGACGAGCCCTGCAGAGTCCCCGACGGAGGGAAAGCTGTAGTGCTTCGAATTGATAGAGATCAGAATACTCGCTGTATAGTTTAAGTTGTACCTCCTTGTGGATCCATGTTTCCGATGCTAAAATGCAGTACATGTTGTAGGCGAAACTACTAGGGGTCAATTATATTGTTCCGGGCCCCGGCAAAATGGTCAGAATAACCGATACTGCCGCGTGGCAGAGGTCTGAATGAAAATATCCATCTGCGAGCATCGGATCATGATGTTGATCGGGATGGGTCATCTTCCCCTTATGATGGGATCTTTCATCTTTCTTTTGCCTGCACCTAAATGAGCAATATGCTATTTGACAAGGTAGCGCACCGACTTTGTCTGAGAGGTACAAGGAGAAGGTGACACCTTCGCGATGATATGCGTCGACTGAAAGTGCGGAATTCTCGCAAGCTTTCCAAGCACGTCGTATGTGTCTCATTACGAGGGTTATGCATGAGCAAGTACAAGACAGCGTCAGTATTGCTTGCATGACCCGCCATGGCACGAGTCCCTTAACGTTTCGAAATTCAACCAACCGTCTTTCTTCTAAATGGCCTAGAGACTAGACCAGCACGTCATGAATTCAGACTTGTGTTCGGAATATGCTCACCGCTGATACCCTGTGACATCAACTAGATGCTGTTTAAAATCATCTATTGAAGTAGATGGCTATGAGACCGCCAGTGCGTGGCTGTGTCGATCTTTCCGTGACCCAATTTGCTCCACCTCGACATGTACTCGGATCTGGAGAATACGCCACTATGTGATTCGGATGGCATGGCCGTAACCGTACCAAGATCGCCTAGATGATCGTGTATACTTGGCTCGGTGTTTGAGGTGATCGGCATCCGAGCAGTGATTGCGTCGGAGTTATGACCTTTAAGAAGTAAAGCTTGTAGATGCGGGCTTGATGGAAGCTGATACTTATTACCGTATTGCGTTTTAGAAAGAAGTCGGCGCGTTTTCCAGAAATTGTGAAGTGTGCAAGAGCAAGCCTCTAGCAGATCGTCGTTCGTGGTGAGGATGGTGGAAAAGCCGCTGAGCTTGAACTTAAGACTATCGAAGCTATCTGCTTAATCCTGATCACCCATTTTAACAGGCGTCTTCCTCCTCCATTACAGATCACTGGCAGTGAACAGCTGTATCAAACAACTGGAATCACAGCTTGCGCGCCAAGCTTGATTTCTGTTTCATTAATAATATTATCACTCCTGGACCCACAATTCCAATTCCCCACATACTCAGCGCCATGGAGGCTGTCGTCCCTCATGAAATCACGGCAGAACTCACACAAATCCTTGCCAATCTCGTGCTTGGTGATAACAAGATACGCTCAAAGTGCGCGATCTTTTCAATGTGTACGACTGATGCTGAGAGACCTGTAGTGCAGAACAGGCGGTTAATGATCGACTGGCTCAGACACCAGACTTATACCTGCTCGCATTGGCTCAGTTCTCTATTGGAGCAGATACCGAAGTGGCAAGTCGATATCTATTATGTTTCAATACCGCTGCCCTCACTCAATGAAGTGCAGATGCGATCGTTCTCCCTTGTCTTATTGCGCAGACTTCTGTTTCGTGCTGCACCGGGTCAGCATACCAGAGAAGGGCGTCTAACGCTTTACGACCAGCTCCCAGCTCACGCGTTGACGACCCTCGAGCGTCTGTTACTTCACTCTCTGTCCCATGAACCTTTAGATGCCGTTCGCAGGAAAGCAGTCGATACCGTTTGCGATGTCGCAACCAATTCCATGTCTCGAGGGCGTCCATGGCACGCCCTGCAGGCACAAACATTCACCATGACGCAGACAGGTGAAGCTGGCTTCCGGGAGTGCGCTTATAGATTGTTTGCCGGCTGTCCCAATCTCGTAATGGATCTCCAGACAGATGCCGTTCTGACGGTCTTCCGAAAAGGTCTTCAAGACCAGCAGAGTGTCGAGGTGCGTTGTCCTATAGGTGAATTGATTGGCATTGATGGATATGTTGTTCAGGTTCGGCTTGCTGCTCTCCGAGCCTCTGTATCCTACCTTACTGCATCTGATCAACGGCAATTGTCACAATCGCTCTCACTGCTCTATCCAATGCTAGACACATTACCTTCCCTCCCAAATATTCACCTTAAATCATTCCTCAGCTCGCTAACGCCATTATGCTCGTCTCATCCCAATCTCTTCGCGCCTCATATGAATGCACTGCTGTCTTTCTTGCGCGGCTTGATAATGCCAAGCGTCGACTCGGGCCCGACACCCACAGTCGCTAAGCCATTCCCTGGTACATCATCAAGCTTCACGTTCCCTCCTGGCGGGTCTGATAGTCGGACCGCTGACGGCAGTGACGAAGCCACAGAGGACGAGGATAAAGAGTCAGTCAGGAAAGCTGCATTAGAATTTATGGTAAGCCTTACAGAGGCTAAGCCTACATTGGCGAAGCGTTCGGAAGGATGGACGGCGGCTATGGTAAGAGCGTCTCTGGAGGGCATGGGGGAGTTACCAGAAGACACGTTGGATTCCTGGCTCGAGGCTGATGTAAGATACTTGTTGTGCATTGCTCCAAGTGTTATACTAACTCACTCATCTTTAGCCCTCAGATGACGCACAGGATGAGAATTACCCTCATGTATACGAGCAATCAATCGATAGAGTGGCTTGTGCTCTCGGAGGTAAAGCAGTGCTTCCTCCGGCATTCCAATACATTCCGTCAATGCTTGCCGATTACGACTGGAGACTGAGGCATGCCGGCCTGATGGCGATCGCAGCTATAGCCGAAGGCACGAGCAAGGTTTATATGACATGTTGGTTTATGGCATAGTCTAGGCCCACTAATTCGTCTATTAGGTGATGCAAATGGAGCTTGGGAAGGTCGTCGAGTGCGTTCTCCAGTTTGTTGTCCCGTTCACTCCATTGATTGTGTTCCCAGCCTCGTTACCCCGATGTTCAAGGACGCACACCCACGTGTGCGGTATGCTGCATGTCACTGCGTGTACGTTGTTTCTATCGTTGCCTGATATCCCGCTCAATAATTGATACAGTGGTCAATTATGTACTGATTTGGAGGTAAGTTTGGTAAGCCTGCTACCGAGACCACTCATAGACGCTTGTGTTCCAAGGAAATTATTCAAGATCGCTACCACGAGCAATTATTCGCCGCATTGATACCAGCCCTGGCGGCACCAGAACCTCGGTGATTGTCACTTGTCTGTCACTTGTCATCCGACTAATCCTCGGTTTTAGTGTACACTCGCATGCCGCTGCTGCCCTGATCAACTTTTGTGAAGGTGTCGAACGCGACACCCTCGTTCCTTATTTGGACCCGATCGTTGAGCGTCTGCTCAAGATGCTCAATCCAGGGGCTGAGGATGGTAAAGTAGTTAAAGGTTACGTTCAAGAACAAGCTATTACAACTCTCGCTATGGTCGCTGATGCCAGCGAGACAACGTTTGCCAAGGTATTATTGTGCAGTCTCGTGTGTTTCTTATTGATCTGACTGCACATATAATAGCACTATACTTCGATAATGCCTCTCCTTTTGAATGTTCTCCGTAACGCCAACAGTTCTGACCATTACAAGCTGCGCGCAAAAGCCATGGAATGTGCTGGTTTAATAGGTAAGAGATGATCATTGACGCTAGTTTTCTTAACTGATCCCTGTCAGCAATGGCCGTTGGACGTAATGTTTTCCGCACTGATGCAAATACGCTCATCGAGCTTTTAATCAAAATTCAAAGTTCGTCCTCGACTGTTCCTAGATCAAATCTCGATAAACGCTCATCGTACATCATAGATTCTCCTGTCGACCCCTCAGACACCATGCTGCCCAACTTTTTGATTGCTACCTGGGCTAAAATTTGCCAAGCTCTTGGCACCGAATTCGAGCCGTTCCTTCCTGTGGTCATGCCCCCACTACTGAACGCGGCCAGCGCAAAAGCTGATGTTTCGATCTACGGTAAGTTCAATTATTTGGGTCACGATACGTGCTTACCTTGCCACAGATGACGAAGAAGATGTCGGCGAGGCACGAGAAGGCTGGGAGACTATCTCGATGGACGGTCAGATCGTTGGTATCCGCACCTCGACCATCGACGAGAAATGCCAAGCGTTCGACACTCTCGTTGTATATTGCGCGACCCTCGGAGGCCGGTTCGCACCATACCTCACTCAAAGCCTGGAGCTCTCCCTCCCCGCTCTAAAATTCTACTTCCACGACGGCGTTCGCGAAGCTGCGAGTAGGTGAGTGCTCCCCAGCGTCGTTACTGTTGCTGCTAATGACCACACGCACAGACTCATTCCTTTACTTTTCACTTGCGGAAAGCAGAGCGGAACATTGACATCGCAGATGGTCGCCGCGTCCTTCCTCCAGCTCGTACAGAGTATCAGAGCCGAAACAGACCCTTCGTTTCTTTCCTCGTTGTATAGAGCCCTCGCCGACGGGCTCCGCGTCGTTGGCATTCCAGCGCTCACGCCAGATCTGCAAGCTGCCCTCATAGAAGCCACAAAGCACCAGCTTCAGACGTTCGCAGATAAACGCAAGCGGCGTGCGGAGTCCCCAGAGGACGACCGCGAGGAGCTTGCGCTATTAGAAGAGGTGGAAGAGTTTGCTCTAGAGGACATGGAGAAGCTGCTCAAGATGTTGGATGGTCAGCATCCACTTCTTGTGGCGATTTCGAGTGTGAGAGATTTAGGGTTTAACCAGTGGGACAGTGAAGATGAGCGGGATAGCGATGGTTAGCGCACGGGATGCGTAATAAGTACTCATACTATGCAGTGGCTCCTAACAAGTTCTGTCTTCTTGTATTAATGAGGTGATCATGCTCTATAATTCCGCCTTGTAATAAGTATCTGCCTGGCATGATCATACATAGTATTGCAGCACTACAGGTTATATGTACAAGAGCTTTTGTGCACCCCGATGATCCTCGGACGTATCAGCGTATACAAAGAGTCCCACGAAGGGAAGGGTTGCCAATATCCGCAACCGCTATAGCAAGTTAAAATCAAGATCAAGCAAACGCTGTGCAGAATGTAGCACAGGCGAAAAGGCGCATGCAGATCAATCTCGCGGACAGCCAGGGTAATGATGAATAATTGATGGTATGCTAGATAGGATGATAACATGCTAGAGAATAACCAGGCATTCCAGATATATATGCGAGCTGCACCCTCGTTAATACAGATTAACCAATGGGGTATGGAGGCGCATACGGATAGATAAGAACAAGAAACCAGGAAAGGAAGACGTCACAGAATGCCCGAGTCTTTGAGAGCGTTCTGTAGTATCGTCTCCTTGACCGCGGCAAATACGAGCCGGATATTCGTCGTATCGGTAGCTTGTGTCAAGCTATGACGCAGTCAGTGGTGAACGAGGCACAATAAATCACACATACTGAGGGTAAACACTCAAACGCGCCCGGTTGGCTTGCATGAACTTCCATAGAATATATTTTGCCGCTTTGTTGATGTCTGCGCCGCCTGTATATTCCGGGAAGTACTTCTCAATCGGTACCTGTAAAGCGTCAACGGATCTGCAGGCATTCACAACAATGAATACATGCCTTCGGTAGCTTGTTCTTGAAGACGTCTATCTTGTTCAAAAATAATATGATAGAAGTCCGCAGAAACCAGCGGGAGTTGATGACAGACTCGAATAGGATTAATGACTCGGCCATGCGATTCTATTGGCAAAATTAGTGACATCCAATGGTCACATGAACATGACCCACCTGGTTCTTCTCTTCTAATAGTACTTGGTCGTACTCGGACAATGCTGTGCAGAAAATGATGCTGGTGACGGATTCGAAACAATGTATCCATTTCTTGCGTTCCGAGCGCTGGCCGCCGACGTCGAACATGTGAATCCTACGAGAACATGATCAAAAACAGAAATTTGATACACCGGTGCACTCACGAAAGCTGTCCCATGTTGAACCGCGTTTCAGTGATGCCGGTCGTCTTCGCTCGAGCTCGCAGTACATCATTTTCTGTCGGTGTGTAGTCGGGAGTGCCTATACGGAGCACTTCCGTAAAGAAACTGCGAATAGACACCGTGAGCATTTTTGATCCGAGCGAAGGTGATTACTCACTAGCTAGCTGAGTCCATAAGATAGAACGCACTCGAACAGTCCATGACCTTGGGAATAATGGGATCTTGCCATAGTTCGTGGATTGCTTGTGCAATGTCAGCCGAGAAGACGAAATTGGGAGTGCTTTCAACCCTGTATTCGACGATGCGTTCGGCATATGTCTGTGGAAAGCGATAGGTTGATAAACGAGTGTCAACGAGTGAGAACGTACCCGGTTGGCAGGCGTTACACATTCTACATTCATATTGCGCATCTGGAGGACAATGGCTTGCGCCGAGTCGAGGGTATTGCGATATATTGTTGGGCGGAACGTCATGAGTTCGTTCTTGGTGAAGCCATTCTGATGGATGATTTTCATTTGTTTGACTATTGTCGACTTTCCGGATTCGCCGGACCCTGGGGTTGGATATGAGCAGTATGAACAAAGAGAGGGGGTTAAACGGATAAGGGCGATTAAACAAAATTGGCCGAGTAGATTGGCAACCTCGGAGGTGTACATTTCAATCATAAAGAATAAAATGAAATAGACATAGGGAAAGGTAGAAAGGAAGATACGCACCGAGAAGAAGTATCTTACACTCCTTCCTAAACTTCCTAGAGTCCTCTTCTATCTGACGGTCGATAGCATCTGACCTAGCCTTCTCTTCTCTGTCCTGTGCTGATACGCAGTTTCCCATGACGAAGGAGGTGAGCGTGCTAAGAGAAAAACAGTCGGTGAGAGGGAGATGATCTGGCCAGCGTGTACAGCAGACTGTTGAGATTTGATTGTGATGATATTGGAGAACAAGTCTGCCAGAATGAAGGGGGTCGTTTCCTGAATGTGACACTAGTCAATTCGATTACTTTCAAGGAGGACAAGTCAAGGATAAGTTGAGAACTTGGAAGGACCTTGGCTACCCGGGCGGCTTTGTTTGTAGTGACTGTGACGTCACGTGTGACATGTGACATACACCTGTTCTCTCAGTTGATTTCTCCCATTTTACTTTGACTTGATAGTCGAACTTAGTTACTACTAGTACTGCTAGTACTGCTCTGGTTTCATGATCGTGATCATCCGGCAACGCGGCTGTACTGGGCGACATATCTATGTCGCTGGATGGACGACACTTGACCAGCGCTTTTAAAACTCTGTTCCTGTTCTCAGCATCCCCTTGTTCCAAATCAGACTCGTGGCTGAGCACTGCCCAAGTCTGTCTAAGCGCACCGACCTCTACGTAACAGCCATTTATTAATTTGGTTATGCCAGGGCCCAAGGATCAGTCTGGATCAATTGCGTTGAAAGGTTACGCCGACTGATTCATGTTATGACTATCAATTGGCACCCTTCGGGCCCTCTCTTTGACACACGACGTGTCGTGCCCGTCAATGTCACCCTTGTCCACCCCTGGGACTTCCCCACCGTCGGCTCCAGCCGGACTATCTGAAACCCCATTCCATTCATGTACGGACTTCCCTTGATCCCGACGGGACATCATGAACGTTAACGGGTGGAGTGTTGGTGACCTCAAAAATAGCTCAGTCGGCCACCATCAATGACCCGCAACAGTATTATTACTCACTCTACTTATCCATATACAGGCTCATTGCCCAGCTTCCGCCGATTTCTTTTACACATGTATGTCGTTGGCATAACCTGGCAGATCCTGACAGACATACGTGGCTATATTAATCTATCCCGCCTTCGGACTATTAGGATGGGTAAGTCGTGTCTTCGACCCGACAAGGTCCTTTGGATATATATAACAAAGTCCAAAAATTAGGCTCGTCCCGGTCTCCAAGGCCCCCAACTGTAAGAATACCTGCGCCTACATAATAGTCCCCGATAGGTCGACATCTTTTCAACCAACGTGTCACAGAACTCGACAAAATATGGTCCCGCAGTCAACCCGCATCCTCACAAGATCAAAGCGCAACCAACAATCGCCACAAAGCCACGTAGCATCTTGATATCAGTCGCAAGTGCTCCAGAAGTTGACGTCGGAGTTTGGCTAGCAGAGGTTGTAGTAGACGAAACACTCGTCGACCCGGCGGATGTCAATGAGGACGTTTGGGTTGACGACGTATGCGAGGTTACAGTACCCGGTGCAGTACTAGTACTGACGGCAGCTGTAGACTGGCCTGCGTGTGACGGTCAACATTATTCAATTACCGTATGACTGTCAAGTACCTGAGGATGTACTTGTATCGGAACTGGCCGACGTGGAACCTGAGTCGCATTAATTGCGCATGAGAAATGTTTTTCACTCCACGCAAAGACTCACCGTTGGTGTCGTCAGTGCACAAGTCGCTGTAATATGCCCAGGCAGTGCCTTGGGTTGTCGCATTGCAGCTCGTGTTGAAGCATGACTGGATGGCTGACTGAAATGGCTGGGAGGCGCAGACACATGTGGCATTTGAGCTGTGTAATTTTTTCTTAGTGACAAACTTGGCTTTGGGTAATTGTTGAAAAGCTCACTATGAATAGCAACCAGCTGCCGTTGCAGCTGTCCCTGCGCAGAGTTGTGCACATTGAGGAAGGGTATAGTTCTGTGCGGCACAGAAACCAAAGGCTAGCAGAAAAACGAAAACGAGTGAACAGTGCATGCTCGGCAGCGAGGTCTAGCACAAAGGGATTTGGGCGCTAATAGAGGGTTGAAGCGGGTCCTGTAATCAAGCGAACCCCGTCGATCTACTAGTGGGACCCTTCGTGTATGTACTACCAGATTCTTATAAATGATCCACACTAGTACCTGACCTAGACCGCAAGGCAATTAGCATTTGGGCGAAATTGTGACGTCCTCAAGCAATACTCATGGCGCAGTGCCATGCGCAAGTGGAACTCGAATCTCCGTGAGCTCTGGATCATACTGATTTGTGGGGAAATCGCCTCTGGAGTCTGTTCATACACCCACCATATTTACTGATCCTGGGCTGAAATTGAGGATGCGAGTCTACTAATAGAGGGTTGAAGCGGTACTGTAACCAATCGGACCTACGTTCCCCTCCGTGTATGTACTCGCGGTGACCGGATTCTTATAAATAATCAACACTACATGACCTCACAGCAAGGTCATTAGTATCCGGAGCGAAGCGATGGCCATGGCGCGGCGCCACGCACAAGTGGAGTGTAAGAGATGAATCAAACTTTGTGGGGAAATCGCTTTAACCTTCATACCGATGCCAGTCAAATTGAGGATGCTGGCAGAAAAAAAGGGAAAACAAATTATGATGAAATTTATTTGAATGGTATCACTTGATTACATCAAGCTTAAGTCCAGAAGAGTATTGCTGTATAATAAATGTGTAATAATCGGACCTGGTCTGACAAACGTTGCTCGAGATTGAAACATCCAAACAAAGCGTCTGCGACCTGGACAGAATATTTCGAAGTGGAGATGCCAGATTAACCAACTGGATCAGAGCACGAGTGCTGCTCCAATAAGGGCACCAGCAATGGCAACAAGCCCACCAAATGCGCTGTTGAGAGCAAGCGAAGGTACAAGACCCGCGGCAGCACCAGATGAGGTGGCTGCTGAAGTTTTGGCAGCCGAAGCAGAGGAGGTGGCGGGAGATGTCGTGCTCGAGATAGAGCTCGAGGTCGCGGTCGCGTTCGTCGTGACTAGTCCAGGCATCAGCTCCAGTACACACTCAAACAAGAATCCACGTACGTGCTGCACACTCAGTTTGTTGAAGCGCTTGGGCCTGGGTGACCTCAGCAGCAGTGCAGTTAGCCTGCAGACACGTCCCGGCAGCAGTCTGGAATGCAGTGGAGGTGCAAACACAAGCAAGGTCGGTGCTAAAATAGAAGACGTGAGATTTAGAATGTGCTATTCGAAACCTAGCCAACTCACAAGCTGGAGCAGCCCGCCGTGGCGGCTGCTTCAGTAGAACATTCAACGATACATGTCGAAACACTTGGGGTTGCAGTGTCAGCGGAAGAGGTTCCAGACGCTGATTGGGCATTGGCAGCCAAAGCTGCAGCTGCAACGACGAAAAGTGACTTGAAAAGCATGATCGGCGTATGTTTGTTGCAATCTGGGGACAGGCAGGTCTCGCATTTAAAGTGTAACCGTGGGAAGGATGTCAGAACAGCTGGCACTTGCTGCCAGCGATAATTCGTCCATTGATCGGTACGCGCGAACTAGACCCAGAGAATATTCTTGGCAGCTCGGAGGGAGGCGTAAGCCAGGCCCCTCAATGGTGGCGGTCAGGGCAGTCACTATCGGGATTTCACTGGTTACGAAAATCATGACATGATACGACGTTGATGTGTTCATGCGGTGTGTGAGGGTGTTGTGAGAGTGCGTAAAAGTTGCCAGCATCGACATGAAACAAACAAACAACAGGGGACTGACAATGTGTAAGCGCCAAACTGCCACACGTGGCGGAGGGGATCACCGCAACGACCGAAGATCCGGTTAGCTCCGACCCATCATGGGGTCTGCCAGGGTCTGCTTCACACTTAATGTCATGCTTTCGGCACAGGGCAGCACTCAGTATTCATGTGGACTCGGAGCTTGTGCTCCACTTTGAGGTGCAATTCTATTTGTCACTGAGTATGATAATTTTACCTCGATCTGTCTCGCCTTTTCATTGATATGTCGACCATGTGCTTGGAGCCCAGACTAAGTTGCAATCGATCCATACGCAGAGACAAATGGTGCATCAAGGAGCTTCAGTATCTTATTAGTACTACTTACCTCCACTAGCCTCCACTATGAATGATCGGGCCAAGGTTCTTGCGGCGCGTGGTTACAGTTATTTTATGTCCATATCGTGTTTCATTTCCGTTCCAATGGTTCATGGATGTGAATGCACGGAAACCATCGAGTGTCGGGTACGGAAAAACATATGTAGTACCGCCTGAGAACATCTGAGAACTAGACAATTGGTTCCGTAGCATCGGAACCCTAGCTGCCAAAATACGATAAATCAGCGCACTAAGCATAATCAGTGTAAAAGAGCATTTGATTCGTAGCTTCGTGGTGAAATCAGCATTTGCACGAAAAATACAACAGCTCCAGCCAGTGGGAAGAATTCCTCAGTGTAACAACATGGTGTACTCACCCGCCCACCGTTCTTCATCAGTCAAATGTGAAGTTGAGCCAGAGGAAATACAAACTAGCGCCCGTGAAGCGGTGGAACAGTGTCCGTTGTTTCGCTCTAACGCGCATGTAGTAAAGATATTGGCTGATCAGCAAAATTTTGTCTGGATATCGGACTCTATAGAGACGGTTGCTCTTGAGATTTGGGTGGTGGAAGGGGTTGTTGTGCTGGTAGTCGACGCGGTCCAGCCTTGAAGTTGCACAGTAGCATTCTCGCAGAACAGAAAAAAAATCATTTGTACATTGACCAATGTTGAATCGGTACTCAGTGCTCGCAGAATAGTCTGTCAAAATCATCCATTGGCATTCGGCTGACATGCGGTATTCTCCGCTAATATGGGGTTTCCAATGAGTATGTTGCTATGAACATCGGTCAGAGACTAAACCAATAATCACGCCGTGAGGATGACTCACCGTCATTTTGTCGATGTGTCTCTTCATCTACTATAATGTGACTTTCTTTCTGACCGTGCAGCTCGGATATAAGGCCTGAGGTATGTCATTTTCGTCAGCTTCTTGATGCCCTGCATGCTATACTGTATTTCCGACAGCAGCAGCAACTGGTTGAAGCCGTAATTTCATAAATCAGGGAGATTTCCCGTGCGTTGAAAACCGAGCCCGTGGAAGAACCTGCGGCTGAGTATACCTCTCCGTCATACGGGCCTAACTTAGTTTCTGCTGCGTTGGAGTGGTCCACCTGTCTGGAGAGGTAATCCCTTGATGGGTGAGAGCAAATTTGTGACAGGTCACAGAGCCCTCCACCCGATTTCGAGTTGGTCAATTTGTGGAGATGACTGGAAGCTGTAAGACACGGACTCGACATTGGCAAAAAATTAACCCGATGCCAACATGCAGCATGAAACCACACAGCACAGGATGATGTGAACGTGCGATTTTGAAAAGCTTGAGTAATTCATACGCCTGTCACACACGTCTGTCCCTAGGCAGAACGTCCGCGTCAAGGTCAAGGCAGAGTCTGGCAGACATACAATTCACTCCCCGACGCTGCTTACATCAACCGCCGTTTACTAGCACCGCGGCGGCGCTCACCGCTTGAACTACTTACCAAAACCCTCAGTAATCGCAAGAAAGAAGTACCATGTATAGCAATTCGATTGAGAAGCTCCGCAGCATGGACATACGCGTTTGGACGTGTGTATTAAAACTACGATGGCTCGCGCAGGATGTCTGCTATCACCGTGACTGAGCCTCAGTCTCGGCGCACAGGCTGACGCCGTCACGCTGCGGTCCTGGTTCGTCCTGGTCAGGAACATCGACCTTTTACCTCCTTTTACTCCAAGTTTTTTTTAGTAAGTTGCCATTAGTCTTCGAGGAATCAATATCCTGCAGAGACCACGTTCTGCGCTACTTACTTACTTCCAGTTCTTAATCAGTCCCACGGAGCTTGCTCGGTCGGATTTGCCACTCATATGAAGCCTTTTAGTTATTCGCAAAAATTTTGCTATCTAATGAGTTCACAAAGGGTAATTGTCCGCGGTCTGGAGTCCGGACCTGGAGCGCTCTGGCTGGACCTGGCTGGATGCTCTTCCTTTGGGCCTTGAGCCTAGAGTCCTGACTCAGTCACTCAACTATGAATCTAATACATTTTAGGTTGGTCTGGTTTCCGAAACTCGCGGTTGGCTGAAAGTACAGGACAAAACTAGATCTCGTTTATGCACCAGACCGGACACGTAAACCAGTCGTCTCTTTCTTCAGATCGATCACATTCCTGATTACCCCACCCAAACATGCTGTGAGCTTTCTCCCGGTTCTTTCCCCGTGTAATTTCCATTTTAATAATAGACGCGCTCTATCATAGAGCCAGTCTGAAATGAAATAGCTTGCAGCAAGCTTAAAAGGCCCCCACATACCATAATACGTGCGGCGTCTCAGCCTCGACCGGTCTGAATCCTTAGGGTCGTTCAAGACCGATTAAGCTATCTTAAAAGAGTCTTCTCGCATAGCACTGGTTGTCCATTTCTCTTTCTCAAACCACGTTCATCCTTCGTAGTGAGGTCCTTTGATTGGTTCTTTGCATTCCTAGGGTTGTCTTTCCTGCTGGCCTCGGGATGCGACCTGCCTCGTATGCTCATTATCCGCCGTCCCGCTTGGGTGACCGACCGAGTGACGGCAACGACAGCCCGCGAACGCCTGGCGCTCACCCACCCAATGACAGTCTACAACCGCGCAGCATCCTGCGCAAACCAAATCCTCTACAAGCTTCTTATCCTTCGGAACCCGCCTTCCAGCAACCTCCTCGACTATCACGTCCTCTTCCCACAACGCCTCGCGTGGATATGTATCCGCCGTATCAACCCCCCAATTCACTTTACTCGGCATACAATGACTCTCCTCATTCACCCGCCACCCCATATAGTCGTGGTCAGGCACCGTGGATGCCTCGTGGATTTGAATCGAGACAACAGCAATATAATCCTTCACATCACGCTAATTACCCCCAAACACCTCGCGATCATGGTGACTTTCAGAAACGTACTTCCCTGCCACCACATGCCTTCCAACAACAGCAAAATGGTGCTCGTGATTGCTTTGCGTCTATGCCAGATATCAGGCGCATACCCAGATCGTCGTCCGCGGATATAGAGAGGGACAGGCAGGCTCGGGCATGCGGGCTTCAACTAGATTATACGTCACATCAGAATGCTCTCCCTCCCTCGTTTCAAAACCTGCCACGAGGCAGCAGGCGCCCTGAAGAAGATCAGCACCATCGCGAGCCGAAGACGCAAGACCGTGGCAAACCTTATGCACCCCGACCAAAGCCGCACGTTCTGTATCCTAGGCTCGATAAACTCGTTCGACGTGAGAAACATCGTGCAATGGACCACGTCTCGTTTGACGAGGATGTATTGGAATTGTATAGAGAAGAAGGAGATTTACGAGAAAAGCTCCGTGAAAAGCGGAAAGGCAAAGTTGAGAAGAGAGACCCAAAATTTCGTCTGTTCTTTTTTACGTGCTGTTTCTGCGTAACACTAACAATACGACAGATGTTATAGGGGCACCGTTGCGCGATATATTGATTCATGCATCATCCACGATCACTATCGGCGAACACCAGCACGATGTGCCGACCCTTGTTGTTGCTTGTGTAGAGGAGCTGACAAGAACAGGTACCTTATTTCCTTACTTGACTTGATTCGTCGTTTACCCCCATCAGGTATTTACCAACAGGGACTATTCCGCACGTTGCCTAGCCGCGATCGGCACATACAGTTGATTGACATCTACGACTCCAGCGCCGATTATGGGGAAAAATTCAGCATGCACGGGCAGACTATGCCGGACATTTGCGCCGTCTTATCCACATTCATCTCCTGCCTCCCGCATCCTCTCCTTGATCCTAAACTTTACGGCGGATTTTGGCATTGGTGCGTCAAGCCCAGCGTGAAGCGCGAAGAGGTAAGGCGAAGCCAGCAGGACGCAGAAGAAGAGGAGAAACGCACCAGAGGCGAGCTGCCACTCTTGCTTCCCATGTCAGCCAAACAGCATCAGAGACAAGCTCAGGACGACCTTCACATTGGTCACGACGGTGACATCGAACGCCATCAGATCATGGTCGCACAGATAATCCTCCGCTTCCTGCCTGTAGGCCAACTCTCCCTACTGATTTATCTCTGCGGATTTTTTACCCAACTTCCCCTTTGTCCGGAGAACGGCATACAATTCGAGGATATTGCGCGGATCTTTGGGCACAAGATTTTTGGCGCGACGGCGAAGGTATCATCACAGAAGATGATGGTTTGGTTGTTATCAAGGTGGCACAATATCTCAGAAGGTCTCCTCACTGATGCGTGCGGGATGTCGCGGCCGTCTACCCCTACACCCAAAGAAGAGGAGCTGCCCAATGGTGAAGACAACGGTGATAACCCACTGCTGAAGACCCCTAGTTCGCGTCGCAGTCGTTCGTCGGACAGTGATCGTTCCTCGTACTCGTCTTCTCCCCACGATCGAGCGGAATCCAGTACCACTCGGCACCGTAAGAAACGGAGCATAGAATCTACGCCAGAGTCAGGAGAGGAGGCACCACCAAGATCTCGCCGACCTTCAAGGCGAAATCAACCAGGTTTGTGATCTTCCAATCGCATCCTTACTCCAATAAACATGTATAGGTCGCCGGAATAGTGCATTCAGTTCGCATCGAAGGAAGGTTTCTGTGGGAGACCTTCCAGACGTCTTCTCAAAGGGTGAGTGTTTGGTGGATGTGCACGGAATGTTATCTTATTTATTCCCAGCGTTTGCGAACGCACGGGTCAGCCCTTCATCATCGGATTCGAAGTTTCCTGAACGCACTTTGGGGGATCCACCAGAAACCATACTTCTCGATGCTCAAGTACGCCTCGCGCGCCTGGAAAGCGATCTCCGGCGCAACAATATGGTCGTTGTCGATGCCATTAAGGAAACGTTCAAGGCCACTGACGAAGCGCGCTTACTTTCTGAGAAGGTTGAGCAGCTGGAAAGGACATTCAGGGAGAGGAAGCCGCACAATCCAAGTACACCTGCCAGTGTAAGGGAACCGCTGCAGGTTAGCATTTTGGAGGCAAAGTGAACGCGTACACTAGAATTCGCAGAATGTTACAGGGGGGTAATATAATGGTACACAATTCTAAGGGTCCTACTAGCTATATAGTTCCGGCTGTAATGTTGCGGGTGAAATTGCACATGTTTGATGTTAAAAAAATTCTGTGTACGAGATAAATATTACAGGTTGCCGAGTCAGATTGTGCATGGTATTGGTACAGAAAACGTAGTAAAAGTGAGTGAGTTCAAAAGGGACAGGCCACAGGTCCAGCCAGCCGTCGCTGAAAAACATGTGTTCAGTCACCTCCTGCTGCTGCTGTCCTTGCGGCCTTCCGTTTTCTCTTTCTTTCTTTCCTCTTCGCACTCCCGTTCCTGCGTGACCCGTGGTATGTGTGTATTATCTCCCTCAGTAACTCCTTCAGTAACCCGCCTTGATACGCATTCTCCTTCGGAAAGATTTTCCCCGGCTTCCCGAGAGTGTATGTCTTCAATTCTTCCAGGGACGCAAACAGCTTGACAGGCTTGCCAGTCCTCGCTGAATCAACCAGGTCTACAAGGTTGACATGTGTGTCCCAAACGAACTATTTCGAAGCAACTCAGTGCCACGAATCACGATGACTCGCCTGCAGTAATCAACCACAAACCTTGCGACAGTCCTCGATTGTATCTGGAACAGGATCGATTCGCAGCACATTGCACAAGTTCTGCCAGTTGGAAATATCGTTCCCGTCAGTTCCGAAACGCTCGTTGAATTCCTGAACGAGCGCGTCTTTGAACCCCTCCCGCACCGCACGTCTCTCTGTATCTTCGGGGCTACATTTGAGGGTCTTGATCAGGCGATCATAGTTCTTGTTTGAGGACTGGTTTTCGTTGAATGAGAAGGATGCAAATTGAGCGAAGAACGCGGCGAGGGGCATGTCGTCGCCGGGAGGAGATGGAGTGGGCGTGCGCCTTGCATTGGCTGCATTGGCGGCTTTACGCCTTCTTCGCTATTTTATTTTTCAATAACAAGTCTGAGAGATATGTCGGAGCTTACCTCTGCACCAGAGGGCATAGCAGATGGTGGTGTTTATGGGCAAAAGATGGGAGGAACCCCTGTGCTGCCACATCGCGAACAGACTCTTAAGTAAGGGCGCTCATGACCGTGTGGCATACTCGAGTTGCCGTACCCCACGAAGAACACTGCGAAGAAGATTATCGTCAGCTCGATATAGCAATTGACCCACATTGGACCCACAACTGATGGGGTCGATAGCCCTTTCGATAGCGATGTAATAATGAATGTGCGTGAATCGGCGGCGAGTCAAATTCAAACTCTGGGCCCGCGGAACATCTGCCTGCAACTACACAGCTGTCGCCCAGAAGCCGGGTGTATATGGAGTCTGGACCGACAAATAACGCCTGCGTTGTGATGTTATACGATTATAAACCGCGAAAGTCATCAAACCAGTACTCGCAAACAACATACCACAACTTGAACTGGTATTGAGAAGTTAACAGCAACGGAAACATCATGATCAACCAACACCTTCAGCGTAGGCACGCTCCCACGAACGACGCACTGAAGACGCTTCCCGCACCCACTTACGGCAACGCACGACTTCCTGTACAATTACAGGCACACCATAATTGTATCAGTGTCCATTTGCAGAAGGCCTCGTGCTCGCTGGGTGGCCGTAACAGCTGAGGATACAACTTCTCTGCTGCGACTGCACGGATGCAGTGAGGCAACCAGAATTATGTACGTGGTCCTTCTGATCAAGAAGTGACAAGGGAATGAGCCCTTGTTTCGAGGGCACATGCCCAAGAATATTGATAGTTGACTGTGGGGCCAACGTGATTAGCTTCATTAATAAATATGAAATAAAGATCGAAACCTCGTAGGAAACGCACTGCCAAGTCTCGTCGTTCTTGTGACTCCGAAGTAGATATCATTATGTGGAGTAGTGATGCGTGACGACGAGCAATGTTCTCGGCATCGTATCTCACCTCGCTGCTCTGTAATATCTGGGAAGAATCGTGAAAGAAATTGATCATTGGTGAAAGGAGTACAAGGGAAATATGGCGACCAGCCGCAGCCCAAAGGCGGGGAACTCATGCCCTTGCCAACGACAGAAAGACAGTACCGTGAGGTTGCCGGATTCGATGCGCTCACTCACCGCAGGTACGATTCATTTCACATCACGCTTAGAGATCAAATAGTCAGTATTCTAGTTTCTGGGCACATAAATGTTATTAGTACAAGTTAATATATCGTAGCTGCTGGCACGGCATTCCATACAAAACGCTTGCCTCACTCGTAGATGTTCAACGAATTGAACTCAAAATAAGCATTACTGAATGCGGATGGGTTGTTGTTTACGTAGTCTAACAAAGTATGATGAGATTGTCGAGATACACACTAGAAGAGTTGATACTCACCGACACATGTGGATGGACATCCAGATGCGGCGTAAACTGAACTGCTGCCTGCCCAGTCTCCGCCTACGAAGCCACGTTTGTCAGATTAGTGAAAGTTCAAAGACAACGAGGACCACATACAGAATGTAAGGTTGATGATGATGTTGTGCGCTCCAAAATGAGTGGAGAAATCGCAATAAGTATCGGGAAAATATGCGGCAGGTGTCCCCTTTGAAATTGTGTTCGATTAGTGATACAAAGCCTGTGGTAATAGCGTACCCAATTGCTTGTATTGATGCTTGACCCAGGAGACTTGATGTCGCTTGGAACAGAGCCACTCGTCCTCTCCCAAAAGAAAATCTTGATGTAACTTGAACTCCTTTCTATCGCATACCTGGTTCTCTGAAATTCTAGTAAAGTTAATGACAGACGCAAATTGCATACCAGCCGCCCCCGTTATTGTTGAATTGCGGGCCATAGCTCTTGTTGTCGTTCATCTTGACCCCGCATCCTGCATTGGAATTATCATATGCGTAACAGTCTGTACCATCGACGGTGCTAAATTCAATTTGTATCAGGTAATACCAAATACCCGAGGCTCGATAAATGATCTGACCCCGTCATTGAGCCAGAAGAGGGCATTGTGCAATCTGAAAACTGATTCAATACCGATGATTTTGCCCCTCGAACGTGATCGTACCAGAGCTCGTGTGTAGACTGCATTTATTTGGGGTTTGATCATTGACACCTTCTACGATATCCACTTCGCCCTATGATCGTGAGTTTAACAGAAACCGACGTCGATTGGAGCATACTTCGTTAGGCCAGTCTGCCCCCACTTCCTGTTGTGGATATTAATGAAAGGCATCCTCCTATGAATGCGACAAACCCTGTCAAATTCATAGCATTGTGGCACACTCCGTCAGACGTCAAAACACTGAGATGCTGAGTCATACTGACCCTGACCCGTAGTCAGTTTCAAGTCAGCCAACTACAAGATATTGCACGCACAAATAGCTGGCCATGTTCCGCAACCTTGTGGCATATGTTCAATGTCGAAACTGAATTAAGATTAGTAAATTCTCATCAGGCTTTGCACTGATGCTACAGGTCTGCGTAGACGTACATTGCCACGTGAGTTTCATACTGGGAATTTGACTGAATGCGAAAGGATTTCCTTCCCGAGCCGGAAGAAGACAATGTCGTAGTATGGTCTGCTCGCAGAGTGAGTTTGCCATTAGCCACTGAAACGAGTCCGTCCGCTTCGGCAGTACTCTCGCTGACATAGGTCCTGGGACGGTGGTGTAAATCAGCCTTCAGATACTACAATTTGGAGAATGTCTCACACTCTGCCGTTAGTGGGGTCCGAGATGGCTTGGAAACTAAACGCATCAAGGAAGCTCTGGCCTGCGAGCTGGCTCGTCCTTTGGTACGTCGCACCCAACGTCGTTGTAACAGCGTGGGCCAATATGATGGAGGAAACAAAGTTGACACGCATGATGACTGAAGAATAAGCGAAGTGTCTTCAACCAGTGACTGAGCGGTTTCTGGACCATGTTTTAGCTGCCTTTATAGCAATGAGGACCCATAGCTGATTTGATCGTGTTTCTCGGTCCCCTTACCTGTAAATGGATGGAGAAAAATACATGACAGTGCACGGTCAACATCGCGATGTTATGGAATGATCAGGAGCATGTGCTCCATGGCTTGTGCTCCATGCCACAAAACGCCACTTGATCAGCCAGGATGTGGTTGGTGCTGTTCCGGAATGATATACTCCCAACACTGAACATGGTCGATTATAGCCCGAGCTATAAATAAAGGATAGGCTGAAGTCAAAGTTTGCCAAGTCTCAAAGGTCAAAGACCCAAACAGCTTCGCGAAGTCGGAGCGCCCATAGTATAACAGGGCGGGTGCCTTCAATTTATGTAATTTCTGTGCTCTTCACATAAATCAGCTCGGGCGATCGCACCATGAGCCCATCAGAGCATTGGAAATATCACTTACACCGTCGCACGTTAACTCCAAGTCGTTTCGCGAGTTCCTGTCAAAATCTAAGAAAATAGGAAGAGAGCGTACAAATTTGAGATAGTACCACTGAAGTCGCGCTAGTGGCCGATAACGGCGAATGGTGATGTATATGCATCCTCAAGCTCCGAGAGTGCATATGGACTGATCTTTAGTTGACTTTGATCCTGCCTAGTGCTCTTCGCCTGACTACAGGTGACTGGGGAAGAGTACTGCCAGTTCCACCGAAGAACAATGTTGAAGGAGCACACTTTGGAAATGCGCATGCACCGTTCTACTTCTGCAATAGGTATCATCGAAAATTCCCTGAATCAGATACTCCTCTATCTTGATCACATACTCAATCAAGTGACCGTGTGTGGTATTGCATGTGAATATCAGTTACCATTGAGAGCCAGGCGGAAGAGAGACTCGGAGACAACTCTTGGAGAATGTAACTAAAATATTATATGCAGCACAAACATGTCCAAACACAGTGCAATTGGCCGTAGACTATTGTTGAAAATTGGCCAGCCCAAAAACATGTGGGAAAATTCAAGCAAAACTGATTTTTGACCATATGGTTCCCGCACTCAGTTTCAAATGACCACCTGAGCCAGAAACAAAGTTCGTCGAGCTTGCTTGTCCGCAACTGTAGCCTGCTGATGTGGCACTTGGTCACGACGGCGACATCGAATGTCATCAGATCATGGTCGCGCAGATAATCCTCCGCTTCCCGCCTGTAGGCCAACTCTCCCTACTGAATTATCTCTGCAGATTTTCTACCCAACTTCACCTTTGTCTGGAGAACAATCTGAGGATATTGCGCGGATCTTTGGGCACAAGATCTTTGGTGTGACGGCGAAGGTGACGTCGCAGAAGATGATGGTTTGGTTGTTGTCGAGGTGGCACAATATCTCAGAAGGTCTCTCGGTCACTGATGAGTGCGGGATGTCGTAGCCATTCACCCCAAACAAGAGGAACTGCCCAATGGTGAAGACAACGGTGGTAGCCTGTTGCTCAAGACCCCTAGTTCGTTCCTCGTACTCGTCTTCTCACCACGATCGAGCGGAATCCAGTACCACTCGGCACCGTAAGAAACGGAGCATAGAATCTATGCCAGCACATTCCAAGTACACCTGCCAGTATAAGGGAACCGCTGCAAGCTAGGATTTTGGAGGCAGAGCGAACAAGCACACTAGATTACGCAGGATGTTACAGTGGTAGTCTTATATGATTGTAGTAGGCCTTAATACACGATTCTAAGGGTAGACTCGTGATCAGTCTGACTGCGTCAATTTGAGATGACGAGCTCGAGTATCCGTGGTCATGGTACTAGTATGCGCCAGGCTGGTCATCGTCGAGCCTATTCTAAGGGTGATAGTATTAGCTAGCAATTCCGGCTGTGTTGCAGGAGAAATTGCTTATATTTGATGTTTCAAAAGTTCTGTGTATGAGATAAGTATTACAAGTTGCCGAATCGAAATGCGCATGCTACTGGTACAGAAAACATAGTAAAAGTGAATGAGGACAGGTCACTGCTCCAGCCAGTCTTCGCTACTAAACACGTGTTCACCGTTCAGTTCACCTCCTGCCCTTGGGGTCTTCTGTTTCATCTTTCTGTTTTTCTTCTTCGCACTCCCATTCGTGCCGCGTACCCCATTGTACGTGCCTGTTAGTTCCCTCAGCAACTCTTTCAATAACCTGCCTTGATACGCATTCTCCTTGGGAAAGATTTTCCCCGGCTTCCCAAGAGTGTATGTTTTCAGTTCTTCCACGGATGCAAACAGCTTGACAGGCTTGCCAGTCCTCGCTGAATCAACCAGGTCTACAAGGTTGACATGTGTGTTCCAAACGCACTATATTGAAGCAACTCAGTACCACGGTGGCTCGCCTGAAGTAATCATCCACAAACCTTGCGACACGCCTTGATTGTACTTGGAACTGGAACGATTCGCAGCCATCAGGGAAAACCTCCTTCACGAAATCAAGGTAATTTTAAAAAAATCCAGAGAATTCCTCATAAATAAAAGTAAACGAGATTATTCAACTCCAGTCGGAATTCCTTTGAATTCCTTTGAATTTTCTGATCGATTATCTTGAATTATCTTGAATTCAGTCAATGTCAAGGTACACGAACATCAATTATATTGAAATTAAACGAGAATATCACCACCGAAAGACGTCAAAAAAAATCAGGAGACTCGAAAAAGCGCCAGTATGTACAAACGAAGGTTGATTAATCTTCACCCATTGCATCGAGATCAAGGTAATCACAGGTGTCCAATGAACCAGCGGGCTCCGAGCTTTCTACTGCGCTAATGTTGAATTAGTTAGAGTGCACGGCAAGGACAAATAGTGCGGGAGCAAGACATACCTGACTGCCTTATAGAGACGTGCCATCAGTACGTGGTACTTCTTTTGGCTACCATCAAAGATGCGCGTAAGAGTCGCTTGGTGAGCCCGGTAAACACTGATGTGGAAGGAGGTATTGAATGATTTGACTTGTGTGCTCGAGGGTGGGTTCCCGCTGCTCCAATCCTTCAATATCGCGTAGATCTACAGAAAACATGATGTAGTTAGCAATACAAAATAAACATTATCATAACTGGCACCTACCAGGGTTGCAATCAAACACACCATGGCGACGGGTAGCTCGGGCTCGTCATTGCCATCCAAGACCGAGACAAAATCCTCGCGGGACTGGACCCCGATTGAGTTCTCGCCATCGAAAAAGGATAGACGGATGGTATCGACAATCGACTCGTCACAAAATGGTTGGTCCCCAAGGACCTTCCCCTGGGTAGTAGTTAAGAATAAGACGAACCAAGAGATAAATAACGAAAAACTGAACAGACCTTGGTGTCGGTCGGAAAAATGTACTTGTGGCTCTTGATAAGGTCGTCTACCTTCTCGCCACAGCCTTTCTTGAGTCCAAAACGAGAAACCACAATTTGATGTGCGAGTTTCTTGAGATTGGTACGGAAGGAACTAAGCCGTCCCTCCGGCTTGTAAGGATATTAGTCACGTCCAAATAAGATACAAAAAGTGTACATACCACTCCGGCGAGAGCCACTGCATAATCAAAGTCATGCTTGAACCTCTTTGAGATCGCATATTCCTTATGCTTCCCGGCAGCATTATAAACTGCATCGAGAGCCATCTTACGTTTCTGAGTGATGTTGGGAAATGCGTTGTCGAAGATAGAGGCTTTCTTGAGTTCGAAGACGGCAGTCTTCAACACCTGCTGAATCCGAGTGTTCTGAGCCTTGAGGTTGATAGAGCCGTCTGCTGAGTAGACTAGATCTGTGAATGTAGGCCACGTAAAGGAGTAATCAGACACGTCCTTATCGGGGGCTGGCAGCGCCACATCATTTTGCTCCGAGTCTGCAAATCTGGGCCTCTAGAAAACAGTATGATCATGTGAGACGGAATGATGGGGTGCACTAGTAGTAGAGCACATCACCTCAAGTTCTTGGCGTGCTTCTACTAGTTTGCTCCTTTTCTTCTTGCCTGGCTGTGGTTTCAAGTCGGTGACTGTTGATGAAGGCTCGCGGTAATGAGGCTTGGAACGCTGACTGTCAAGGTCAGACTCGTCTTTGTCAGCAAATTGCAACTCTGAGTCAGACTCGTCAGAAACCGTGACAGCGCTAGAGGCCATAACACCGCTAGAAGTCGACAATGTTTTGCTGGTTTGCGATTGTGCACTGGCAGATCTAGCGACGCGAGGAGGCATGATGTAGGGAATCTTTAATAAAAGGTCTGTCATTTTTCTCATCATTCTCAATGGTGTAACTAATACGACTCACCTCTTTGATCAGTTCCTTCTGGGAGAGTAAGTCCCAATCATCATCTTCTGGAACCTCCACATTATCGTCTGATTTTTCAGAGTCACGATCACTGTCTCCGTATTCACTGACGGAGTCATTATCTTCAATTGACACCGTGGCTGACTTCGGCTTGCAGGCTTTCTTATTGTGGCCTTGACTTGGACCTTGGCTTTGAGCATGACCGTTGACTTGATCCGCTGTTGAGTATCTCTCATACTGATCTGTTTCTGATAGGGTAGTACTAAGCAACTAACCATCTTCTAACTTTACTGCAGGTTTCTTTCGCGCTAACTTGGCTGCCGGTACTGATGGCAGCGCAGTTGCTGTGGGTGCGCGCTTACGAGTATTGGTTGTTGTCTCGTTCCAGACTGAAACAAGGTTTGTCAGTGACCGCTTTCTCCAATGATGCACAACTGTGCATGTACTAACTTTTTCGCTCTAAGGCCTTCACTTTGGATGACCGCTGCAGCGGTTCTTGGTGATGACTGTGAGTTCATTGCATTTTTCTTGCCCTATGGATGTACTCACTCTCCTCTGTATTGCCAGTTTTTTCACCAGCGGACATTTGACTTGCCTGGGCCTTTCTTTGGGTGTTCCGCTTGTGGGTGGCTATCTCTGATGGTGTCGAAGATGGACGGGGAGGCATACTAGTAGTGTTTGCCTTCAGCTGAAGTTGGGAAGGGAAAGGTTGAGACAGTTATGAAAACTTAATGGCGTTTTCACCTCATTTTCAGGTTTGTTTATTGCTGTGCTGTAGGGTCGTCATCTTTTTGTTTCATGATCTAACGTGTTGTGACAGAAATGGCTAGAACAAGCAGAGCGTCTACTAGCTGAATTTCACGCTGCAACCATCAATGGTGCTCCCCTCTCCTCCCCTCTCAGGCTCGGCTCGTCATGTCATCGAAGACTTGTCGTGTCATAGAAGAAGCTGAGGCACGTGTAGCCCATGCTGATAGACAGAGAGACAAGGCAGAAGCATGCAGGCGACAAATTGTACTCGGTTCACAGTGCGCCACCATCATTGTAAGTTTGGTTGTTGCCGTGCTGTCACAATCTAACCTGTTCTGATTTAGCGCGCTGCCAGTGTATGGCTTGGACCGTCTCGCTACTACCCACCACTACCTACCACCACTACCTACCACCACTACCTACCACCTATTTTGTTACCATCTGAATGAACACTTGCCCAGGTTGCGCTAAAAACTTCGAGCATAATGGATATTCGCATCACCTAGGCAAGACCACGAATCCAGCATGCGCAGCCCTATGGCAACATTCTGGTCTTTTTCAGTCAGAGGATGAGGATTCTGACGGTCTTGATGATGGGGCTGACAATGTTGATCCTCGTCATCTAACAGAATTTGCAGGAGACTATTTCGGCCACTACAGTGAACAAGATCTGGAATGGCCAGATGATAACGATGAATTTGCGGAGCCTACTTTGGATTCTGACGGAGAGGAAGAAGATCACGATGCAGAGGTTGAGAATGGGTGGGAACGCCCTGCAGATCCTGTACTGCAGGATATCGATGTGGAAGATATTGAGGAGTCAGATGCGTTGTCACAACCACATGCAGCCGAACGACAAGCAGCGGAGAAAACCCTTGGTCGCCAGCCCACTATCGAGAAATTTCCGCGGCGCCGTGCAGGTGCTCCGATACTTACCTCTGGCACTACGGCTTTTGAGTCTTATAACAATGCTCTGCAAGGTGCAGACAATGTTTGGGCTCCCTTTGCGTCTCGCATAGATTACGAGGTTGCAAAGTGGGCAAAGCTTCGTGGATCGGGCTCAACCGCTTTTTCAGAGCTGCTTGCAGTCGAAGGGGTGAGTTTTCATTTTCTTCGCTCGTGAATGGGCCAACATTTTAACAACGTGTCTATAGCTTCATGATGCCTTAGGTCTTTCATATCGAAACACCCGCGAACTCAATCAAATCATTGACCGACACTTACCATGCAGACGACCTCGTTTCAAACGTGAAGAAATCATTGTTGCAGATGAGGCATTTGATGTGTACTCACGCAATGTCATGGAGTGCATCAAAGCCCTTTATTCAGATCCGGAATTCTCGCAACACCTCAACTACGCTCCTGCACGCCATTATGTTGATGTCGACAAAACGATCCGAATGTATCATGATATCCATACAGGAAAGTGGTGGTGGTCCACGCAGGCAAGTCATTTAAAAATCAATTTGATTCATGTTAAACTTACCACAATATCATTTAGAAAGAACTCGAAGCCAAGAAACCTGGCGCAACAGTTATACCCATCATCCTTTCCTCCGACAAGACGCAGGTCACCATGTTTAGGAACAAATCTGCCTATCCTGTCTACATGACAATAGGCAACATTCCAAAGGAGATACGTCGAAAGCCATCTCGACGGGCGTGGATTCTCCTTGCCTATCTACCAACCTCAAAACTCGAACATATCACAAACAAGGCTGCGAGGCGCCGAACGGCAACAAATTTGTTTCATGCTTGTTTGCGTCACATTCTGGAGCCTCTGAGAGTCCCCGGCGAGGACGGTGTTGCTATGGTTAGTGGGGATGGAGTTGTGCGTCGAGGACATCCTATTGTCGCATGTTATTCCGCTGATTACCCCGAACAGTTGCTGACAACTGGGATAAAATCCGGAGAGTGCCCAAAATGCGATGTCCCGCATGCGGAGTTGGGAAGTCCAGATGTTCCTGTCAAGCTGCGAGACCTCAAGGCAATAGTCGCTGCATTGTCGCTTGTTGACGAGGACTATGACCTGTGGAGACGAGCATGCCAGGAGTGTCGCATTAAGCCCGTCTTCAAACCATTCTGGCTGGATCTCCCGCATGCTAATATATTCCAATCCATCACGCCAGACGTCTTACATCAACTCTACCAGGGTATCGTAAAGCACCTCATCGAGTGGATCAAGGAGGCATATAGCGAAGCCGAGATCGATGCTCGTTGTCGTAGACTTCCCCCAAACCATAATATCCGCCTGTTTCTGAAGGGTATCAGTAACCTCTCACGTGTTAGCGGAACAGAGCACAATCAAATCTGTCGCATCCTGCTCGGTATTGTCATTGGCATACGGTTGCCTGGCAATCTCAATAATGCTCGCCTTACTCGTGCTGTTCGCGCCATCCTTGATTTCCTTTACCTTGCGCAATACCCTTGTCACACGGACGAAACACTGGCACTTCTCGATGATGCCTTAACACGCTTTCACGACAATAAGGACATCTTCCTTGATCTTGGGATCCGCTCGAATTTCAACCTTCCGAAGCTTCATGGCTTCCGTCACTATGTACATATGATCAAAACATATGGTACGACCGACAACTACAACACCGAGTACACCGAACGTTTACACATCGACCTCACGAAGGATGCCTATAGGGCTACCAACCATAAAGACGAGTATAGTCAAATGACACTCTGGCTCGAAAGACGGGAGAAGATTCTATGGCACGACAACTTTGTCCGATGGCGTCTCGTTGGTGATCTCGCCCCGCAAGAAAAGTTACCTCCAGACATGGATTATCGTCGGGCAATCAAGATGACTAAACACCCGACCATCAAGCGTGTCCAGTTGGACCGCATTGTGCGGGAGTACGGTGCCACATTTTTCACAGCAGCATTGGCTCGTTACGTTGTCGGGAGAAATCAACCGGGTTTGTCTGCAGCACAACTGGAACGAGAGGCTGCTCATATCATTCTTCCCTTTGATACTGTGGCTACATTCCACAGGATCAAATTCAACACAATCAATGCTCACGGGATCCAGGACTCGAGTGTCACCGTGGATTCTGTCCATTGTCAACCGTCACACGAGGACAAGAGAGGACATATGGTCCCTGCACGTTTTGACACTGTTTTGGTCAACGAAGGGGACGGTGGGATAACGGGTGTCGATGGTGTGTTTTGTATAGTGCATTGAACTTACTAGTCGCTAATCTGACTCGACCACTAAAGGTTACCGCGTTGCGCAAGTTCGTGTCGTCTTTACGCTAACACATCAAGCTTCAAATGTGTTATTCCGCGCTGGACCTGCGCAACCACCCACCCACCTTGCTTATGTGGAATGGTTTACACCATTCCAGCAACCAGAATCACACCATGGGTTGTACAAAGTTGGCCGCTTGATTCGTCATGGAGAGCGTCTGGCAAGTATCATTGATATATCAGATATCCGTAGGAGCATTCATCTTATACCTAATTTTGGCGCAGCGGCACCTCGTGAATGGACGAGTAGCACCGTTCTGGAGTGCTGTTCCACCTTCTTTGTAAACTCGTTCAGTGACCGACACGCTTATTTAACTATTGTCTGAGCTTTACAATGAAATCTGTTGAAATACCCTCGAATACGAGTAATTTACCGAATTTCCTAGATTTTCATGCGAGTTTGTGAAATTAAATGAATTTCTCAAAGGAGCTTTTCCCTGATGGCACATGACACAGGTTCTGCCAGTTGGAAATATTGTTCCCATCAGTTCCGAAGCGCGTGTTGAATTCCTGAACGAGTGCGTCATTGAACCCCTCCCGCAACACACGTTTCCCCGGAGAGTCTTCGGGGCTACATTTGAGGGTTTTGATAAGACGACTGAAGTTCTTGTTTGAGGACTGGTTTTTGTTGAATGAGAAGGATGCGAATTGAGCGAAAAACGCGGCGAGAGGCATGTCGTCGCCGGGGGATGGAGTGGCTTGCGTGCACCTTTGTTGCTGTTTTTCTTTCAAAAACAAGTCTAAGAGCTCGAGATATGATCTCGGAGCTTACCTCTGGACTGGAGGGCATAGTAGATGGCAGGAGCCTCTGTGCCGTGCAGCCACATCACGGACAGACTCTTATGTAGGAACAATAATCACTGCGTGGCTTACTCGAGTTCACGTACCCCACGATGAACCCTGCAAAGAAGATCGTCGTCAGATGACAATTGACCCACATTGGACCCACAACTGATGAAATCGATAGCCCTTTCGATAGCTATGGAATAATGGATGCGCGTGAATCGGTGGCGAGTAGAGTTCAAACTCTGGGCCCGCGGAACACCTGCCTGCAACTACACAGCTGTCGCCCAGAAGCTGGATGTATATGGACCGACGAATAAGGCCTGCTTTGTGATGTTATACGATTCTCCACTGCGAAAGTCATCAAACCAGTACTCGCAAACAACATACCACAACTTGAACTGGTGTTGAGAAGCCGACAGCAACGTAAACATCATGGTGAACCGACACCTGCAGCGTAGGCACGCTCCCACGAACGACGCACTGAAGACGCTTCCTGCACCCACTTACGGAAACGCACAGCTTCCTGCACAATTACAGGCACACCCTAATTGTATCAGTGTCCATTTGCAGAAGGCCTCGTGCTCACTGGGTGGCTATAATAGTTGAGGATACAACTTCTCTGCTGCGACTGCACGGATGCAGTGAGGCAACCTCAGGCTGAATTATGTACGAAACATCGATAACTGACTGTTGGGCCAATGTGATTAGCTTCATAAATTGAAAAAACACCAATCGAAACCTTTCGGGAAACGCACCAAGTCTCGGCGTTCTTGTGACTTCGAAGTAGATAGATGTCACTATGTGGAGTGGTAATGCGTGAAGACGAGCGGTATTCACGGCATCGTATCTCACCTCACTGGTCTGTAATATCTGGGAAGAATGGTGAAAGAAATCATTGGTGAAATGAGTACAAGCGAAATATAATGACCCTCCGCAGTTCAAAGGCGAGGCACTCCCCTTGCGAACTATAGAGACAGTATCGCGAGGTCGCCAGGTTCGATGCGCTCACTCACCACAGATACGATTCATTTCATAACGCACTTAAGAGATCAAAATAGTAAATATTCTAGTTTCTGGGCACATAAATGTTGTTAGTACAAGGTAATACATCGTAGCTGCTGGCACGGCATTCCATACAAAACGCTTGCCTCACTTGTAGATGTTCAACGAATTGAACTCAAAATAAGCTTTATTGAATGCGGATGGGTTGTTGTTTACGTAGTCTGACAAAGAAGGATTAAGGTTTTCGAGATATGCACTAAAAGAGTTAATACTCACCGACACATGTAGATGGACATCCAGACGCGGCGTAAACTGAACTGCTGCCTGCCCAGTCTCCGCCTATGAAGCCACGTTTATCAGGTTAGGTGAAAGTTCAAAAACAACGAGGACCACATACAGAATGTAAGGTTGATGATGATGTTATGCGCTCCAAAATGAGTGGAGAAATCGCAATGAGTATTGGGAAAATATGCGGCGGGTTTCCCCTTTGAAATTATGTTCAGTCAGGGATTCAAAGCCTGTGAGAATAACGTACCCAATTGCTCGTATTGACGCTTGACCCAGGAGACTTGACATCGCTTGGAACAGACCCACTCGTTCTCTCCCAAAAGAAAATCTTGATGTAACTTGAACGCCTTTCTATCGCGTACCTGGTTCTTTGTTATTGTGGCAGTGCTAAGCTGACATGAAGTGCTCACCAGCCGCCCTTCTTGTTGTTGAATTTCGGGCCATAGCTCTTGGTGTCGTTGATCTTGACCCCGCATCCCGCATTGGAATTATCATATGCGTAACAGTCTGTACCATCGACGGTGCTAAATTCAATTTGTATCAGGCATCACCAAATACCCGATACTCGATAAATGACCTGACCCCGTCATTGAGCGAGAAGAGGGCATTGTACAGTCTGAAAGCTGATTTTAGCACCGATGATTTTGCCCCTCGAAAGTGATCTTACTGGAGCTCGTGTGTAGACTGCATTTATTGGGAGTTTGATCATTGACACCTTCTACGATATCCACTTCGCCCTGTGATTGTGAGTTATAACAGAAACCGACATCGATTTGAACATACTTCGTTAGGCCAGTTTGCCCCCACTTCCTGTTGTGGATATTAACGAAAGAAATTATCATATGAATGGGACAAACCCTGTTAAATTAATAGCATGTGATGCACTCCGTCAGACGTCGAAACACTGAGACGTTAAGTCATACTGACCCTGACCCTTAGTCAGCTTCAAGTCAACCAACTACAAGATATTGCACGCACAGATAGCCGGCCATGTTCCGCAACCTTGTGGCATATGTTCAATGTCGAAACTGAATGAATTAGTAAAAATCTCATTAGGCTTTACACTGATTCTACAGGTCTGTATAGACGTACATTGCCACGTGAGTTTTGTACTGGGAATTTGACTGAATGCGAAAAGATTTCCTTCCCGAGCCCGAAGAAGACAAAGTCGTAGTATGATCCGCTCGGAGCGTGAGTTTGTCATTAGCCACTGAAACTAGTCCATCCGCTTCGGCAGTACTCTTGCTGACATAGGTCCTGGGATGGTGGTGTAAATCAGCCTTCAGATACTACGATTCGGAGGGTGTCATACACTCTGCCGTGGGTGGGGTCCGAGATGGCTTGGAAACTAAACGCGTCAAGAAAGGTCTGGCCTGCGAGCTGGCTCGTCCTTTGGTACGTCGCACCCAACGTTGTCGTAACAGCGTGGGCCAATATGATGGAGGAAACAAAGTTGATACGCATGATGACTGAAGAATAAGTGAAGTCTTCAACCAGTGACTGAGCGGTTTCTGAGCCATTTTTACTGCCTTTATAGCAATGAAGGCCCATAACCGATTTGATCACGTCTCTCGGTCCCCTTTCCTGTAAATAGAGAAAATACTTGACAGTGCGCGGTCAACATCGCGATGTTATGGAATGACCAGGAGCATGTGCCCCATTACCTGTGCTACATAGCACAAAACGCCACTTGATCAGCCAGGATGTGGTTGAGAACGATATACTCTCAACACTGAACATGAACAATAATAGCCAGGGCGATGGATAAAGGATAGGCTGAAGTCAAAGTTTGCCAAGCCTCAAAGCTCAAAGGCTCAGGCAGCTTCGTGAAGTCGGAGCGCCCATAGTATAACTAGGGCGGGTGCCTTCAATTTACGTAACTTCTGTGCTCTTAAAATGAATCAGCTCGGGCGAACGCCGGGCCCACCAGAGCATTGGAAATATATCACTTACACCGTTGCACGTTAACTCCAAGTCGCTTCGCAAGTTCCTGTCAAAATCCAAGAAAATAGGAAGAGAGCATACAAATTTGAGTTAGTACCACTGAAGTTGCGCTAGTGGCGGCTGAAAACGGCGAATGGTGATGTATCTGTATCCTCAGGCTCCGACTCGGAGTGGATATGGGTTGATCTTTACTTGACTCTGAATTTACCAAGTGCTCTCCGTCTTATCACAGGTGACTGGGGAATAGTACTGCCAGTTCCACCGAAGAACGATTTTGAAGGAACACACTTTAGAAATGCACATCATGCACCGTTCCACCTCTGCCATAATTATCTTCGAAATTTCCAGAACCAGATATTCCTGTATATCTTGCTCAGGTACTCGATCAAGTGACCGTGGGTGGTATCGCATGTGAATATCAATGACCATTGAAAGTGGGTTGGGAGCAAGGCGAAAGAGGGAAGACAACTCGTTACTCTTGGAGAATGTGATGGAGCATAAACATGTCCAAACACAAGTACCGCCACAGGAGATCCATACGTGGCGCCTCAATTGATCTACTAGTGAGGCGCAAGGAGCAAGTTACTCGTTACGCAATATTGCGTTCCCTCGAGCTTTCTTATGTCGTCTTGATTTCGTTCTAGTGTGCCAGCGCAAATGAGGGACGTCACAGCCGAGAGCCCTTCTTCAGAGACACCCTGATATGCATCAGATCATCTCGCCAACTTGAAAGTGTTTGGACGGTGCTGAGGGATCTATGTTGTGGAGGATCTTAATATCAGATTGTACAATAATTGTCACAATGTCTTGCAGCCCGCAGCCATGACAAAATTTACATTATATATTCCCTACGTGTTAACAATCATTTGTTGTAAGTATATCATACGTCACCGCCAGATAACACTTGTGTATGCTCCTGGAACACAATCGTAGCTATGTTGGTTCCTTCCTCGGAGTTGGCCACGAGCTTAGCGTGATATTCTCGAACGCTAAGGATGAGGCGTGGCCCTACCATAAACATCTGCACGGGTGTGACAAGTTGAAGAATGCCACAATAAATTTGAGCTCCCAGGGAAGATGAATCCTGGAGAAAAATGTGGTTGGTCAAATGCAGATTGAGTCGCATAGATCGGCATACCAAGACCTTTGGAGACAGCAAGCCAAGGTTAAAGCAAGAAACAGCAGCAAAGCTAGCATGTACAGAAAATAAGCGGAGAGAGATGATGACAATCAAATCAAACAAGCTTACGCTGCAAAGTAAAGTATATGGGTTTTGATCAACACCATGAAACAATCTCCGACGGTCCATCCTGTCGATGGTGGTTGCAGTTCACGGAAGTGTTTCACAGCAATCCAGACTGCAAAACACAGTGCGAGGACCTCCCATATCGTGGCGAGTATCCAAACCTCGGCCATCAGACGTCGCTCGCCTCCATTGAGCTCATAAACACATTGATATGTGCCAAAGAGGATGAGTACATCTGGTATTCATTGCATGAGCCTAATGCGCTTAAGTCTTTCATTCATAATCAAAGCTTACCGACTGAAACAAAGCTGCTTCCTATTGCGACCATCACTCCGCAGGCGATCGTGACAGCAAGGGAGGTTACAACAAGAAAGATTAGCACCTTTCTAGACCGCTCGTACATGGCATGCAACCGAACGATCAAGATGACTTGCATTTGATTTCAGCCAATTCAATTCAACTGAGACCGTAGCTGAATCACTCACCTGCCAGCAAGGGATTTACAACGAAAGACGCCCACATAAGTACGAAATTCATAATATTGCCTGAAAAAACCCATTAATGATGAGCATCACAGGCCTGTGCGTTTCAACAAAACTCACAACTGTTTCAGTCAACGTATTGAAAAGTGCTCGAGAATCTCACTCACCTCTAACGTGGAAGTATAGTTAGGTTGGCAGGACCGCAGCAGTGCAGAATACTCACCAAGTCTGTCTTCAAGACTCCTGGAAGACCTACTGCATGTCACCAGTCAGAAGAAACGAATGCAGTGCATTATGCCGTGAGGGGACATACATAGCATGTTGATACTGATTGTGAGAGATGGCTTATCAGCTCAGAGTCGACTTGATAGCCTTGCAAACATACACAATGTATATTATTCCAACGCAGCGCACCTAGAATATTTCTGTCAGGACAAATTGCCAAGTGCCCTTACGACATGAGATACGTACGCTGATGTATAGAACAGTCATAAGCGACCTGCGTTGCCTCTGCCCGAATTAACTATTTTATTTTATGATATGAAGCTGCTCACCCAGACGAACTCAAACTAAAGAAAACAATTCAAGTGTAAATACTGCTCCAGCATTGGGATCAACCTACCTCTTGGCCGAATGTCAGTGCTGGAGAATATTATAAGTGACATCAACAATTCCCTGATATCAGTAAGAAATCTTGCTCACCCCAGTCATATACCACGACAGTGGACGATGCAACTGCGAAACCACGGTCAAAATTAGAGCGAGATATATCACCGACATCATCCCAATCGCTCCCCACGAACCTATAAAATAGCTAGAAACACGATACATATTGAATGACCACGAACTGGGGTCACTTAGGATCAGGGGCATACTGCAAGCGTATCGTCAGTGAGTAGCGAACTTGGTGGACGTATAACAGGCTAGATATGCCACCATCTAGCGATTTATCGGTATTAAATTATGCGGTGAAGGTCCGGGCCTTAATTAAGTTAAGTTGCCTTGGCTTCTTGTTCTTGCCACACTCGTCCTAGTGCAGGGGTAACGTTCGCGCGGCCATCAGTAAAATTACCAAAGTAGTCATCAACTGGTAGACTGGCTTGCCTCATTGTCCTGTGACTTCGGGTTTGGTCGTAGGTCAGTGTGATCTTGCCCTGCATTGTTACCATAATCGACGATTGCGGAACTCTATCTACGGATTTTGCCATAGTTCAGGAGGGCCCGGCTTTAATCGCCAGTCGAGGGGCAAAGCATCATGATCCGCGTGGCCAACGACCACAGCAAAGTGGATTTGAAGATCGGGGTTGGCAGCCGTTGGCTTAATTTGTTCTTGTTATTCATGTTCGTCGTATTCGAGGTACACCACATCTGGCAGGCGCTTATTCTCATTATTACAGCAACTGCGCTCGGCCGTGCTAATCCCCGACTCCAGTTAATCATGTTCCTTGCAAAACCAGACAAAGTTAACATACAGCAATGTTCTGTGATCTGACATTTTCTTGCTAGTGTGCACAATGTACCGTACTGAGCGTAGTTATGCACATTCTCAAGCACTACAACTGCGTCCAGTGTTCTTGAGGGATTAGAAGCCAGGAACCTTCGATATGTCATCTTGAGCAGCCGATATGTTCACCGTGACGAAATGACGACGCTAGAACACGAATTCATCGAGGAGAGACGGGTCATCATAAAAGCAACGCACGTGCTGGGAGACCAGTACCTTGAATGTTTTGACTCGAATTCTTTTTGGCAACCAATACGTACGGTATGAATACCTCATGACAACCTCATGACAATCATATTGCAAAGAGGTACTTCGTCTGAATAAGCAATTGATACTGTGTTTGGGTATGTTTATGCTTGTATATCTTCTCTCGCTCAACTTCATCAAGCTTGGCAGTGACACTCAGGCTGGACCGCACTTTGCGTCCTATACTTTCGAGCGAATGGCATGAACAAGTTCTGGTACAAAGTCACAGAGTCGCAGCAACAAGATGCGACGGACCTCTGCGAACGCCGAACAGTGGACCGCTTACAGTTGTTACTCATGAATCGAGTCACCACTTGACGCAATCCATTATCCCATTATCTGGCCGACCTTTGGGTGCATGAGCTGTGCACACGTAAGATATCCTCTCTTACTTGCACTAATTGGTGCACTTGTCTCCCACATTTACGCCTACAAGCTCGCTTTGCACATGAAGTGTTTGTAAATTGTGGGTCCATACGTGGCGCCCTAATTGATCTACCAGTGAGGCGTAAGGAGTAGCCTTTCCCATGATCCGGGAAACATTGGAGCAGGCGTTGACTCGCCCTCACCCTGCGAACAGGGGATGATTGAATGCTACTAGTACTACATCCAGACCTTCTCTTCCGGCTAACCACCACAAATGTCGCCAAACACTCTAGCCACCTCGCCCACACCCCTAGAGGCCAGGGACCCCTAATAACATGAGGCAATTCAACCGCTCCGTAATATAAAGGCCTCCCAGATCCCACTATATTCCCACTTGCAGTACTCACTACGACATGTCATCGTCCTTTAGGGTGTGCTACAATTATGCACAGACCGGTAGCTGTCGGTTCGGCTCCCAGTGCAGGTTTGCGCATGCCGAAGGGATCGAATCTACTATTGATGTAGGTCAATATAGCCGCCTTCAAGTTCACAGACAGGCTAAGACATCGTATATTTAGAGCAATGGGCTCGGGACTGTGCATGAACGCTCCCGAACATATACTCAGACACCTCTAGACGATTTTTTCGCAAGTTATCCCGAGTTCGAATATGACCCGTCCGCATCAGCTTCACTGGAGTTTTACCGGATGTGCGACCAATTCAACTGGGATAGAGAAGACGAGGAGAAAGAAAAAGCCTCCAGCGATTTCAAGGACGCCCTTGTTCAGCAGTTCAACCATATCTACGGCACGGACGCGGATGATCTCACCTCATGGCGCACTTTATGCCAGGTCGTCCGCATTTCCCCGATTCCTGAGAGCCTCATGTCATGCCGCGAGGTAGAAGCTCAATTGCTCTCCGCCTGCGCTATACTGACAAATGTGTCCACATTTAGGCGGTCAAAGCCACTCATGTCAACATAGTTGACTTGGTCGATACGGAGGGGACCGGGGAGCCAGTGACGGTATTCGTCTCTGAGGTGAAACTGAGCGAGTATACGAAAGCGACGGGAAAGTTTTTTCCAAGAGAAAACGCACACGCTGGTGGTCTCCTAAGGTACCTACTCCGCCGTATTATGCAACCCAGACCAGAACGCGTATCTGGGTCTAGTCGGAAGACACAGAGCAGGCGTAGGCGTCACTAAACACCATTTCACAATCCTTACCATGCTATTCCTGCCCATGTAGGTGTCGTTGCAATGGCTACAGTTGACTTCAACTCAGTTTTGTGGTGCATGAGCACATTTTCGGAATTCTCAGATACTAGCGATAGCAACCACTTTTTAGAGGTTTCGTGAGCTATGGATGTACGAGTTTGTATCTCTCATGTAGTAAGGGAAAGTATTTTCGCTGAATGTTGCGGGATGATGCCGAAGTCGCTCCAGGCAATACTTTGCTCCAGAAACACACGACCAGTCACCTCCTGCCGCCGTAGTCGCGCTGTGCTTTTTCTTCCTTTTCTCTTCACACACTCATTCCTACGCTACATGAAGAAATTCCTCCAGCAAAGGTCTCCCATATTGACACGCGTATCCCAGTCACGCAGCACAAGTGGCCCGATATCACAACGACTTGACGACGAGGATCATACATCATACACAAGCCTTGTTCCGACTGGAACAGGAACAATTTGCAGTCCACAACACACAATCTGCCAGGACTAGCGAGATCGTTCCTGTCAGGTCAGAAACAGGTATTGAATTCCTGCACGATGGCGGCGTTCTTGCACTCCTCGCCCGCCGCCTACCTTCCCACGTCGGTTGACATTGAATGAGAACTTGGCCGCGACAGACACGGTAAGCGGCGTGTCGTTGACGGGAGGTGGATTGGGCACGTGCTTTGTACGATTGAATGATCTTGCTTCGAGATATATCACAGCTCACCCCTGCACCAGTGGGCACAGTGGATGAAGAAATGTAGGAGATGCAAAAAAAACTGGCTACGATGGAGCTTTTCAAATTGTGCACCGTACCCCTTTTCGTATTGGCAGCTAAGTACCCTTCAAAGTGCTTCTCACTGAGGGCGGGCTCGTAGCGGCAGTCTCCCCTGCAGATTATAGACGACAGAGCAGCTTCAAAGAACGTGCTGGCAGGATCCAGATGCCTATGGTCAATTCTCCGCTCATCACCCGAAACCAGGCCGCCGGTGACCAGACTACTGCAGCCCGCGGACATGAATTGTTGTCGGCCTCCGAACATCGTCCCGGTCGAGCGACAAAATATCTTATCACACTGACAGCAGTGTTTTAAGCACACGAAATCCCACAGTCTATTAAATTTCAAACTCTTTATCAACGATCTAGCTCTTTACGTGCTTTCAACTGTAAACGAGACCACGATGGCACCGCTGACGATCCTTGTCGCTTCATACACCGACTCGATCTACACGTTGTCATTTGATCCAACACCACCAACAGGATCTCCGACACTTGATCTCCTCGCTCGAACACCTGTTGGATACCGTCCGTCATGGATCGCATCTCATCCGTCCGATAAATCCCTCATATATACAGGGCTCGAACAGACAGATGGAGAGGTCGTCGCGATCAAGTATGGAAGTGGTGGAACCGTCGAGGGAGGAGACGTGGTAGCCAGGGCCAAGAGCGGTGGCGCAGACCCTTGCACCCTTCTTGTCACGGAGGACGAGCTTATCATTGGAAACGTAAGTCCCCACGACATCAACTCCCGCATTTCTAAGCAATGAATCTATGCCTTTCCTTGCACTCGCACCTGTACGTAGTACAATTCGGGCACAATTGCAACCCTTCCGATATCGACATCTGCCCCTTACATACTCTCACCGAACCCATGGACGCTTTCGATGCCCTTTGAACATGTAGGTCGAAACAAAGCTCGTCAATCGTCATCCCACCCCCATCAAATCATCTTCAATCCACTGAACCAAAAGGAGAAAGAGCTCCTGATCCCGGATTTGGGTGTAGACAAGGTCTGGAGACTCACCAAACGAAGCGATGGCAAGTGGTCAATTTGCGGTCATATTGACTTTGGAGCAGGAGGTGGCCCGCGACACATCGCAGCTCGAGGTGGGTCATTCACCTTGATTTCTGAAAACATATTAATTGTTACAAAAGGAACTACACTTTACACGCTACTGGAGCTGACCTCAAAGCTTGCTGTCCACGCTTTCCCTCCGCTTCCGGCGTCCCCCACTCATCTTACATCTATCTTCACACTTTCCGCACCACTGCCAGTGCCGGATAACATGATCGCAGCGGAAATTCTGCTACCCGAACCCAACGCATCCTTCCCTGGGACGTTCATCTACACGTCCAACAGAAACGACCCTAATCCAGAGGGTGACACTATTGCCATATTCTCTCTCGCCGCCGGAGAGGGCCAGCCAGAATTGGTGAACGAAGTGCGTACTGGGCTAAACCATGTTCGGGGGATGGAGTTTGGAGGTGAAGATGATAAGTATCTGGTTGTAGGCGGCGTAGAAGGTGGCGGAGTGAAGGTATTTGAGAGGATTGACGGTGGCAAGGGACTCGAGGAAATTGCGAAGCTCAGTGCAGACGTTGTAGGATGTCCCACTGGCTTCTTGTGGTATTGAGAAAGTATCGTGAGGTCACGACGTAAACCGGTGGACTTAAGTCTGCTCACCAGCTGGGGCGCGTGTAAGGTTATTTATGGTGTCTGCAACATCGGGCCCAGGATGCCAGTTGGGCAGTGTATGTATGATTGCTATGTAGTGTCGAATGAGTTTGTAGGGACTTGTACATCGCTCGTGAAAGAAAGCGGATGTGATGGTGACTATGATGATGACAACCATGATCAGAAGATTGAAGATCGAAGGCCAGCAAATGTCACAAATGGTATATAGTACCACGGAGGAGCATATTGCTGGCAGGGAAACTCCCAATGACGTGTCCGTAACACAATCAGAGACTCTGGTAGACATTTGATGATGCCAATACAAGAGGAACCACTGCGCATGCGTTGAAGTAATGCAGTCCCAGACCTTATCTGGTCCTAAAGTAACAGACGACTGTCAGCATCAATCTATCAAAACACGTTCGCAAGTGAAGCAATGAATAAATGCAAGCAATTCAGAGAGAAGATAACACCCTCACTCATACTAGTATGAGCAAGAATGGATCATGCACGAGCGTACAAAGACCCCGTGTCAACTGGCAAGTGCCAAATCGATACAACGGCTTCATCAGATAAAATAACAGAACTGAAAATAGTGATCGCGGAAAGAAATACTCACGAACGTCATGCAATCCCGTTACGCAAAGTTCCGTGTATATGTGGCTGAACTTGAAGCTTGAAGCTTCGAAATGGTGCCTGTCAGCGCGCTACGAGCCGGAAATGGTGGCTGGTGAGCGCCCGTTAGAGGAGTGAGGCATTT